TCAAGTGGAGATAGCGCCTTTTGATTTAATTCGGAATCCGGGTTAGCGCATTAAATCAAAGGGAATTACATATAGTTCCTTTTGATTTTATTCGTAATCGCTGATTCCCTGTTTTGCGATTTTTCAGGGGCTGATTCCAGGGGATGAAATTAGTATTTTGGGGGCATCTTTACGTGTGAGAGCAGCCTATTACATGGAGAATCCAGATCCGTTAAAAACTGAAATTTGGAAATTTGGCGCTTAGTTCCCTTTCGTATAAATACGTCCAAATATTCTGCACATGATGCAGGATAACCAGCAAAAATGTCAAGAAATAATGTTCCTTAGCTTATCGTAAGTAATACAGGCAATGTGTCAAGAAATCATCAACGTTGCAAAAAGAGACATTCAATTTTCAACAACGACTAACATTGGTTGAAAAATAAGAGTGACCATGAGTGAGAAACTCATTAATTTTAAACCATGAACGTTTTGCAGGATTTAAAATAGATTACTAAAATCTTAACCCCTTTACAAAAGAGAGATGAAGTTTTGTAGATTTTGAATCACTAAGGGGCTACGTCCCAGTAAATAATCACTGAAAGAAAAAAAAAATCTTAAATTTGCCGCCAAGAAGTATTCTCTCTTGAATCAAGAATTCTGATCATGATCAGGTTATTACAAACTATATACATGCTTAATTCAATATTTTCATTCATGTATCAAGAAAAATTTAGCTTGAATAAAGATATAAAAAAATTCTTGGCGGCCAATTCAAGAATGATCATGCATCATAATGGATACGGCAACATTGCTCGTGATACCCCCCTTTGTTTTTCTCGAAATTTTCTGATGATGATTCTGGGTGTCCATACTCAATATAAAATCTTTCAAATTGGATGAACAAATGAAATTAATGAAACGACAGTCCTGCTCCGAATTTACGCGACTCGCGAATTATGGATGATGCAGCAATTCGGCAACATTGCAGAAAATTGCCCCCTTGGATTTTTTTAAATTTTCCAAGGATGATTCTTGATGTGCATACTCAATATCTTATGTGTCCAAAGGGGATGCACAAATGAAACTTTGAAACCCTCAGAGCCTGCCCTGAAATTACGCGACTCGCGAATTATGGATGATGGAGCAATTCAACAACATTGCATGAAATTTCCCCTTTGGATTTTCTCGAAATTTTCAGAGGATGGTCTTCGATGTCCATCCTCCATAAATATAATCCGTCAAATCGGATAAACAAATGAAATTGATGAAACGACAGAGCCTGCTCCGAATTTACGCGACTTGTCTCGTATTGACAATGGATGCGGCAACATTGTTTGAGGTTTCCCCCATGGATTTTATCGAAATTTTCCGAGGATGAATCTAGGTGTGCATACTCAATATCTCATGTATCAAATGGGATGCACATATGAAACTTTGAGAACCTCAGAGCCTGCCCTGAATTTACGCGATTCGCGAATTATGGATGATGCAGCAATGCGACATTCACATTCCTATAGAGATTTCCCCTTTGGATATTCTCGAAATTTTCTAAGGATGATTCTTGGTGTGCACACTCAGTATCTTATGCGTCAAAGGGGATGCACACATGAAAATTTGAAAACCTCAGAGCCTGCCCTGAATTTACGCGATTTGCGAATTATAAATGATGCAGCAATGGGACAACATTCTTGGAGATTTCCCCCTTGGATATTCTCGAAATTTTCCAAGGATGATTCTGGGTGTGCATACTCAATATCTTATGCGTCAAAGGGGATGCACAAATGACTTGAAAACCTCAGAGTCTGCCCTGAATATACGCGACTCGCGAATTATGGATGATGGAGCAATTCAACAACATTGCATAAATTTCCCCTTTGAATTTTCTCGAAATTTTCGGAGGATGGTCTTCGATATCTATCCTCAATAAATATAATCCGACAAATCGAATGATTTGATTTTCTTTTTCTCATAAAAATAGAGGACTCCAAAATGGATTAATTAATTAATTTAATTAATTAACGGTAAACATTGATCCCGGAACAAATTCCGCTGGTTTATGAAGGTTCCGGATCTTTTCCGGATCTCTCAGAATACTACCTGTTCCGAGAACATCGGACATCAACTTTGTAGTAACTCTGTGACTCTGTCTATGTATGTCTGTACTCTGTAGCTCACTTCAGTCACTTGCGGTTTGATAACATGTGCTCCGCAGCCTTGTGACAGCTTTTGAGCATTCAGATCATTGTGTTTGTCTCAGTAAAGTACTGAAATTTTCATAATTTTAACCGAGATCTTCTTCTATCACATGCCAATCAATTGCAAGAATATTGCTTATGTTATTTCCCGCCAAACTCAGCGGAAGGACTCTGTCTCCTAGATGAGGATCATACCAGTTTGGGCTTCCAAAGCTCAAAACAAGGATAAAGTTGAGCAATGGTATTTATAGTTTTCTCGCACCATGTCTTTGATCCTTTGATCCACACGCTGTCTAAAGATTCGTTCACATCATTCCAATTTTAGATAATTTTGAACCTGAACTACTCCATCCAGCGGACAGGCATACCACGTGACGATGTTTGTTGACGACAGCATGTTTTTCCGCTTGCCTCTACTTACTTTACTTTTGAGTTCATAAAAGAGACAGCTAACCTTGCTGCTTTGATCTGTTGTCCAACTTGTACTCTCAGAAGAGAACAAATGAGAAGGAAGGTTTCAGTTAATGCTAATGGTCTATAGAACTGGTGAAAGAAAAGAATGGACTAATGTCACATCAACCTGAATGCATCATTCATCAGTTGGCCCATTGATTACCACATAAATTTACTTAGAATGGTGTCAATTTCCAATATAACATTTGTTCATTATATTCTTTCCGTCATCTCACAGCAATCGAGGATTGACCGCAAGCGTTGGCATTTCACTGCATATTGGTGCAGAAAGTTCTGAAAAGCTGACAGTGTACCATGATCTTACGTTTTGCGTTTCTGCATACGTCAAGCTGCAAAATGCTGGTATTTTAGTGAAATTCCTGATTTCCAGGTAAAATTGAGAATTTCATCAATCCTGAAAATCGCCTCACAGCCCAGCATTTCCTGCAACCCTGCTGCCATGCACAGATATATAAATCAGCCTACTGGGCATGATAGTCAAAAGTAAACTACTGCCAACTTATCTTCAAGTGTTCTAAGTAATGGATAAATTATTGTGATGAAATATGAAATAACAATCTCTTTTTGAGTGTATTTTCCGCATGCACTATGTCTTCTGTATGTGTCTTAGTGGTCCGATTGCTGCCGCAATACTTTTCACCACTTAGGCTTTATTTTCAGCCGTCAGCGCTCTGTTTCTCTGTCTTTTTTCAATTCTGAAGAACTTTTTGCACCCCACCAGAAAACCAAATCTTGCTACACTTCTTACTAACTGCAAGGAGCTGAACTCAGCAAGACAAATAAGTAGTTAAATATTGTCAGTTTAGCATGTGCTGAAATCTTGCCTCTCACTTGCTCGTAACCCAAGCTGAAAAACCGAGTATATACTCGCTTGCGCAAAAATTGAATCTTTGTGCCGATGCGTTTGCTGGCTCTACTCATCAAATGGCATCCTCAGTTGCTCTGAAGATGCTGGAAAGTAAAGCCAGCAAGATGCGCACAAGAAATTATTTCAGTTTACATGCAAGTGAGTATTAACATGTTTTTTTAACGTCAGGTATATTATGCCGATCTCTGTAACCATTTTATTGAATTCACTTGGGGTACCTTTGAACCCTCAAGGTTAACAATATCAGAAAGGCAAGCAGCAACCTGCCTCTAACCTTGCTGTCTTACCTGTCAATGGTTGAGGGGTCAGTTTAGTTAAGCGTGAGTGAGAACGAAGACTTTCCTACACCCTACTGGATATCATAATATTCATTGAACAACTGAGAAAGAGAACACTTAAATATTTTCTCCTACATGAATATTGATGGCTAAAGTAAAAAAATGTACATCTTCAATGCAATGTTTATAAATCTCCAATTAGGGAAGTTAAATTGTTTAAAGGAAAACTCACCAAAATTTCTCCTTAAAATTTTCTGTGAAACTCTTTAAATAAGCAAAGAAGTTCACAGAAATTTATTTCAAGAAATATCAAGAAAATATTTTGATTGTTTTCTAAAAAAAGAAAAGAAAATGAATTAAAACATAATCAGCGTTCTCTTAATTATATGCATTTTTCAATTAAGGCCATGGCAAAAAAATAGTTTATTTACCTCTCATTCTCTTGCATTTTTCTTTTTTTCTAGCATATACAGCCTCTGTTTTAATCCAGATGGCTCTAGACTGATACTAGCGGCTGGACAGAAAGTTCTCATATATAATGCTGATAATGGATCTTTAATTGAAGCTCTGAAAGGTAGTGAATTCTTCATCCATAGGTACTCATTAATAAACTCAACTTTAATTTTTAGTCAGGGAAGAAATATTATCAAGTCATTTCAAAGTGTTAGAAAATATTTTTTAACCTGACCCCCACACGAAGAGAATAGGTTTCCTACGTTTTTTTTCATCGTGTCAAGCCAAAATTTGTTAATCTATAATTTTTTTTCTCCATTTTCCAGAAATTTGTTGAACCACCAATTTCAAAGGTTTTGTGGATATCGCTTTTCTTCAAAATTACGGTCTTAAATCCCTGTTTCTCAGAAGCATAACTTGTTCTGAGTAGAGTAGAGAATCATCAAATTTTTTATCAAATTTTCAGCGTTAGGCACTCATTTTAAAGTTTTGTAATGCCATGCATAAAATCATTTTTAAGAGGCTTAATGGACGGGATGAGAAAAGGGAGTAAGAAGAGTAAGGAGCGGCCTTTGGGGTTTTGGTTGCCCTAGTTTTTGTTATTTGTTGAAGATCGTCCAACTGAAATTCAGCAGACCTCAATTGAAATGCGTTTGATGTATACCTGGAAAGACGCCTGAATTTACCTTTTATTTGTCAGTGAGTGCCCTGTCATTTTTTATGAAAAATAACTTCCTCTGATTTTATTTTGTATTAGGTCATAAAGAGAATGTGTATTGCGTGGCATATGCTGCCGATGGGAGACGATTTGCTTCTGGAGGTAGTGACAAGACTGTAATAATTTGGACCTCTAAATTAGAGGGTACTGTAAAATACACGTGAGTAGCAAATTTTCTCAGTTGATGCAATAAACAGGTATTTTTTCTTTCTTTTAACAGTTTCTTTGTCGATTCTCTCCGTAGTTTATAAACACATGCAACCTTTTGAACGCAAAATCAAAACATTCGGAACTGTCCAGAGAGGCCATTGAAAAGACACAATGCATAAATTTCATCATTATTATTTGGGAAATTGTAAAGCAAAGAAGTAACAGAACTATATTCGTTTTGTTCCAATATATGTATCACAAGTGGTATTGATGAAGAAGTGGAAATTGAAAAATGAAAAAAATCATTTTATTACATAGCTTCACGCAGCTTAATGGATTATATTATCTCAAGTTGATTCTAAACTCAGGTTTTAATATTAATTCTGTGGCAATCCCTATCATATCATGACAACGTATTCAGCATAAAATTTTGTAATTTAGTAATTCTGTTGTTGAAAACAATGATCCATTAGTTGAAAAATTGTAAAATTCACATAATATTTAAACAAATTGTTTCGCCTATTGTGTTGCTTAAAATTATAAAAGGATGAAAGTGCTGCTTAGTATGCACCTTTGGACTTCCCCTTTGAAATGTCGTAAATAGTAGATTGAGCACCTTCATTAATACCTTCACTCCTCTTGAAAAAAACTAGAACAAATTCTAGAGTTCTCCTCTTTTACTTCTGCAAGATCTGAAGTTTCAATTCATTGATCTGCTTTTTTTCAGGCACAATGACTCAGTCCAGTGTCTGTCGTATAATCCTGTTTTCCATTTCTTGGCAAGCTGTGCAATCAGTGACTTTGCATTCTGGAGTGCGGACCAGAAGGCTGTTCAAAAGTTTAAAGTACCCTCACGAATCAATGTATGCTCTTGGACGGCAGATGGACTCTTCTTGGCTCTAGGTCTCAACAACGGCAATGTATCCGTGCGAAGTCAATCGGGAGAAGAGCATTGCCTCATCGATCGCCAGAATCGTTTCGACCCCATTTACGCACTTGCTTGGTGTCCCATTAAGTAAGATCAAAAAGCTTCGCTCCTGTTTCCTTTTTGTTGTGTAAAAATAGAATCAATTTTTTTTTTTAAATTACACAATTCTATATTTTCTCTATATCCTGTTTCGAGAAAAAAACTGCAGAGTAGGTACTTGCTAAATAATTATCACATCACAGATATCTCTCAAGCAAAGCATTTTCAATTGAAACTCAAAATAACGAATTTTACTCGAGTTTATGAGTGGAAAAAAATTGACCTCTCAACCACTACCCAACCATGTTCCTCGAAATCTATTACTATGAATTTCAACTTTTGTTCATTTTTTTTTTTTTTTTTTTTTTTTTTTTTTTTTTTTTTTTTTGTTTTTTTTTTGTTGGATAGTAGCTTTGCCAAGGCTCTATAAAATTAAAAGAGTCTGGGTAAAATTTGTGGCAACTTAAGAACGGTATAATTCCTCTAAATCAGAAAATGTTAAAATGGCGGAAATACATGTACACATTTATATGAATACATAAGTGACTACATTTATAGATATGAATTTGAATGACCTGCATATCGACGGTGAAACTACCAAACCACGTATCTCGGTTTGCGACGTCACAGACTTCCTGTCATACTTTTTTTTTTAAATGAAAAACTACTTAACATCCAGTCTTGAAAATTTCTGTGATTTTTCCTCTTTGTGCAGAGAAAATTCCGTGAAAATTTCAAGGAATGATATTGATTTGGTCTACTTCAAAAAAATAAAATGTGAGCGTAGATTTTTAAACACCGCAAACGAGATACGTGGTTTGGTAGTTTCACCGTCAATATTCTTCGTCTACAATACGAGATTGGTGCTCCTTTCAAAGTCGCAGGTTTGGGTCCTGTCCCAGAATGAAGTAGTTTATTTTCCAAAGCTCACATCTCTCATTCAAGCTCAGTTTAATTTAAAGCAATAGCAATGTTGAGTATATTGTTTTTGTTCATACTATCAGTAATTTGCAAAAGTTTTTCTAAACCTCTATTCATTTGTCTATCATTTGTCTCTCTTACACCTGATGTCGCATCAAGTGTCTGGTAAATTATTATCTTTAAATAACATACTTTGTTTCAGAGATGATAGTCTGGATGTCCTGTGTATAACTGACTGGGGTAAAACCTTAAGTTTTTGCACCATTGATGGATCTCCGGTAAGAGAACTAAACAGTAACCAATGGGTCAGTTGGGCTGGTCACAAAATCGTGTTTTGATGCTTGATTCTTGTAGATTACCTAAAGATAGTACGATCTGTCCAAACAGCAACTTTCTATGTTCAATATCAACCGAGATATCGCTCTTTGAAAAGTAGGGTTTTTGACATCATCCACCGCTGTAGTAACACCCTTGGTTTCTTCCATATGATCTCATCAGTAAGTGTAAGGCACATTAGCACTGGTTACTCAACATGAAACTCCGATGACAGCAAGGTGGAAGAGACCAAAGGTGTCACTACCGTGGTGGATGACGTCATAAAACGAATTTTTCAAAGCGTGATATCTTGGTTAATATTGAACGCAGAAAGTTGCAGTTTGGATAGATCTTATTATTTTTGGCTACTCTACAAGAATTAAGCATCAAAATACGATTTTGTGACCAGCGCAACTGACCCATTCTTAACAAACACAGCCCCTGCAAATCAAAGAAATATTGTCCTCATCGGACAATGTATTGCTAGTGTCATTAGAGGGGCCAAGAGCCATGTTCCCAAATGGTCTTCGGCTTGATCAGTTTTTCTCATGAAAATAAATGCGAAGAAATAGTACGCATTACACCAAGAATTGAGGCACTGGATGCGAAGAGGGCACTTCTCGGTTGCAGTGTTTCAGAGTGTCCTCTAATATTTCATTCATTGTAAGGAAAGTGAATGCATCCATTCCACTACAAATTTCACTGAATATTCCTTATGATTCTACAATTTTCTACTTATGGTAAGAATTCTGGCAAAATTACCCATTAAATTCTTCTCCAAGGGATTAATTAGCAACAGAGATTCTGAAACACTGCAATCAAGAAGTGCTCTTTTTGCATCTAGTGCCTCAATTTCCTCTATTTGCAAGTTTTATCGCTAAAATTTGCATTTACTTATTTGCTTTTTTAAAACAAAACCAGAGAATTCCGAAATTCCTGGTGCTCTAGATCATCTATATTACCCAATATTAATTCCTAATACCTTTGGTCACTTAATTTCTGCAAATAGATACAAGACATATTGTTCTTGTAGTAGTTCGGATACTTTAAAATGCAACTTTTCTGAATAAAAAATATTGTTTACAGAGTATTTAAAAAAAGAAACAGTTTTTTAAACGAGGTTTTAAATTCTTTGATGATGTTTCACTGAAAATAAATCTGTCTGAACTCTGTAAGACTGGCAGTGTTTCAAGTCATTACTCTGTTAGACCTTGTCTTTACAGGATATTCTCTGAAATTTGTGTGTGTAATTAAAACCAGGTATTGTGCAAATCAGTTTTTCTGTTTCCAAAAATGAAGATTTCAGTTTGTCCAAGATCATTTCAGTGTGATTACTTTCATGATGCGCTCATCTTAATCATTTGGGTAGTGTTTTACCAAATCCAAATTGAAGACCATCTCAGCATGGTTTGTATCCTCATTGCGTTTGTACATCTTGGCCTCTTTCAGCCAATTGATGCTGATTTGGATGTACCCCTGAAGGCATTTTTTCTCACCACAAATTCCAAGCTGTCAAAATGATGATTTTGTTGCAAACTTCACTTAAAAGGGAGAGTAAGCATCATTTCCCCAGGAGAATGGCTCAAAAATTACATTGAGCAGATTGGCTAACAATTAGTCACAAATTCGCTCCTCACTCAAAAGCGTGAAAAATTTGCAAATTGGTAGACCTAGACACCCGCTTTAAAAAGTGAACAATGGCAAAAATTTAATTTGGCACGGATGAGCCACTCTGAGTTTATACCATCCGTACCTCAAACTGGCCCTCGGAACTTGGTGTTTTGACAGATCTTAGTTCTTTCTGCCGATCTAGGATCTGAAACCATCATAACTTCACTCTGTGACTAATGTGACTGATCCATTCCAGCTTTTGCTTGATTTTACCTGTAATTTATTCAAACATCTCACTTTGAAGTAAGAGTTGTTTCCCAAGGAGAACTGCTTAAAAATTACAATGAACTGATCGTCAAAGTCTAAATTTGCCAGGGCTTATCCTAATAAGATTTTTAATCTTACATCTCTTTCTTTATCTTTTTGTTTTGAAAGGTTACCAAAGAACGCACACTAGATTTTGAACCCTTATTTGCAACTTATTTCAATGATGGACTGTACTTAATAGTTGGAGGAATCGGTGGTAAAGTGGCTCTTTATAGTAGAGAGGGTGTCCATTTATCAAATTTAGAAAACAAAAATTCTACATGGGTCTGGACCAGTGCTCTTCGTCCTAACTCTTCTTACATAGTAAGTATGCTTCACACATCTCTCGTCTCGTTTTCTCAAGAACTTCACTCAGTTTTTTTCCTCTCCATCTCTTTTTTATGCCAAAGAAATCATTAAATTTGATTTGAATTTATCTGTTTTTCCACACTATATTCTCTCTCTTATTTACTCTTCCAATTCATCATTGAGGTAAAAGTAAGCTCATTCTCCTAAATGCAAATGCTCTTAAAATGAGTGGTAAATTAACTCTCACAATGGAAGACCTGGGTACGAAAAAGGCGCTCCTCAGTATCAATGTTATAGAATTTCCGTTTGCATTTTTACCCGGAACAGGAAAAAGGAATGCTTTTAGAAAGGTGGAAATAAATATTCTTAATAATTTAATGATATCTTTAGCTCAAATCCCATGTTTAATGATCCAGTAGTTGCTTTACAAAAAAAGAAATTGTTGGAGGGCATTCTGAAACATTCAATCGGGAAATTGCCCTTTACGCATTAAAATTTTTGATATCACCTGTTTTGAGTTAATTTTTGAGGTACTTTAAACAAAATCTTGCATATTTGAGCTTGCGATAGGATAAATTTCATATACGAAGATGTATTGAATCTCCTTCTTTTTAGGTATAGAGAAGACATCCGTTTATCCTATGTGTCATATGCCTTCATGCATGAGCATCATTTCTCAAAGTTGACTGTGGGAAAAATGCATGCAAATCAAACCCACTTCTGAGATTCACAATTAAGACATTCCATCATTCCTCCATTGACAGTAATTTTATAGAGATTTTGAGATGCTCATCTTCCTCTTTTAACCCAAAACTGTGGGAAACACCCACTCATAAGTAAATTGTTCAGTAAACAAAACCGAATAATCGTTTAATTATTTTAGGTTTTTGGTCATCAAGATGGGCAAGTTGCATGCTATCAACTTGCGTTCAACACTATTCATGCATTGTTTAAGGATAGATATGCCTACAGGTGAGATTTTCTTCCATTTTGTCCTTACATCTTGATTCTGCAATCAGTATTATATGTACAGGATTTTTTAGGCTTTACTACTCAGCACAAAACTGTTTTGCTGAATAAAATATTGGGTTAACAACTATGAAATTTCAACAAATAAAATAAGCATGCATTTTCTGCCTATTTTTCTTAAAAATCGGCAAGGAATTTCATTTCCAATTGAACATTGCCGAGTCAAAAATGCCAAGGATTAGCAATCATCAGAGTTTTTGAAAAGCAATATTTAATCAGAAAAAAATTGATAGAATTTGATGTTGTTCAAAGTTTCCACTTTTCAATGTTGAGGAAACTAAAACATAGTAATGCTATCTGATTTTTGGTGGATCTTATTACAGTAACGAGCAATAAGGACTGTTGACTGTTTACCATTTTTTTATGTATTAAGTTATTTTACTTTCGTATCCTGAATTCATATAACCAAGGACTCATAAGTCCAATTTGTCTGTAGTCGGCTGTAGGCCCCATCGAGATAAAAGCCATAAAACCAACAGGAGAAAAAGAAGATGAAACAAGCTGCTGGTTCCAACACTACTGTGTTGGAGAGCTCGCCTTTGGGAAACTATTAACAACTATTAATGATTTTTTCTGAAATTGTATATGTATTAAATGAATCTTTACCCAATTATCAGAGGTTACATGCCGATGCAAAATGTTATGACGTAATTTCATATGACAAATTTTTCACATTACAATAAATAAAGAGAAATAAAGAGAGAGAAATGGAATTATCTTTTATGAATGTGATTTTGCGGCAAATGTTGCAATGGCTATTTTTGCCATCGCATTTTTGTTTCTGGCTTTCATCGTTGATAAGCTTTTTCTTAACTTGTCAACAATGTAATGAAATCATATGATTTAATTTTAATTTTTTTTTTTTAAATCAAGTTGCCAACTTGAATTAAGGTTATACTTTGTTAAGCTGGCAGTCTGGAATTCTGAATTTTTATCGGCACAGAGTTCAAAGAAACTATAATTTAGCACGGTTTGGAGGAACGTTTCTGCCATAATTCTTACACAATACTTATGGTATACACTAAGAGCTGAAAAGGACTTCACTTGAATTTTAGCGTGGAGCTCGAGAGACCACTTCAAGCCTTTGTATGCGAGTGGCTCAATGGAGCACATCACGCCTTTGTAGGTATGGGGTGGCTCAATGGAGCACCTCGCGCACTATAAATAGCACGGAGCTCGAAAGAGCACTTCATGCATCTGTATTTTAAGGTTAAAACGAACTCTAAAGAAACTCAATGCGAGGCTCAAACGAATTCTCAAGCATTCTAAATGCGAGGCTCAAACGAATTCCCAAGCATTCTTGATGCGAGGGGCTCAAACGAATCCTAAAGCATTCTTAATATGAGGTTTAAACAAACTCTGAAAGGATCCCAATGCGAGTCTCAACCGAGCTCTCAAGCATGCAATTATTTTGAGGTTAATTAACCTTCTATGGTACCAATAACGGCAATCTTAAGGATTATCCATTAATTATGCGCAAATCTCAATCTTAGTCTTAGTAACTTAAAATTAATTGAACAAATTATTAAATCACGTCGAGGTCACCATGTTTTTTATTTTAAGAAATAATAACAATTGCAAGTACAACTGCACACAAAAACTGCATTGAAAAGATAAGAGGATGATAACATACAATTAGGTTATTTGATATAAAACCATAGCAACATGCTATGATATGCTCGGCCACTGGAAAGTGCTGCTCTCTAGTGTAGCAAACGAGGAACAATTAATCCTCAGTTGAATGAGGGAACGGAAATGTTCGACGGAGGAAAACTGTAACCCGCGAAAATTCAACTTTTAGACCTTGAAATCAATGGGATTTTGGCCGTTCCTCCGACGGCAACGAGAACCATCCATTCGTCGCCACGGACTCTACCAATGCTAAAAGAAATCGATCGCAAAGAGCTCTCCCGAGTGGGCGAGCTCAAAAATAAAATTATTTTGTCTGTGTTAACTTATTTTACATTTTATTATTTGATTGCCCTCAGAGAGAACATGACAGATGTGATCATTCACAACTTGTTGTTAAACCAAAAAGTTCGCATCAAATGTTCTTGCCTTGTGAAGAAAATTGGAATATATAAGCATCGATTAGCTGTAAGTATTTATTTTCACTTGAAAAACCTCTGCACTTCTTATTCAAGTGCGTTGAAATTGAATGGAAAATGAAATGAATTTAAAGTCATTACTATGCTAATTGCAGGATTTGAGTCACATTTTAATGTTTTTTCTCTTACATTTAAGTCAAAGAAGTTGTTCAGCTTAGTTTTTACTTGGTCCAACAAACCAACAAAAAACATGCTTCTCCCTCTCTCAGTTTTCAGGGAAATTTAGAATAACTTGTAACAAATGAAGGGAATTTCACTGTGTTAGGTCAGGTTAGTCTCTAAATTTTCACATTGCACCATCCAAAATTGCAACTTTTTAACTGCGACTATACGTTGTTTTTTTTGGTGATTCATTGGTTTGGTTTCAATTTTGGTGTTGAGCTATATTCTTTCATCTGACAAAGTTTCAGTGAGATTATACTCAATTTTTTTTTTCCACGTCTCCAATGCATATCTTCCAACCAACCCCTGTTTGCATACATTATCATGGGCCCAGTCACTAACAAGATTCCCAATAAAGCTAGCCTGCGGGCCGATGATTGAAATCGATAGACAAAAATGACCAAAGGGATATAGAGGGAACCTATTGGTGGAAGCTGGTGGTTGCAATGGACAAAGGCAGTAGGTAATAGACTAACTAACGGCAACCAACAAGAAGCCCGACCGTTAGTCCATCATTTTCTCCCTTAGTCAATGAGAACCACACATTTCAACCAACAGGATCGCTATTTACCCCCTATGTCTTCTTTGTCTATAGCTTTGTCTATCGATTTCAATAATCAGCCTGCTGATCCTATTGCTCTGTAGCTCTATTCTCAGTAAGATTCGGATGCAAGTACCCTCTCTTGATTTCAGGTCTTCCTGTTTATATCTCTTGGAGAAGTCTAGGTGTATCCGTGGACCTCTTATATTATTTGTATTTCACACATACATACGGTTACTAATGTTTACTATCTTCAAGTATTATATCCACAATGGAGGTATCTCCCGAAAATATTTGAAAATAATTTTTTTTTCCATGATAAATGGAAAGGAAAATATACCAAATAATCCTTTCAAATTCTGCTTATTGTTCTGATTAATTGACATCAGGGAAAAAAAGCAGCAAAGTCAAAAATGAATTCCATCATCAGTTATTTTTGCCGAGTTTCATCGGTTTACAGAAAAAATTGACTTGCCTCTAACTTGTCTTCAATTTTCTATTCAGGTTCAGTTGCCAGAACGTGTGACGATTTATGAGCTGTACCTGGGCGAGCCTGAGAATATGCGATACCGAGTGAAGGCCAAAATTAACAAACAACTAGACTGCACCCTTTTAGTTGTTTGTTCAGAACATCTAATTGTGTGTCAGGTAATTTTGAACCAAAAGTTTTAAAGCTCAACTCTAATGTAAACAGCGCTAAACCACTTATTTCTGGAGTATTTTCCATGAAACAAGATGAACTTATTGCATTTTTGAAAATAGGAGACTTCATGTAGGTCACAGAAATTGTTCCTGATTTTTACTATATATCATGAAAAAGAAACTCAAAGTTGCATATTTGACCTTCCATATAAATGCACATCTTAGAGAAAACCAAGATTATATTTTAGAATAGCCTTCTCACTGCAGGTGCTCTTTTCACTGCGTGACTTATTGACTGCGAATTAAAGTTCATGCAGTAATGAATTGATAAAGGCTGCCTGTAAAGTGCAGAAGGGTCGCATGGTAGAAAAAGTACCCATGATGGACAGGATATTTTCAAAAGCTGTCTTGCCTTTCTTGGCAATGCGTGTTGAAATGAAGGCTCAAATTACGAAACTTTGAACTTGTTATTTATGGATTGTTATTGTTCAAAGAAATCTGGAAAAATTCAAGTAAACTTGGTGCGCTACCTACTTTTCAAATATGTAAGGATTTAAGAATCCATTAAGATTAATCTGGAAAGAAAACCAGAATCTGTAAAATAATTTTGATTTCTAATTGCTTGTTGAATCAGTTTCTTCAAGAGGACCCATCCTGCATTCGTAAATACTTGCCCGTACAATAAACGTTTCTAGAAATTTTTTGCAAATTAGCAAGCAAAGATGTTTAACGAACTTCACTCATTGTTTCAGGAGAAGAGAATTGAGTCTCTAAATTTTGACGGGATCATTGAAAGAGAATGGCTGCTGGATTCCTTGATTCGTTACATCAGGGTTATTGGAGGAGCCCCGGGCAAAGAGGGCCTTTTAGTCGGTCTAAAAAGTGGACAGGTATGATGGACTTGACTGATTTGAAGTAACCTAGTGTCCCCTAATTGTATGATTATCATTAAAATTTGCAATATTGATTTGAGTGGAGGAATTAATACAAAGTACTTTGCGAGATAAGCAGGCAAACAACTTGAAGTTGTAGTTTTGATAGAAAATCTTTCACAGGTTTTTTCATACCATTCAATCTGTGAATTATAATGGCTGGGGTTGGGTAAATACTCATACTATAAGTTGAAACCATAAGTGAAAAGCACAATGGCTTGTTGTTTATAGTTTTTCCTTGAAATTTCTTTGGGGCTCTTGCCAGTTGCAGAAATTGCCTTGAAAATATGTGTTTTTAAATTATATTTTAGTGACAAATGCTCCTCAAGAGCAAGCTTTAAAGAATTCGGGACAGCTTTTTGGATTTAACAAAAGAATCTAGAAGCTGAAATTTTGCGGAAAGTGTTTCTCATTGGCTTGAAGTTTATGGCCTCATGTGAGGTGACAACTCACGGTTTCAACCACCTTTTGAATCCAATGCAACATGGCTGTTGTAGGATTGGAATTGCAGAAAAATTATTTCATTTCCATGAAACAACAAAAATACATCACTTCAAACAGGGAAAATATCGTGAGCACAGTCAAGATGCATAACTTTTCGTCACAGTCGCGACCTGACAATAAATAAACAAGGATGAAATTCAACACAGCAGACAATTATTTTCAAGATGTCACAAAATGTGTTGGCACGATATTTTTCCATTTAAAAGGAGTTAGATTTTTGGCAAGCTTCAAAGTCTTTTTCTCGACTAAAATCTGATTTATTGGAAAACAAAAATATAAAGACACTCTCATTTTTTATGTACTTTCGGAGCATGAATTGAAAAAATATTGTGCAACAGCCTCACTGTGGAGATGTGTGACTTCATACTTCTTTCTTTTGGGAGAAATTTCCTTTTTTGCAGTAGATATCTTGAATCAGTATTTTTTTTAAAATCTTCAATTTAATTGCTGAATGATACTAGCAACCAAAATTTGTTTGGCGGTCACTCGCAGACTTTATGCACCGCAAAGAGTTGATCCTTAATACATTTCTCATCTCAAATACTGAATATTGTACCATTTCTCTTCTTGTGTGTGTTGAGCAGGTTCTAAAGATATTCTTGGATAATCCATTCCCCGTAAAATTAATTAAAGCATCTGCGGGAATTAGGTGTCTTGATCTCAGTTTGTACAAACGGAAGTTGGCAGTTGTAGACGAAAACAATCAGTGTTGTGTGTATGATCTCTCAAGTAAAGAAATTTGTTACAAGGTTTGTAGATTCATTGTCAGAAATTCTTCTTAAAATTTTTTTTCGCTAATTATTAGTGTCATTTTTGATAATTTTGAAAGTTCGAGATTTTGCTTGTCAAATTCTTCTTTTGCATTTAATGAAGCTTTCATTTTTTTAAAATTTTTCCTCCAAAAATCAGTAGACCTTGTTGCAAATACTCTCTTTTTCTTTAAGAACACTTTTCCCTGCTGGAATTGAACACTTTAGTATGATCAACACCTTTACTTTATTCTCAGTGGTCTCTCTCTTAAAGAGATAATTACAACTGATAAATGCGATTAACTGTGAGTTTCAATGTTTTTACCTTTATTTTTTTATTTTTATTTTTATTTTTCAGAATATGATACAACCACCTTTTACAAAGTGTTAATTATCTTCTTTTTACAAATATAATAACTTATAAGTTGACTAAAGTCTAATTTTCATTTTTAGCTTTAACTTGTATAACCCATTCACGCACAACACCCAGACCACATGCAAATGTCATTACCATTATAATGCTCTTTTTTAGGAGGCTAATGCTATCAGTGTTGTCTGGAATTCAAATTTTGAAGACATGTTGAGTTTCTCTGGAAATGGAACCCTAAATCTCAAAGTCAACAATTTTCCTATTCATCGACAAAAACTTGCGGTAAATATAATTTTTACAGTTCCTTCTGCTTCAGTAATTTCGTTTATGAATGATTTTCTTTTAATTTTACGTGTTACTTCAAAAAGTTTTTGTAGAAAGACATTCATCCATCGATTTTTTCTTAATCGTCTGTTGCCCCAGGATGAGCAGCTGTAAATTTCTATTTCAGAACTATTAGAATGAAAATAAATCTCTTAAGTCCCGGAAATTGTGTAGTGGGAGAGTGTGAAATAATCCACCACATGTAGATTAAATGGTAGAGCTGATCTATAATGATTGATATTGGTACTTAGATAAACACTGGTGAAGTGCTACCACGAATCGCTGCCCAAAGATTGACCCTGCGGTAGCCTACACTTTGCATATATATTTTGTGGGTCCAGCTGAACCATTGATGTCAAAAATATTAATGGGTGAATTGATAAGGATACACACTTAGAAGATCGGCGACCGTGAGCGCCCGAGCTTGCACTGCTGAAAGCATGGTCATTGGCCCGAGAGACAAGGCTCATGCATGAGGTCATAGAACGATATGGCGGCCATTCCATGACAGTTGTTCCCTGCATATTTTTCGTTTCCAAATTTTTAGATTATTTACTCATTTTCAGGGTTTTGTTGTTGGACTATGGGGTTCAAAAGTGTTCTCATTGAATTCATCTTCTATTGAGGTCATCGAAGTTCCTCTTTCCAAATCCATGTACCAGTATGTTGAAAAATCTATGTTCAGGTATGATCCCAAAGATTCCTAATCATCTATATTTTATGCTGCATACCGATGGCTAAATGCGGAAAATGTGCATCTCAATTGCAGTGCATAAAAACCTCTGTTTATGTTTCATTTTTTTCAAGGTAAAGGACTAACAATGTTTCTTTGCAATTTCGTGTGGTTAATTCAGGGAAAACAATAGAAACTGCATAGCATGGGCCTTGTACAATAGAGATATTTTCTTATGATTTAAGTACGTCCACTTGTCTGAAGTCTCATTAGACTTAAATGTATCTTTCAAGAAGACATTGAATGATCTTTTTTCAAATTGTTCGAATGGCCTATCAACTGCTACTAATTTCATCATTTCAACTAATTCATAAATTTTATTGGTCCATTTTAGTCTTATATGAACATTTTTGGCCAAATACTATCAATACATACTCGACATATCAACAGCAAGATTAAAAGCGAATCCCCCGAACTGAATTTTCAACTCAAGTGCAACATTTTAATGAGAAATCAGAATCAATTTGTTTAAACTTTGAGTTCATTTTACTCAAAATCATCAAAATTGTTACTTACAGTAATACCTTGATTATCCGCTTATCACTTATTCGGCATTCCATTTATCTGGTGCAACGATAAGACACAGCCGAAATGCTAATATTTGTATTTGAAGAGAAATTTGGCAGCTGCTATGATGCTACGGATGGTAACAGATAAACAGTTTTGGGCAGTTACCTTCATTCCTAACATATTATCATGCATTTGTTGCATATATTACATGTACATTCCACACGTTGAATCGTACATATATCATGTGGTTTTATGCATTTTCGATTATTCTGCGTTTCCTGGCTCGGGCCTTCACCATAATTTATCGAGTAATCAAGGTATTATTGGACCTCATTGTCTCACAGGTAGCTACAATTTTTCAATCAAGTGCTGTGAAAACTACTCGCTCTAAGCACAAAAATTGCATTTTCAGATTATTCACCAGTTTTTTCACCTTGTGTCTCTGTTAGACTTTCTGTATTTTCACAACACTAGCTGTTGTTACGATTATTCATTTGTTTTAAATTAACAGGGAAGCGTATTTGGTGGCTTGCCTGGGAGTCACGGATTCTGATTGGAGATTCCTTGCTGAAGCAGCCTTGGAAGGATTTGACATCAATGTTGCTGAAAAAGCCTACCGCCATCTCAGAGATTTTAAGCACTTAGATTTTATTTTTGAATTTCAGGTAATATCAACTGAGAACTTATAAAATGGTAATAGGGATAATCTCTTATAGGGTCAACAAGATTTATTTGCAAGACAAAAAAAACAAACTCTTTTGACAGTTAGCAGAAAACTATTGTTCACCTGAAAAATGTCGCTCCTCAGTGCCGCAATCAGAGACAAGTGACCCTCCACTGGCCTCCTAGCGACAGGTGGAAGATTTTACTTTCGGGGATTCAACAGTTCCTTATGGACAATTATTAGGGAGCAACAGTCATCACCTCAATTTTGGCTGTTGACCTACCTACATGGTCAATGATGAGCTTCGGGTGACGTTATGAGCCAAACAAGTTTCGCAAACTTCGGTCATTTTCGACTTGTTTGCAAAACGAAACTGCCAACATCAACCATGTAGGTAAGTCAACAGTAGAATGCTGAAGCCCCGAAAGTTAGAGTCCCTTTATACCCAGAGTTAAGACAACTCGATTATCAGCTGACTGGCAGCCGGCCTTGGCTGGCCATGGAGGCCGAAATGAGTGCACCCAAACGAACGATATTGAGGGATAAGGATCAGGAATCCTGCGATATCTGTCACACAAAAACAACAACATCAACAAATTGATCAATTAAAACGAAAATTAGATTGGTTTGTGAATAATTTCTTAATCTATTTTGATTTTGGACGGATGGAAATAACAATTTACTCTTGATAAACCACAATTAGGTAATATTTTCATTATTCTTGTTCACATTCGAGGTACCGCCATCTTGGTGCACTCGTTTCGGCCTCCATGAGCGAGAACCAATCAGAATTGGATTTTTTTTAGGCCACTTTCAGCCCAACCCTGGCCCAACCAAAAGTGAGTTGTCTTAACTCTGGGTATAAAGGGACTCTACCGAAAGTAAAAGCTTCCACAATGGCCAAGATACTAGTGGAGGGTCTCTTGTCTCTGGCCGCAATGTGCCCCTTTTCTTATGAAACTTTTCATCGCATTAGCACCAGTGTACTCTGTATTTTGCATTTAAATGTTCATTTCAAGAAATACAATGTATTTATTTTAAGAACACAATCAAGGAAAATGCCCGGATTTCCTTTTGTAAAGAGACTTTGCCTTAAAAATTTGAAAGAATTAATGCAGATGTCGCAGGCATCTAACAATTTCAGATGAATAGCCACCTGCCTAGGCGAATAAGAAGCAAAAAGCGGCGGCCTTGTGGCAGCCTAAGCAAATAGCAAGTCGCCCAGGCAAACAGCACGTTGCCTAGGCACACAACAAGTTGCCTAGACACACAACAAGTTGCCTAGGCAAATAACATTACGGAATATCAGGCAAATAACAATCAATAGATAAAGAAACATTACAAGTTCACCTTTATTTGTTAGAGCAGGCTACGGATTCATGGCACCGGCTATTACACTTTCTATTGTTCTTGAAACATGAGCTCCGTTTCGTTTCACATTGAGTCTTGCTTTCTGCACAGGTACATTGCACGAACCCTTGCGCTTTGTACAAGCAACGGACGGTTGCTGCTTCTCTCAACGAAACTGTTTTTTCGAGGGGCACTTCTCTGATCTTAAGGGTGGAAGTCAAAACTTCCTGTAATGCATTCCATGAGATCCACTGTTTCAGAATACCAGCCGCGATTGCCACTTTATACTTGTCATTTTTCACCTCTGTAATCAATCCCGGGATATTACTGGTGTCGAGGGGACAGCGATCAAATTCCGAGACTATAACTTCACTACATTCTGCCATCCTTACGATTAAAATTGTCAACCGAAAATAAAATATTAAATTGACTGGCAGTCATGGGCAGTTCAAAAATCGTACTTGATGTTGTTTTTATCATTTTCGGCAGTCCTTGCGTGTAACTCTGTGTTATCAGTCAAGTGTTTTGGTCACCTACTCTGAGACTCCACTTAATGCATTGTCATGTTTCATATCTGGTTGCCAGATCATTACGATAAGAAATCTTATTTCGATGAAAAGTTAGATTGTTATTTGCCTGAATTCTGGTTCAGCTCTAGCTTGAATCAAACAGCAAGTTGCCTAGGCAAACAGCCTACTGCCTAGGCAAATAGTCATGATTGCTATTTGTGTAGGCAGAAGGCTATTCGCCTAAAATTGTTAGATGCCTGCGACACAGATATTGCTTGCTTACCAAGAATATCTGCAGACTTCAACAGAACATCATACATGACTCATAGTTCATAACATTCATTGTCAGCTGGTCACTAATTATTTTACTAAGCGCCCAAACACATTGCATCACTAGTCTTAAAAATATCTCTCAACACAGGTTTAATTTTGCCTGGAATGAGAACTCTTGAAGAATTGTCACAATACAAGACGCCTTAGACGCCCATTACGCCTTAGACGTAACTGTGCCCACAGTTGAATTAGGTACTAAATTCATTTCTCTCATCCAGTCTCAAAAAACCAAGCTAGAAAATAAAATGCGGCAAAACAATTTAAGGAATGAGGTACAACTAGATGTATACTTTCATAATGTACGTAGCTTAAGGAATAAAGATGAAGAAGTACTTGTAGAAATTAAGGAAAAATGCAGTAAAATTGACATTCTCTGCTTTGTTGAGCACTGGATAAAAGAAGTCAAGGATATTATTAAGCTAGAAACGTTCTCTTTAGCGTCTTCCTTTAACCGCAAAGTAAAACGGGGGGGTGGAGCAAGCATATATGTCTCTCCACAGGTAAATTATAACCAACTAGATTTTGAGCATTTAGCGATTGAAGAAGAAACTGAAATAACAGGTATCAAAGTGACCTCAATAAAAAAAGTGCAACTTTTAAAACCAATTTTTATTCTTGTAGTGTATCGACCTCCAAAAGGAAATTTCAAGGTATTTCTTAGTAATATGGAAAAATTGCTTAACGAACTCAAACCGCAAAAAAATACAGTAGCCATTTACGGTGATTTCAATGTCGATATGAACGACTCGAAATGCAAAGATAACGCTTCTTTTAGGTTGTTGGCCAAATCCTTTAATCTAAAGCTCAATGTTGAAAATGTGTTCACAAGGATAGGAAAAAACTCCAAAACCCTCCTTGACAACTGTCTTTCAAATTTTGATATAGGGAATATAAATGTCTTTGACTCCACTCTAAGCGACCATTGTAGTATTGCCTCACAAACAAAGCTAAAAGGTAATGAGACAGAACCCATAATGAAAAGATATTTCTCTGCAAGAAATAACACTATCTTTAAAAATGCCATAGGTGACTACATAAAATCGAAAAAACAATTAACTTTACAAGAACTGCATGAATCTATTGTAGAAAACTACAACAGTAGTTTCCCGCTGAAAGTGAAAAAAATGAAAACAGATAATTTTGAGCTACCATCTCTAAAAAAAATTGAACTAGGGGAATTAATCAAAGAAAAAAACAAGAACTGGGAACTCTTCAAGTTCCACAATTTGAGAAAATATAAAAAATTAGTAAACAGAGCAAACAAAAAGATAAAAAAACTCATAAGTAATTGTAGATACTCAAAAAATGTTGAGCGCATAAAGTCAGCCATTGCCAGTAAAAAAAATGCAGAGGTATGGAAGGTCATCAAAAACGATTTAGAATGTCAAGTCGTTTACGAAAATGTAAGTGACCTCCTGATGGATGGGAAGCTAATTGATGATCCAGTAGAAATTGCGAACAAATTTAATGACAGCTTTGTGAACATCAGGGCAAAATTTCCCAAAACAGGAAGTCCAGCCCTAGCTCGTAATTTAATGAGAGATAAAAATAAAAACAAAAATTCCTTTGATTTTAAATCCGTCACAAAGTATAAAGTTCAAAATATTATCAAACAACTGAACAAAAAAGCGGCAGTTGGTTTGGATGAATTTCCCAACAAATTACTGTTAGATAATTTGGAACTTCTGCTGGATCCAATAGTTCAAGGAGTAAACGAAACAATTTCCACAGAGAATTTCCCGGAATCATTAAAATTAACCAAAATTCTCCCGCTACATAAAAAAGGCTCCAAAAAAGATCTGGAAAATTATCGTCCCATTGCGATACTTCCTTTTTTGTCAAAGATTCTCGAAAAAGTTCTATACAATCAAATCTATGATTATTTTGAAAAAAACAATCTGTTTACTTCATCGCAGTTTGGATTCCGAAAAGGAAAAAATACAGGCTTAGCGGTCATGACCTTCCTAAACCAAATAAGGCAACTAAAAAATGCTTGCTCTAAAGAGTCAATCGTAAGCATACAGTTTGATCTGTCGAAAGCCTTTGACTTAGTTGATCACGATATCTTAATTGAAAAGTTAAGAAAATATGGCTTTTCCACCAAAGCCTGTAAGTTGGTTCGGAGTTTCCTCTCCGGTAGATTTCAAACAACCGAAGTATCGAAAAATGGCCGAAAATATCATTCCAATTTCACACCTAGTACCGCTGGCGTAGCCCAAGGCTCATTGCTAGGTCCACTTTTATTTCTTATATACATAAATGACCTGCCAGATTTTCTAGAGGACAATGGAATTGACCTTCAAACAGTAATCTACGCTGATGACATCAATGTGGTAGTTAAAGGGGTGGATATAGAAAATAAAATTAAATGGGTCATCGATAGAGTCAACAAATGGGTAGAGGATAATAATCTAAAATTAAATTTTGCTAAAACCTTTATATTAAACTTCACTAAAAATATATTAGATTTTCAATCGGTCAAAATCGGTGATAAGGAAATTCAGACAAATCAAACAGTGAAATATTTGGGCTTCTTCATTGACCAACAACTAAATTGGCATTCTCACGCAAAACATATTGAGGAAAAAATTGCAAGTAGGGCATTTGCTATTAGGAAACTTAATAGGAAAATAGATAGGGAGTCCCTCATGTTTTACTACCATTCTAACGTGGATTCCATAATTAGCTATGGCATACAATTATGGGGCTATACAACAGGTGCCAGAGATATTCTTTTAACTCAAAAAAAAATCTTAAGAATTATTGCAAACAAAAAAAAATTTGACTCTTGTAGAAAACTATTCCCAGAGTTCAATGTGATGACTGTCTTCTCTAGGTATATATATTCAACAATAAAGGAATCAATTAAATTAGGCTACATCATCAAAGAAAAATTAATTACTAATAATCAAATACAAACCAGAAATATCCTAGCAAAAATTGAAAAAAAACGGGGGGAAAAAGTAGACTGGGATAGCTTAGAAAGCAGAGGTATCAGATATTTTAACAAGCTTCCCAAGCCATTAAAAGAACTTTTCATTAAATCAGAAAATTCAAATCTATTCCTAAATAACATAAAAAATTACTTCATAGAAAACCCTTTTTACGAGTTAAAAGAATATCTCGACGCAAATTCTCCCCAATCCCTAAATTGCCTGAATGTAGTCCCCTAAGTCTTAAGTCTTAGTTCTTCATTTACTGTTTTCTTTTTTTTTACTTGTTTGTTAAAATTTTGTTACACTTATTTGATGTTAAATTTTGTTCCATTAAATTATTTGACGAGTGTTAAGCTCATAAATTTGTATGAATTTCATGAGGCTGTTGCATTAATAAATATATTATTATTATTATATTATTATTATACAAGAATTTGAGAGCTGAAAGAAAGGAAAACTTGTTCGAGAAAAAATGCAACTTGTAGCTCCAAGCAACCGAGAATTTAGAACCTAGAATAGTTCTGATTGTATAAATTTTTGTTCTTTATTTACACTGGGTTGCTTTATTTTTGAATCCTTTATTGCTCGAAGGCAGATAACATTCTTTGTTTTAATTTTACAACAGCAAGGGCGCAGTAAAAGTGATAAAGATAAACAACTTCTCGTGGCAGATATTTATGCTATTGAAGGCAAGTTCAGCAAAGCAGCAGACCTCTATGCAAAATGTGGACAAGGACACAAAGCTTTGGCTATGTACTCTGACTTGCGAATGTTCGACTTGGCGCAGGTAAGATGATACTTTTAACTTGCATTTTGACAGTTGTTGAACCTGATCTGTTTATTTTTTGTATATTTTTTAAGATAAATGGATTTAGTGATTTTTTGGGTTTCCCATCTTATTTCGTCATTCTTTGATCTCTCATGGTAAGCTAGTATTACTTGGTCATGTGCTCCAGTTTTACTCTTAAAAACTAACCATGAGCATTTTGAGGCTGAGTAGTTTCTACATTTATATTGCCATCATAAAATCTTTGTTTCCCTAAGCTATATTTTTAAGTTCTAGTTTGTAAGAGCTAATAAAGGATTTTATGTTCTCAAGGAATATTTGGGGACCGGAGACAATGCAGATGAAAAATCGTTGGTTCTTAAGCGTGCTGAATGGGCAGAATCCATCAATGAGCATCGAGCTGCCGTCGAAATGTATTTATCTATAGGCGAAGTTAACAGTGCCATTCGCTTAATGTCTCTTAACGAATGGGTGGATATGTAAGTTAACTTGAATTCATTCTTTCTGTTTTCTTCCATTTTTTTTTATTTACCACCAAATGTCCAAGAAAATGCCCTTTAAATTTTCCCAAAACCAATTGTATAACCACGGAATCTTTGAAAATTTCAAATTAACCAACATGGCATTTATTTTGTCTCTTTTATACTTTCAGGTTAGTCGATATAGGACGAAAATTGGACAAAGCTGAAACAGAATTAATAGGACTAGTAGCAGAAAGCCTTCAGAAACTGGGGGAAGTAGATAAAGCAGCAGAAATGTACAGCAAATTGGGAGAGCTGAAAAATGTTGTGCAGCTCAACATTGAAGCAAGAAACTGGCAAGAAGTTTTTTCGCTTGCTGAAAAACATTCAGAATTCTATGAACTTGCCTATTTGTCCTATGCTCAGTGGCTTGCCGAAAACGACAAATTTATTGAAGCTCAAAAAGGTAATATCTCGCCAGATTTTATTATAAGTAATTAGGAAAGTATCAAATGCCAGCAACGTCATACCGCCCAGTAGTGGTCAATGATAGCACAGTGTCATCATCAAAGCAAATTAATCTCTAAAAACAAGGAGAATAGTAAAGTTAAATACATGATGCCTAAGTCCTAGACTTATCACCAAATTATTTTTTAAGTTTTGGATACATCTCGGCAGGCACCAAGCCACAATTATCAACAAACTTCAGTAAATTAATCAGCTAATTTTCTGTGGTAGTTTGATTATGATGGTGGCCTAGGAGTCACCAAAAAATGTCCTATACACAGCGAAAGTAAAATTGTTTGAATTGAGTTGATATCTATCGGTCATGTTACAGTGGTCTGGTCAGCAATTGTCCTGCTTTAAGACCCAACACTCCTCACGTCAGCGCATGTCAAATGATATCTGCGATTTGCTGCTATCTTACAAAAAGTCTTCTTAATGTCAGCTACAGAAGGCATTTCAGCCAGGGTTGACTTAAAGGAGAATGTCGAGACCAAGTCGAATTTATGTAATTGCTCACTTTTGAAAAGTTGCATTTTTTGTTAAGATTGTCAGTTTACCTCTCGTCAAAAGCCATTGAATTTAAGATGATAGTTAGAGTCTTTCGTTTAACTTAATTTGCACAGAGAAGTCTGCATTTATGCTTAGGGAGTCAGATGATTATAAAAAAAAACTAAAATAATTGCGTCACATGCTAGTTGAATATTTTCAAGTGCCACTTTTCTTAAACTACTTAATCGATGGTGAAACTACAGAAATGCGTATCTCGGTTTGTGGCGTCGCAGACTTCTTGTCTTACTTTATTTTCTAGATTGAAAACTACTGAACGTCAATTTTTAAAAATTTCAGTGATTTTTCTTCTCTTTATAGAGAATATCTTGTGAAAACTTCAAGCCATGATGTTGGTTCGGTTGCTTTTTAAAAAATAAAATAGGAGCGAAAGTTTCGAAACACCGCAAGCGAGATACTTATTTTTGCAGTTTCTCTGTGGATTGCAGGAGCTTTGTTCGTTTAAAAATGTGAACTTTTTCCAAAGAATTTTCAGAGTCATAACAGCTTTAGCTCATTTGAATGTTCTGAGATTTAGAGGATATATCCTGGGATGAATTTTGCAAAGGAAGTTAATCTCAGTAAGTTTTCCTCTGTAGATAATGATTCTTATCTATTCAATGTGGCAAAAAAGGTTCAGTTTTCAAACCTCATTACCACGATTTCACAAACTGAAGTGAGCAAAAATTATTTGTATCTTTTTGCAGCATTTCACAAAGCGGGTTGTCTAGATGAAGCGTCCAAAGTCTTGCAAATTCTCACAAAAAATGCAGTCAACGAAAGTCGGTTTCAAGATGCTGGCTACTACTATTGGGTGCTGAGCAAGCAGTGTCTGGACATTGCAGTTCAAAATAAGGATGATGAGAGCAAAATGGTGGAGCTTTACCATAAGAACGATAAACTAGCATCTATCTATTATGCCTATCACATAATTCAGCGGTACATGGATGAGCCTTTTACATCGTTTACATCCGAGTCTTTGTTTAACATCGCACGATATCTGGTAAATGAAACCAAATCCGTGAAGCCCCAGGAAGTGTCGCAGTTTGCAATTTTGTACACACTGTCAAAACAGGCACAAAGTCTAGGTGCATACAAACTCGCACGGCAGGTTCTTGACCGAATGCAAACACTCCGCATCCCGCCTCAATTTAGGGTAAGTTTTCGGCGTTGTCGAAAGGAAGTGAGCATAAAACAAGAGACTCGAATGTAGAAGTTCTGCTCTCTCCCTTTTTTCTTTTTTTCAAATTGTTGTTTCAACTTGTAGGGAATGAAAGTCTGCCAAGAAATTAAAAACCTAATAGAATTGAGAAAATTAAGGTTTTTTCCCTCCTCCATCAGTATCAGTTTAAAAGATTGCACCAGGTATCTCATCCAATATCTTATAAAACTTATTCCTAACTCATGACTAACTAACTATCCCTATGTTTAAAAAAAAAGAACAAATTTTGGCATGGGAACGGAATTCCCCTGTCTTTACAATCGTTCTGCTGCTACTGCTATGTAATTCCCTATGTCTCTGTGACCTTGGGCGATTCGCCCAATGTTCGATTTTTGGTTCATTTTCGCATGTATCAAAAATCGTTGTGTTTTTTAGTCAATCATGTCTCTACGTCAGGTTGTGTCAAATTCTAAAATTCGCTTTCCGCGAGTTTTTTTTCTCCTTGAGATGTCGTGTCTGACTGGTAAATCTGCGCAGAACCACCGAAAAACGAATTTAGGCAAATTCTTTTTTTTTGGGAGGTTCTAATTGGTTACATTTCGCCATCAATTTTCTGTTCGTTGGTGCCAACAATCGCCTTCCTCGTTGCTCTTGAGAAGCCGCCATTATCCCACTTCAAATTTTAGAAATAAAAATAAAGAAATAATAACCATTGTGCAAGGTGGAAAATTGCTCTGGAGGACCCGTTACGGATATATGAGCCAAAATCAGAACTCGATTGATTGATTTAATCCATGAATACAGAAATATTGCCTCATTTTACTGCCGCGATAGCAAATGCATGCTGAGATGAACCTTGAGACACATATAAGCATAGGCAAACAATGTCTCACAGAGAAAGGCGCTTTCTCCATTGTCTCATATCACGGCAGTGGCCAAAGTGTCAAGGACATCTCTTGTGAAGCCCCGCTCAGCGTCCGAGATCACTTAACTGTTTTCTTTTCTCCCGACTGCCACGGGCATCGAGATGGCTCAGTTGTCTACAACACCACTCTGGCATAAGGAAATTTTCCTTTTTGTGCGAGCGGGGGTTCGAATCTCGTAGGGGACAGTTAATTTTTACTGGTTGTATTGAATGTTTTAGACCAATCATCAAACAATAATTAATACTTGGCAACTTAGGAAGCACATAGGTCACTTATGATGCGTATTCAGGCATATGTGTAGAGTAAAAATATCATACTTTTCGCCGAAAAAGCGAACCTGAAACTTAAATGCGTTAACTTCCGAAAACCATATATAATCCAACGAAAATAAATAGTTGGTACATAACAGCTTTCTTGTATGCAAAGAAAAAATAAAAAATGTTAAAAAAGAGATGTCAACACAAACTTACATAGCCCCTTCAATTCAGAAGATACTACAAACGAACCGTACCTTAACATTTTCATATCCCAGAAGCTATAGTTCCCATGACGAATATTGCTATCGCTAGCGATTGCAAAATCCAACTTGTCTTTTTTAAAAATGGCTAGCCCAAATTTTTTCTATCATTGAACGTCTTTGGCTTTCATCCATGATCAGAATCTGACTGCAATTTAATTGGGAATTAGTCTAACCAATCAGACGTTGCCTAATTTTTTCTGATTTATTATTTTTTCAACAGGAAAGTAAAGAACTCTGAAACTTAAAATTTTGTGTGTACTTTCTTCATACTCTTGTTCAATGTCAAAGAAAGTTTAATGGCATTATTAAGTAGTTTAGTTCTTTGCCAAAAAAATAAAACACAAGAGAAAATCAGGTAAAAGTGTCCCTTGTACAATTAGTTTATATCATAAGAACTGACTTGAGTAAAAATATTTGCTTTCTGTATGCTGCTCTCAGGACTATGTGGACATGTCTACTCTACGTATTCGAGGGAAGCCTTACCACGACAATGATGATCTGCTGATAATGTGCTACAGGTGTTCAACGCACAACCCTCTTCAAATCAATTCATCTCAGGGCAACACATGTGTCAACTGTCGCCATCCCTTCGTCCACTCCCACATAACCTTCGGTATTTGACTGGAAGTTCTTCTCAGATATCAATATTTTTACATTTACACAATAACTTTATTTTCTTTTAACTTACTTCCGGTTGCCCTTTTTTTTGTAATCAACATAAGATTGCATCTTATAAATCGTAAACTATTATTTAATTTGGTTCAAATTGTTCAAGTGTGGACACATACATTTTCATAAGTTCGCTACAGGGATGCTGCCACCGCCATATTATGAAGTACTGTCAGAAAACTACTGTTTGAATTTCTACACGGAAAAAAAAGTTGCTGAAGTAACATTCTGAATGTTAAAACTCTGCACGACAACTCTTGAATGTTGTTATATACACTTCGGCTGTTGAAGTAACATTCAAGCCACGTTGAATTAAGAATCGTAGTGTTCATACCAACATTCAAGATGTGTCGCGCACATTTTTAACATCCAAGATGTTACTTTAGCAACTTCTTTACTTATCACTACCTTATCCCAGATCCCAGGGTACCTTATCACTTTACTTTATCAACTACTTAGAAACTTCTTCTGTAGTTGGTATATACCAAGCTGCTAAGTCTCAGTTTTGCATCATACGTCGATAGTCTAATCTCCATGTTTGCCAAAATTTTAGTGAAAATGAGATTCAATTATATCAATTTCAGTATATTTCTCAAGGAGGATGCTCGTTTGATCATATTTTGCTCTATTTCAGAGGTTTTGCCTCTAGTGCAGTTTCTACCGGAGGAAGGAATCACCGATGCTGAAGCAATGCGACTCATCGAGACAACACGAAGTTCTGCAGAAGCAGACGATTGGGACCAGCAAATTTCAGACCACACTCAAGCACTGCGCCCAAGCGGCCCTGCATCATTTAGCTCCGCAGCGGATCCGTTCACAGCACGACTTCTCATGTTGGACATGGAGGATGAGTCGCCGGTTGTCACTGTCAACAGAGAAACGTTGCTTGCCATGGACCCCGCCAGCGTCGTTATCTGCCACTTACCACCGCCTCTCAAATATTTATATTATAGGAACCTGTTGCCAGAACTTCAAGTCTATGTGTGTCATAGTTGTTTTAAGGTGGGTAGTGTCTTTTGATTTGGTAGTAGTCACTCATAGGTCATTTCATGTCAACACGACTACATACTTCCAGAACCTGATCATTACCGATTTGGCTCAAATCTCATGTACATCCTCTGTTCGCTGCCTTTAAAAAAATACTTTCCCCTTCCACGATCTGTTCGTGAGATGCTGTCCGGAAGTGGTTGTTTTTATGTAGAAGGATCCTTTTCTGCCCATTTTGGAAAGATTTTTTTATGTGTTTTGATTATGAAAAGTCCTTAATTTCCTGTTTTACAAGAGAATGGACCACTAGACAAGGTACGAATTTAAGCATTCTGATACATGTCTCTAAACCAGAATTTCACGCAAAACACGATTCACACCACGAAAATTACTGAAACCAACTCCTAACGAAGATATTAACGTTTTTATTTCACATTGGTTACGAGGAATTTGAACTGCCCGCTCCCAAGAAACTCAAAGCTCTACATGAGTCAAATCGCGCACTACAACGGTTTCAGCAATCTTCTCAGTCTAGCAATGTTCATGCCCCACCATGTGTTGTTCAAACTATAAGCAATTTGCTATAGCTGAGCCAAAGCGTCAAGATTGAGGTTGCCAGATTTTTATATTGCAGAGACATTCATGATAACGTTTAGCGCGCGATGTAAATCACGTAGAGCATTGAATTTTCATGAGCAGGTGGTTTCAATTCACGTATCAAGAATCATTTAATATCTTCGAAAGGAGTTTATTTCGGTGATTTTCGTTATGTGCATCGTGTTTTATGTGAAATTTTGGTTAAGAAACATGTATCACAATGCTGAAATTTGCACCTTGTCAAGTGGTCCATTCCAAAATTAAAGGAAAATTTGCAGCACTGCCTTAATTTAAAAACATAAAAACTGAAAATTCGAGAGTTTGTTGTTGGAATGTTTCTTTTTCAATCATGAAGGCTCAAAATTTTCGAAAAAATCCAAATTTTGGGAATTTATATTAGCTTGAGCTCAACTTTATCTGCATTCTCAAAATCTTAGTAAAAAATTAGTCCAAGAAAATATTTGTATAAATATATTTTTTCATATGCAGAGGCAGATCCATCATGGAGCCGCAAAGAAAGGAAGGTCAAGAAAGAGCTTTGTCAGAAATGGCTAAAAGTACTTCTATCTTAAGAGGTGGATATCTGGCGACTGAAATATTAGAGTAGATACCCTATATTTCTAAAAAAAATTGTTTGATGGTACTTGTATGTCAATTTTTTCATCTAAGTTTTTGTCTCTGGCCTTTACCAGATTTTCCATGTGGATGATTACGAAATGGAGTTATTACAAAGAGGTCACTGTCCTTTTTGCCGCGTTGAACCAGAGTCTATGTCTACTTCATTGGTTGATATTTAAAATTCTTTGGCGTCACTCCATGCTGAAAAAGATTGAATTGTGTCGGAACATTTGTAAGTAGATAAAAGGTTATTTTTTGAGTAATTCGTCCTTAAACAGCCTAAAATAATAATACTGGAATGAATGAGACCTTCAGCCAAAAAAAGGTCCTCAGATGACGAAAAAAGTCAAGTTATTGATGCCAGAATACAGAGGAATATTCCCCGAACAGTTAAGGATTACAATTGCACAAAAATTTCGAACCAAATCAGAGTCACGGCGGTTTGAAGTTTTTGGTACAAAAAGCCAGGTTCTGTGAAAAATACTTTTTGAGAATCTAATCTTCAGGGCACGAAATGGCCAGATTATTAGAATCATTCCAGAAGTAAGTTCTACGGTCTCAATTTTCCGAAAGTATTAGCAATAAATGAATGTGGTATGAAAGAATATGTCTGTCATATATCAGCTGTTCAACGAGTTAAAAAAGTTGAAAATTGGCCCACAAGTTCACTGGGGAAATCCATTTTACCAGACCCACCTCTTCTTCTAGCAGGTCTAAAAATGAAGATTTGTGAATTGATGTGTTACAGAGAGGTTTATCACCTTCGCGGTAAACATTTAAAATTCGTCCGTAGTCGCCAGATTCAGTCCTCAGAGATTTTTACCTTTTCTCAGACCTGAGATCTGGTCTCAGCGGTAGTAAGTTCGTCATGATGATGAGGTCAAAAAAACGTCTTCTCCCGGCTACTAAGTCAAATGAGGACTCCTCACCTGACATCAGAATGCTGTAGCATTGATATCAGAAATGTTTTGACAAATGGAGACTGCTTTGAAAAATAAGGTAGACTCTTTACAACTTGTCTTTTCTATGACCCTCACTTTATTTTTCTTGCTCCAATATTCTGCGCAAAGGTCCAAGTTACAATTGAATTGACGTATGCGAAATCGTCCGATGTCCAAGACAGTGTTTCAGAACTTGAGTGGATAATTTCGTTGCAATGTAACGACACAAGATGATTTAAGATGTTAGTCATGTAGAACAATTTTATAAATAATCCCCCAAGTGTAATTAAATGTTTACAAAAGAGATCAATCCTATTCATCAGTGTCGTGGGACAAAAAAAACCCACCGCAATTATGAAATAATGTATTTGACAATGGACGTTTTCGCATACGTCGATTCAATTATGGACCTGCCGTGAAAGGAGGTAACACTAAAACAAACTATTTCAAGAAAGTAGTGGGTCGATTTTCAAATTTTTAGCTCGATGAAAAGCTAAGACTATGAATATTAAACTTTTTATCACCACTACCATTATTCGTTAACATTTTTGGAGAAGTAAAACCGTGGAAATGACCTTTTGAAATGACCCTGTATAAGCCCTGAAGAGAATTTTCTTGGGAAATCTGAAATCAATTCTTGACCCAACTGGATAAAAATTATTGATGGAAAATTTTGCTTCCGTTGACTGAAATCCCTTTTCTCAAGTATGGTTGTAAATACTGAGAAGGCATGCAAAAATTAATCTCATTATTTTTGATGATAATTCCAATCATCGTAGATTTTTTCAAGTATGAGATATTTTAGAGTGTTTTGTAGTTATTGATGCCTCATGTAACATATTCATAACACCATAAAGTTTTCGATAAGTTTTATTAGTTATAGGATTCACATTCCTTTTTGGTCCATCATTAATTTCGACTATTGTGTTTTACAATTTTTCTTTTCTTTTTTTCTCTCAACCTCTCACAGGAAGCAAAGGAGTAAGTTTAGAATAATGATCATGATCTTTCAAGACCAAGTTTGGTTTTACTGCTCTCTAAGTATTTTGCTGTGAAATATTTTTAATTTATTAGATACCTATTATAGAATATAAAGACCTGAACTGTGATATTTATTCTTTTGTCTTTCGCACTCATTGTTTTTTAGTAGAAGTACACTTAATGCTTGAATCAAAAATGCGTAGTAAAATAATCAGAGAGTTTCTCTATGAGATATTCATCAGCAGTGTTCGAAACTCACCTTTGAGTTTTAGGAGCCATGTGGTGCATCAAGCTCGATTTTTAGGGGCCAGATTGACTTTTTACCGATATATCACGGCGCATTTAGTAAAAAGAACGCCAAAAAAAAAAAAAATAGAACGAAAAAAAAAAAAAAAAAAAAAAAAAAATTAGACGCAAGATATTTTAGTCTCAGAACTAGTAACTGTAACTTGGGGAAAATTTTGAAAATTCTCAAAAAAGAAAAACTAGGAATTTTTTTTTTGGGGGGGGGCAATTTTTAGGGGCCACGTTGGCGCAGAACCATCATTTTTTAGGTGCTATGACTGGTTTCTTAGGCGCATTTGGCGCCTGTGAGTTTTGAACACTGTTTATCAGTAGCTGCAAATAACCTCATTCCATGGAGGCATGCTCTTCAATCAGCTCAGACTGCTCTCTGTCAAATGTTCTTATTTTCAAAACAGGAGCCATGTGATGTGAATACCTACTTTAGGCTTGAAACCTGTTTGCATGACTTTTCCTTTTTTTTCTTGTAGTATTTTTATTTCCATGACAGATTTTGATGTTTCCTCTTTTCACTATTGAAACTTATCCGTCCCTCTCAGTACAAATTTATTTTCTGTAAATTAGTGTTCTTTCATGTTTGTGAAACTGTGAAGATCCTGCTATTAATGAGCCATTGCAGTTTAATCTGAAAAGCTGAGTTGATTTTGCACCAAATTATTGGCTGCCTGCAGCAGTGCCTCTGAAGCATCATATCTATTTATTTTAGTATTCAGTCATAATGCAAAAATGAAGGAAGCTTATCCTCAGCATATATGCTTTGCCGACAAACCAATACTGGTTGCAGCGCTAAATTCAGTTTCAGATGGACATTTTGCAATTCGGAACCTCAATTTCTGACTTGGTTTAGAAACAACATTTCTGCCGTGCGAAGGAAAAACGCCGTATGAACCTTCAGGCGTTGCCAAATTTCCGTTGTTAAAACATGAATTTTCTGATAAACTTACGAATTTTTTCCTTCAATTTTTTTAGATAATTTTGTTCTCAATTTCACCTGAAGTCCCTGAAAATTCCAAGGAAAAATATTCATAACTTCCCCCAAAAATAAACATATTATCGAAGGAAATTTGGCAACTCTCGAATGTTCATACGGCGCTCTTCCTTAGCATGGAAGATTTGTATCAATAGTTTCCCTATGTACATAATTTTTTTTTACAGATGACCCAGAAATTTTAGTTCTCAATTGCCAAATGAAGTCCAGAAGATACTAGTATTAATTATTTATTAGCATACTGTTATTAAATAGTGGTAAAGTCAGGGTAAAAAATCGGCAGCTACCTTGGAGATTCATTGAGTACACTGATTTTTGTTTTATGACTAAACAAGAACTTATTACTATTCCAATCAATTGAAGAGCTACTTTTTCTTGTTAAACTGGAAGTAATCCTGTCTCAGTTATAACTAACTGAGATGGTAACCTAAAAATTTTGGTCATCTCTCAAGTTTTTTCCTAGTTATTATGTCTACAAATATTGATTGAGGACATACGTGTTTGTGTTTTCTTAGTGCATATATTGTCCAATCATGTTTATGTGAGAAATATTTTAAGATCCGCTTAAACAATGCAATTTTGTTGAACTGTTTGTCATTCCGTCCATTTTCATTGTTAGTAAACTTTTGTAAAATATATGTAAGATCTCTTTAATTTTTTTCTCTTTCATCATCGGAATTATCTGAAAATTTTCATGATTCAAGCTACTCTGTTAGGGCTTATTAAGCCCCTAGCATTACTTTTGCTTGTCCTGGAATAGGAAAGACGTAGGTGTAAGAGCAAGCACTTGCCAAACAGCATGTTAGGACTTCAACTTTTTTTTAACACCTGTCTGCACCATTAAGGCGGAAAGTCATTGATAACTTAATGAACAGAACTTGATCAACTCCATATAGTGAAGATTATTTCCTATCACATTGAAATCCTCTTTTAGAATCTTTGGAAAGATCACAAGAACTAGATAATCGAATAAAATGTGATGACGTCAGGACAAGGGCCCTTAAGAAGGAAATAAATCGTGAAAATAAATTAGTCATGCATCATTTTGCTTAAAGGACTCCAAAAATTCCGAGAGCAGCCCTTTAAGGGCATTTTAAAATTAAAGGACAATAAATCTTGAATTACAGAAAAACGAATGACAAGGTTAACCTGTGCTGTTCTCAGTTTTAGAAATAATTCTAAGCTACTTGAAATCATAACCCAATGTTCTTTCGGGTATTCAAAATTGATATATTCAATTTCAAATCCATTCCTTTGCTGAACTGAACAATTTAGGTTTCCACCAAGAGGGCCCTTTTGTCTGACAGAATCACAAATAAGGATCTTCGTATGAGTTACTTCTTGATTAAGTGTCTTTTGGATAATTAGCTCAAAATCTCAAAAAAAGAATTATAAAACATAAAATACTAAGACTGGTTTTTTCCAACTTTTATTTTTTTACAAATCAAAATCATAAAAAAACTGTCACAATTCCTCTAGGATGTTGCTGGTTTAGTTTTCTTTACTCGTGGTTGTTTCTTTTCTTTGTCCTTTCCTTTCCCCTTCTTTTTCTTGCCCTTGGATGCCTTCAATCCTTTCTGTGATTCAAGGAATGCACTAGCTTTGCACAATGCCATCTGTAACAGGGGGAGAAATTATTATTTAATTCATTGAGGTATAAAGAAAAATCCAAGATTTTTTTTATAAAATTGGTATCATGAGGATGATTTTATGATGACAGGAGTAGTAATGTCGCTAATTTCATTTTCAAGTATTTACAGGGCAATGAAACAAATTAATCGAACAAGAATATAGTTGCCACTGGGAATTGTCTTGTTTGTGCACTAGCATAAGATTCATGCAGAAGATAATACGATATTATCATCACTCAGACTTCTAGACCATAAAATGGGATGTCGGTTACACATAACTGACAGAGAAAAAATGTCTCATCAGTTTGAAAAGATTTTAACAACAGCTGTATTTTCCTGCAATTCATTTGTTGTATAACTTTGAAAATGCGAACTAAACTGGCAACATTACTATTCCCATTAGGGTGAAATCACACATTAGAATTTAAAAGCAGGAGTCTATATCTATGAAAGCTGTCCAAAAAAACTGAGAGTTGGCCTGCTTTGAGTGAAGTGTTGGAGATATTGAAACCCCAATTGCAGAAACTTGTCGTTTACTTCATAAGCTTTCTAACGAGCCCTTGGTGAGCTCACATAGTGAAAAAATCGCATTTCTACAGCAATTTTTGGCTGAGAGTATCAAGCCACTCACTGAAAAAGTCTCACAACAGACTGATTTGGTGGCTACTTTATTCTTGCCATATTCCATATCAGTTTTTGATGGTTCCAACCAAAAAAATAGAACATAACTTCAATTCCACATTCTACGTGGAGTTTACTGAGTTGGGACATTAAAATTAGGTCAAAGACAAATCATAAATCAATAAATTTTTTTGCAAGAAACACTACACATTCCACCACCTTGGTATGAATACGACAGGGTTATGTGCCTGTTCACAGTGGAGCCATCAAACAATTAAGTTTATTAAATGATATAGCCACTAAAGTATTCTGCTGACAAACAAAAGCAATGAATTTTGGTTTTATTGTAATTTACTTTAGTTTTGGTTTAGAGTTACAATGATGGACAGCATACTTAAGTTTAAGAGAAGCACTGAAAAAGCAAAATAATGAGGTCAAGAGAAATTTTCACTTACCCTGGTCAATTCTTGGCGATATCTGTTCTTCTGCAATTTATTCCTCAACTTCTTCAGAGAAGATCTAGCATGACCAGAGATAACTTCACGGACACATGATTTACCAGGTTTGTACTGAAAATCAAGAAAACAATGATTAATTCAAGAGTAAATCAACTACAGGATTAGGGAGATGGAACAATTTCAGTTTTATGAATTGGAGAACCATTTTGTGCAAAATTCACGGAAAAAAGTCTTCATCAGTGGTGGGTGGTGATAGGAAACATAGTCATCACGAAAATAATCCAGTCCACGTCCATCATCTTGTGACGGAAAGTGAAGAAACTTCTGCTCTGAATGTTATGAATTCTAACAATTGGGAACAAAACTTCGAGAAAGAGCTGCCTTTATCAGTGGTGGGTGGTGATAAGAAACATCGTCATCACAAAATAATCTAGTCCACGTTAATCATCATACGACAGAAAATGAAGAGACTTCCGCTCTGAATGTTATGATTTCTAACAATTCGATGGTATACTTTCTAGGAGGGCTGCCTTAATCAGTGGTGGGTGGTGATAAAAAACATTGTCATCACAAAATTATCTAGTCCACGTTAATCATCATATGACAGAAAATGAAGAGACTTCCACTCTGAATGTTGTGATTTCTAACAATTCGGTAATAAGCTCTATGAGAAGGCTACCTGCATCAGTGGTGGGTGGTGATAAGAAACATTGTCATCACAAAATAATTTAGTCCACGTTAATCATCATGCGACAGAGAATAGAGAGACCTCTAATTTGATGGAAAAACTTTGATTTGGTCAGTCTGGGATAAAAATTAGTTTCAGTGATTTACTCATCAGTGGTGGGTGGTGATAAGAAACATTGTCATCACAAAATAATCTAGTCCACGTTAATCATCATTTGACAGAAAAGGAGGAAACTTCCGTTCTGAATGTTGTGATTTCTAACAATTCGATAGTATACTTTCTAGGGGGGCTGCCTTAATCAGTGGTGGGTGGTGATAAAAAACATTGTCATCACAAAATTATCTAGTCCACGTTAATCATCATTTGACAGAAAATGAAGAGACTTCCACTCTGAATGTTGTGATTTCTAACAATTCGGTAATAAGCTCTATGAGAAGGCTACCTGCATCAGTGGTGGGTGGTGATAAGAAACATTGTCATCACAAAATAATTTAGTCCACGTTAATCATCATGCGACAGAAAATAGAGAAACCTCTACTTTAATGGAAAAACTTTGATGGGATAAAAATTAGTTCCTGTGATTTACTCATCAGTGGTGGGTGGTGATAAGAAACATTGTCATCACACAAATAAATCCAGTCAATGTCAATCATCATTTGAGAGAAAATTGCTGAACTATCTTTGAATATGAAAAAAAAAAATTGTGACTTTAGTGAACTTCATATGAGGGCTGCCTTCATCAGTGGTGGGTGGTGATAAGAAACATTGTCATCACAAAAATTATCCAGTCCACGTCAATCATCATGTGAAAGAAAATGGAGAAACCTTCAGTTTGAGTGTTGGAAATCTTGACAATTAGGTGCAATATTTCATGATAAGGCTGCTTTCATCAGAGGTGGGTGGTGATAAGAAACATTGTCATCACACTAAACTGATTCAGTTCACGTCAATCATCATGTGAAAGAAAGCTTAAAAATCAAGGAGTGCCTGTGAACACTCCAGAGCCATTAATCAATTATGCAGCAGATATCTGAAATTTCAAGTTACAAAGCTACTTCCGGAGCAGCACTCGACTGTAACAGCTGCATTGTAAATCAAAAGTAGAATTTGAAATGTTGCCATACTTACAAAACTGCCTGGTTTCTTTGTCCTAACCACAAAACCGCGATTATCCTGCGGAATGGTAATGTGAACAGACTTAGGCTGGACAATGCCACTGTATTTGAAAGAGGAAAGGCATGGTATGTTTCCAGGCTCCTGAAAGAAAAAATAGTTGAGAATATTATATTTTAACATGTTGAACCATACGGTTTTAATTTGGAACCTTGATGAGCAGAATGATTTATAAATAGTACTAGACAAAAAGTAATCAGATTTAATTAGAGAAATATTAGTAGGACTTACTGTTAGCAAAATGCGTGCTGGTATTTACAGGAGCTCTGACTCTCATTGTGACAATGATGACAAGATAAACCAGTTGAGGCATTTTTTATGGCCATGGCTTTCTGAGGATCAGGAGTAGTGACTACTATTTAATCATTCAGTTCCAAAACAACCCAACTCCAGTAATTCAGCAATGCATTTTCTTAGAGGAAAATGTTATAAAAGTGAGGCGCAGCTATTATGTGCTTCTATTTTGCAAAAGGTTGAAATCCACAAATTTCAGCTAGTTCCAAGGTAATCGGGTTCCGCTTACTTTGTTGTTCGCATTATGGAGACAAGAGAAGTAAGAACTTAGGTCCCAATGCCTAATAGTCTCAGATTGACAGTAAGCATTTAAACATTTTCCTATTAGGGAAAAGAATTAGCTGCAAGCAGTTTCTTTCATTTGGGAAACTTTCTCCCCCTCCGCACTTACAAGGGGAACATCCAAGCTGCCGCCTCCGAACAGGCTGGAAAAATTAAATGAACTCTTTGGAAGAATCCATTATTGTTTTTTCCAATGCACCCTGGAAACACCCCCAAAAAATTCCATCAAGTCCAGTTTTGAGCGCGCAATGACATTGCGTGCCAGACACCCAGTCTGCGCTGGGAGGGCTGGGCGAGGCAAAGTAACGCTCCTTCGTCTCGCCCAGCCCTTCCAGCTCACCCTGGGTACCCGATGCGCACTGAAAACCCGACTTTTCGGAATTTTATGGGCAGGCTTCCAGGGCGCATTGGAAAACAAAACAACACGGTCCTAATGGATTCATTCAAAGAGTTGGTATGAATTTTTTCAGCCCGTTCAGAGGCGGCAGCTTGGGAAGTTCTCCTTGTAAGTTTATTTTAGAACTGAACAATCTAAGAGTATCAACTGATCGGTCAGTGACATAAAATTGAACACTCAAACATTGTTTTGCTTTGTTATGACAGTGCTTAGCAGGCCAACAGCAAATCGACTCTATGTCACTGCTTTGTTGTGTCGCGCAGTTGACTGAGTGGAAAGCGCGATTTATAAAATCTATGTTTTAACAGTTCATGGACATAGAGGCGACATAGCGCCGACAAACTGAAGGCACCTTCGGACCACCTGACAAAGGCTTAGTTGATGAATAACCTCTAATTATTTTCGCACAATTCAGTAAAAAATGAATTTATGAATTAAAAGAGAAGTTTTGTTCTTGTGATTCGTCCAAACAAATTTAGACACGTTTGTTCAGTCCACATTGGGCGGTGCTGAGTATCCGATCGTTCGATCCGATGACCAACACCAAACCAACCATATGTTGGCTAAGTCAGCTGTCAACAGGTTGTTTACAACCAAATCTACGTCAACAATAAGTGGATAAGTAAAAATGTCAGACTGACGTCATTCGCTTGGCCGTGCTGCGTTTTGATTGGTTGAAAGACATTTAAAAATTTGGTAATTACGTAGCCGACAACAGCAACGCTGCTGCTTTGTCTTACCCTCTCGCATGAACAGTTAGTTCTGTAGTGTCCGGTCCGAGAAGTTCAAAAATTACTCCCTGCTAACCCAATCAACACAGCATAGAGTCGATTGAGCTTTGTTGCCCGTTTTCAATAATCGGCCCGCAGGTATTGACAACATGTGCAAAAGGCACTTGACGATCGGTTATGCCGACGAGACAAGAAATAAAAATCTGTATTCATCCCGAACACTCAAATTAAAAAAAAACCCTTCAGATACAGCAAAGAGAAAGACTTACAGTGCTGAAATGTTTCTTGATGTTCCTCTTCTTTTTCAAGAAAGCATTGTTGTTCTTGACGATGAGCCAAGTCAAATGTGGCGACACAGCATAAGACATGATGAGCTGAAATCCAAAATTACGAGCGCAATGAGCAATGGAAGAATATCTGCTGATGAAACTCAACAGTATTATACATTTATGATGTTGAGAGTGCTTAGAGCTCCCTCATCATTTATGAAGACATAGGCTCTGAGTAGCTCGAGGTAAGTAAGCAACCGCTAACGTATGAGGCGGAATTGTAACTTCCTGGCTTTACTTCAGGCTCAAGATTTGGTATCTAACTCATTGCAATGAAATTTTATTTATTCATATGAGAAAACCAACCCTCTAATACTTACAAATAGTAAGCTGCATGATTTGATAAGGGCTCTTTCCCATTGTGAAAGAGCAATAGGAAACGAACATTTATAAAAAGTTAAAAGCCTTCTGATATACAATAAAAGGTGGCTGCCTGTTGTAGCAGTAATATTGTTTCTAGGGATGTCGATACTTAATCGATACTTCCAAAGTATCCCACAGTGCATAGTGAAGGTGAATTAGAAGGGAGAGAAGTTTTTAAAAAAGAAAAAGAGGCCTTCTTCATGGCCAAGTTAGATTAAGTATCGATACCATCGATACTCAACGATAACGATACTATGTGGTATCGATACTTAATCTAACTTGGCCATGAAGAAGGCCTCTTTTTCTTTTCTAAAAACTTCTCTCCCTTCTAATTCACCTTCACTATGCACTGTGACATGCAATGCGACGAAGTAATCAAGTTACTCAAGATGATTACTTTCGTTAAAAATATTAAAAGCTCGGTTCGATAACTGTAAAAAGGGCTCAAAATAGTTGACTGAGCGCGCGAATAGGGCGGTTTGGAGAGAGGCATAAATCTGGCGGAATTTGACGGCCGACAAATATACGCACACTCCGATTACAGCATACTTAATTCAGAAATAGTATCTGTGGCATCGATACCTAAAAAGTATCAATACTTCAGCTCGATGCTTGATACTGGTATCGATGCTTAGAGTCAATACCAGTATCGATACTTTCCCGAGTGTCGACATCCCTAATTGTTTCCACAAACTCGGTAGTTGCGACAATATTAGTTGTCACCTAAATTCAGTAATCTCCTACACAGTGTGAGAAAAACGATCCTAGGCTACCAACATCTAGCAATATGTGCTAACTTTGATTAGGAGAAGAAGGGTAATGATCATTCCTTCAATTTCCTGTATCTAGTACAAACATGCTACAAGTGTAGGCTGACTAGGAGGTTAGAGCTATGTAGCAATGTAACTGAACTACGTTGAAATAAGTTAATACGGATGAATTTGGCTAAATCTAGAAGATTGGACGCACCAGTAATATGAAAATAACAAGAAATACTCGAAATGTTGAGAGAACTTTACAAATTAGCAATGTTCCAAGTATAACCGAACCGCAGATCGAGATGTCAACAACGTGGATGCGTTCGACGCAAGGGACAGAATACCATCGACCCAGCCAGCCCAAACTTGAAGTTCGACGGGAATTGATGGTCTTTGAGGATTCTTATTTCGTTAAATGCTTTTAATTAAAAAGTAAAATAAGAAATTCGGGCGAAAGATTAATAATACTCACGTGGAAAGGCCTGCTTGAGTATGAAAGACTGCCGAATTGCACCACAGATTAGCAACACCAACAGCGATGTTGATCGATGTTTTCGTGAGAGCGCTGGCAACGACCCCGGGAAAAATAAAAATATTCAAATTCAAATGTAACCTCACAGTCTTCATTACTTCCTTGGTTTTGAATGGTTGAATTTTTCTTGAAATTTTTCAAAAGTGTAAAAGAGGGTTTCAAAATTTTGATTCAACTTTGAAACACAAAGAAATAACGAGGGTTAAGGAACGATACCGCCTAACTGACAATTGGATTACATTTTGCAAAAAGGAACCACTATCTTTGGCTCTCCAATAAAAGCACATATCTGCATAGGGAAACCAATGGCATGTATGTTGTTTCTAAAATGGGGCAGAAATAGTGGTTCCTTATTGCAAAATGTAATCCAATTTTGGCGAACATGAGGTGGCGACTTTGCTGCATTCTAAAGTATTAAACATACAAGCTGATGGTTTCAGTTTTTTCCAATCCTCATGGAAGCACTGTAATAAAGTTGTATTGTATACAAAAAAATTACAGACCTATCTTTAAAATAACCAAAACAGCGAAGTTTTTTCTTCATCTTATGAGAGCATCAGTACTTATGTGTAATCGTAAATAACACCTATCGCTGACCCTCTTGCACTCATCAGTCAAATGCAATTTTTTTCAGCTCATCAATTACGGACAAAATTGCACCTCACATGGATGCAAGAATACAATAACTGATACTTTCAAAGATACTGCGAGAAACGGAAAAGTGAAAGAGCATGATCTCAAAATAAGTGCTTGAGTGCTGAAACGGATGATTGAAAGATTTATCAAAGATTCTGATAACTTTCCTAAGTTCAATTCATATTTGAACCGCCTTTAACAGAAAGGAACCATCAGCTATTGCCAAATTTAACTGGGCAATTTAGTATTATAAGAGAACGTTTGTACGGATTCTTTTGACAATTTTTGGGAATTTGCTTTCTACTGTGCAGAAAATCTACTGAAATTTGCACAAAAATCCACACAACCGTTTCCATGTAAAAAATTAAATTGCTCCCTTTCATTTGGCAATTGTTGATGTGGCTCGGTTCCTTTCTGCTTGGTGCGGTCCATTTGATACCTGAATACTTCTAAACTTGAACCTCATAAATCTGTAGGTATATCCACGGCCGTGGATCCAGCTGTCTCCAAAATACAAAAAAAATACAGTGTTACCATTCTGCATATGCAACCCCAATGGTAAATTACGCAACACTGCACAGAGAAATTTCCCAATTACACAGAAAATTTTTCGAATTGCGCGGCAATTAGGCAGTTGAAGTTAAATTATGCACAATTTTACACTTATTTTAAAATTTTAAATATTTTGTTTCCTATGTAAGGTAGGAATCTGGAGGCAAAGTTTGCAACATTGCTTCTAGGTAAAAAACTGTCTTCACTACGACCATTTACCACTGGTTTACCAAGATCGGCAAGACCAAGCAAGATGTAGCTAACCTAAAAACCGCGATAGCAAACTGAAATTTTTAAAAAACTTCAATTACACGCAAATCACGCAACTATTACGTATTATGCAGCGACCCTCAATTACGCAGAACGGTAGCACTGAAAAAGTCATTAATATTCTCCAAAACTCTTCTTTGCTCAACGTAGGCACCAGTCGCAAAATAAAGAGAAATAAATTCCAAGTATACCAATAATAAAAATTGAAATAATTTATAATTCAAGATAAATATTATCACAATTTTTATCACATTTGAGAGGTTTCTGATTCACAATTTAAACAGGAATAGGAATACTCATTGAAATGTGGAGCCATTACAAGCTTTGCCTTCACATGGATCAATATTAATCAATAATATTGAACAAAAGCCACCTTCCTCCCTCACAACACGAGGGAAAGAATTGACAAAGCAGAGTGACAAACAGACAGCAAACATTGAATGAGAATTTCAGGAAGATGAAACTTTAAAAACAATAAGGAGTTTCCAAATCATTGTAGGCCTGAAGCTTGGAACTATGGCTTCATAAATGACACTTTCTTAGAAGATTTGCATTGGCAAAATAGTAATTTATGTTATGTATATGCTTAAGGATGAGAAATGCATTCATTACAAGAGCAAAGATCTTACCAGGAAGATCTTGATAAGTAAAACTCCCACCTTTACATACATATTCTAATACATAATTACAGAAAAATCAAGTCATTTGCATTTTCAACCTGCAGAATAGTTGTATGCTGATTTAACTTGTAAGAATTCTGTTAATGTAAAATCCTTTATTCGTCTCATAATACTTTGCTAAGAATTAATTCCTTAAATTCTCAAAATTAAGAGGCCTGGTAAAAACAGATTTTTCTTTTTTTCAGGCTTTCCCTTCTTTTGGCTTCATTGCTAATCCTCTTGGAATATCTCTGGAGCTTAAATATCGACGGTGCAAGTCGGCAATCACATAACTCGGAAAACGCGATTTTTCAGGAGAGGGAAAAAACTCTCTACATTCCTCATTTTTGAAGGTAGAGGGGAAATAATTCTTAGAGACAGCAAGGATAAGATGCTTTATAAGACTCTATCATCATTTTGAATAATATTCTCGTCTGTCAGGAGAAATGACTGAAAAACCGAGTTATGCGTTTGTGGACGTAAGGTCCAACACTGAATTCCGAGATACGTGATTGGCGAATTACTGATTCAAACCTATTCTTTGCCGATGTTGACTGAATAAAGACTGAATAAGACTCCTCTCACTTTAAAAGTAGCCTAAAGTTCCTTTTAACAAACTTTAATTGGTAGCGAATCTTTGGAATGACACTGGAAAACGATTCGACGGCATAAGTCGGCAATCACATAACTCGGTTGACGACGTCGCGGACTTCCTGTCACACTTCATTTTTTAAACGGAAAAGTACTCGACGGCAATTCTTTAAAACTGCAGTGAGTTTTCTTCTCTATGCAAAGAAAATTCTGTATAAACTGCAAGGAATGATGTCAAATGTGTGGTAGAAGCGGAGATTTTCAGACACCATGAACGGGATAATTATGTGATTGCGGACTTCTTGCCGTCAAGTTACGAATTAAAATGAAATGAATATAAAAATAAGCGGACGATTACTCAGTTATCCGTCAGATTAGATTTTAGATGTTAAAACAATAATAATATTTTTGTTGTTTGAAGATTCCGTGTCGTACTAACTTTTAATTTTCCCTCCTAAACTGCTCACGGTTCTTCCCGGGAGAGCGCGCATTGTGTAAAAATGCGGCGCGACAGCACGAGTTATGTGTTATTGGAATTAACGCCAAGATATGTGTTTTGAGTTCTACGTTTTTAGGTGACTTCCAGATTTTTTTCGGCTGAAATATTTTGATAGTAGGTAAAGGGCATCTTCTACACTTCATTTCTGCAGCTAACTCAAAACCGTCAAAAATCGAGTTATGTGATTGCCGACTTTCACCATCGATATACTGTTATCATAAAAATATGAATGAAAATAACATAGTGCTTGGGAATTTTAAAAAAAATTCCAGGTGTAAAAAACTGAAAAAAGTACATCAGTCTGTCTGACATTGAGACCAAATCTTTCATGAGATTAAACAACTGATTATAACAAGTCAATTTGGTGCGGTTTTACAAATAGGCGGAGACTTGATGACATAACTGAAAAACAGCTTGATGATGAGGTGGTTCATTTGAAGACTTTGAAATTAGATATATAAGTCACTGATTCCTTCAAAATAGTCTCGGCTCTCTTCAGAATCTTCAGGTCCATTTTCAGTTTCTTTCAAGTGTTCGAGGAAGAACTTCCCTGAATCGTACACAGCACCCGGTTTGAGCAAAGAAACACTAAAATCGTTTTTAGGAACAATACCGAATTTATTTTTAATGAATTCTACCACATCAGCTGCAGTTTTTAGGTAGTTAAAAACCCTCCGCTCCGCTCTTGTTAGCAATTGCGTCAACATGAATACCAGATGATTATGAAAGATGAAGAAGTTTGGGTGTTTCATCGACAGCCAGTCTTCGATGACACATAATTGGGTGATCTTGTGGCCTGCAAACAACCCAGGGTTTTGAAGGATTCCGCGAGCTGCCATGATACCTGCCCAACAGTTAGAATTAGTGTAAGAATAAAATTTGATAAACTCAGTATCTAAAAGGGTGGGGAAATAAAAGTTGAAATGCTGATCAGATCTTATCAAACAAAGTTTGTTTCTTACTTTTTCGTCACTCAGATATTATTTAATAATTTCTCAGCACAGTGAAAATTTTTTAACCAGATGATGTTTAAAGAAAAATGCTTCTAATCTTGCGACAAGTTAGGAATTGGGTTGCTACTAGATACATTTTTACAGGACAAGTCTAAGATACCAGCCTGGCAAGTGGTTGCCAAGGTTGTGGCAACGTTTTTGCAACCCCTTCAACGACTAATTGTCAGGCCGGTATTTTTCTATTTTTATTTTGCTATGGATTTTAGAATTAATATTAGTATACTATCCACGGATTTTTCACTCCCTCTTTCCTTTACGGCTCTTATCATTTTCATTCATACTCATTTTATAGTTTCAGGTTCGCTTCAGTTTAACCCACAGGTCTGCACTCTGCAACATATAATACAAGGCTGGCATTTGGTACAGAATCACTCAAAAAAATATATTTCCTTCTTAACCCATTCGCCTCGTTTGACGAGTACATATACTCGTCAGCGCGCGCGCGGGACATATCTCAGTTGACGAGTTGATTCGCGGCATCTATCAGCGTTGCTTTGCGATTTTTTAGGCAGTGTTTTATCACTTTTCCGATAGATGGCATCTCAAGTGTCGAAATGGCGAAAACGGCGCGAATGAACTCGTCAGCTGAGATAATGTCCTAGGCGCCCGCTAACGAGTAAACTCGTCATGTGAGGCGAATGGGTTAAATGTACTTTTGAAGTTACAGCACATGATCAACAGAAATATTTTGTTAAAAAGAGAGTTTACTGTTTTCACCCATTTTTGTTAGACCTGCCAATCATGAGTGTTTCAAAAATTGTTTAGAAAGTATGCCTGCAAACAAATTACCAGTTAATGCAAAGTTTCCTTCAGAATGGAAATTGAAAACTTCTGCCTTGCTTTCGATTACTGCTTAAGGTGCGAAAAAATGAGAAAATAGCAAACCTTGGCAATTGGTTGCATTGTGAAGGTAGTCAGCATCAACAAGGGACTTCACATCTCCGTTGGCTATCACAGGAATTGAGACACTTTTCCGAACATCTATTAAGGCATCCATATTAATTGGTTCTGACCGCTGATCAGGAGTACGAGCGTGGACTGTTAACAAGGAGACTCCAGCAGCCTCTAAACTCTGAGCAAGTTCCACTGTTTTCCTGCACATAAAAATAGTTATAGAAGTTAGTTGACTTGCTTTAAAACAAATTCTTTAATTCTTTCCTGTATCCTATTTCTTATTCTTTTATATCTTTCTCTTATTCCATCTCTTCCTTTACGTGTTTTCTAGAAAAGACATCCTTAACTCAACACAAAACTGAGGAAATGTGACTCTTTTACCCCAAAAAGTCACGAGTCAACTTTGAATGTTGAATTGTAAGACCTCTTCTTCAATATGAAATTCCACAAAATCCAAAGGCATACAACTTGACAGTATCTTGAGAGGAAATAAAACGTTCATTCTTTTACTAGTAAGTATTGTCTTTATCCTGGGGTCCGAAAAAGTCTGATTAGGTAATACACTGATTGCATGATCAGTGAGGAAAGTTTTTTTTTTTTTTNGGGTTAAGGAAGTTTATGTTGACAGCAGTGTTGAAAAATTGTCACTATTTGTCGATGCTTAATATTGCATTTTTGGGGGGCATCAGGGGGGAAAAATATTTTGACCAAAAAACTGATTAGCACGCTGTAAAGTACAACTTAAAATAAGTTTAGACTTCAAAAATGAGGGCTAGAGGCAATTTCTACCATCAAAGTACCATCGAGTATAAGTACCAGTAAATACCATGGAATCAGCAAAAAAAGGTATGAATTATAAAGTTAATTCTCCTAAAACCAAAGGGTGCATCCTTAAAAAAATTAAAAAAAAGAACTCTTCAGTAAGCTTCTAAGTGATGCCAATAAGCAACTTTTCTGCATTACAGGGTTTTGATTTTCAAACAAAGCGATCTTTTTACCCACTCCTAAATGAAGGGTAAGAACAACGTAATCCTCATCCAGTAACACTGATTACAATGCTAGGGATTTCCTGTATGAAGTGTATGATGTGATGCACTTATCTTTTAGCAGCAATGGCGCTGGTTCAATAGTGTCTCAGTGTTTTCCGCCCTCGTCACATTTTCTCTATCCATTTCTAAGTATTGACATTAGGTCTTGAGTTTATGTCCCTTTTAAGAAATAATTTAAAATTGATATAATAAACTTGTTGCTTCCCATTACTGAGAATAAAATTATGGGCGACTAACTCATGGAGGGAATTCCATAATTTCAAATACACCGTAAAAATAACCTTACCGCACATCATCGTACAAGCGTATTTTGACAGACACAGTCTTGTGTTCAGGCAGTCTGTTACGCAGCTGTTTCACACAATCATGGATGATTTCTGGTTGACTGAGCAGACCACAGCCAAACCCACTTTTCAGTGCCCATTTTTGAGGGCAGCCACAGTTCAAGTCAATACCATCGCAGTGCCTTAAATTAAAAAAAAGTACGTTCAATGAGCAGTGCATGCCAATATATTACTATCATAATATGGATAAGATCTTGGGTTGGATTGACTCAAGTTCTGGGAAAACTTCAATCTTTTCATCTTATACAAAATTACTTCCGATAGTATCGGTACACTGTATCACCATGAATGGTGAAATGACCAAACCAGGTATTGAGCTGCAAATTTCCAAGAATACTGAAATTAAGATATGCATAGATATAGTTTCACTGTCTTGCCAACTTATGGGCCTACTTTAAATTGTGTGGACTGACTTCCTGCCTCATGATTTATTCATTGTCATGAGATCAAGTTTAGTCAAATTCTATTTATACTTAATCTTCTTCTTTTATTTGTTTTTTTTTAAAGTATGAAATTACGGTTAGATGCCAATTCTTCTTGCCAAAACAATGAATTATTGCAACTCAGCCTAAAACAGAGTGCAAAAGGAATGAGAATATGTCATACCTTTAAGAATGATATAAGTTTTGCCACAAAAAAATAGTGGAGCACTTGACTGAAAAATAATCTTGATTACGATCACGATTCAACAGAATCATGATAACAATCTTTATAGTAAAAATTTTGGGAAAAAGACAAAGCTGTCTGATAAAAATTATTTCAAAAGAGAGACTTTGATGGACTCATATCCTAATTTATGTGGCATCAGAACTTAGTATACTTTTTTCAGTATGTACAGTGCCAGAAAGAATGCTCAAGAAGAGACCTTTGCTTACTGTGATCAGTTTAGAATGCTAATCTGACATAATGTCAGACAAATTTAGTCCTCCAATAATGTTCAAACAAATACTCAATTCAATACAAATATTCAATTCAAACAAATACGCAATTTACTTGTTCTGCATTTAAAATAAATAAGAGATTCTCCCTTCCCATGTTTCAGCATGTTTTTTTTTTCTTCGTTGCTGGAAATTCATGGGCCTTCACTTTTGCTTGTCAATGATAGCTTAAAAATTCCTCGTTAAGAGCTGTATTATAAAAATAAACTTACTGCGCTACAAATTCCGCAGCATCGACAAAATCTTTTACACAGCTGGAAGCAAACTGTACAATGAGTGGCCGATCACTGAGGACACCTATGAAACATACAAAGAATTTTTTTTTTTAAAATACAGGAGTACCTACTTACGAAGTGAGGACATACAACCGATGTGAAGAAAACATATCATTGCTAACAGAGTAACCAATCATAGTGACATGATAAGAGCTCAGCTTAAAGAATATTTAGAAGAAAAAATTGGTTTTCAAAGATTGTTGAGATTACACTAACACTTAAAAAAAGTTTTACTACAGCAGATAATTGTTGTTCGGATAATTATGGCATTACTGTAAATTAATTATGATTGATGATATGTACATATACTCAAGTCTACAATTCAATTTCACTTCTTGCAATCGCAAAAAATCCTGCGGAAAACAGCAGTAGATCCTAGATTACTGTTCATGAAATTCTAGAGGATAATTTAAAAATTCTCTGAGTGCTGCAGAATATGAAAACTGCAACCTTGTTTTCTGAAAAACACAGGTCAGCTTCTCTGGATAATATCTCTGATTCATCCAACTTTTGACCCATTTACAATTGGATTGCATCTTTCAAAAAGGAAACAAGAGCATTCCAATGTTGCTGGGATTGTGCAACATACATGCTTTGCGATAAAATAAATGAAACAAATCAGATTTACAAAGGTGATTTTCGTCTTGAATTCATAGTTTATTGAGAGTAAAGACAAAACTTGTATCGATGATCGGTTTATATTTGCAGGGTGAAGGAAGTTGCACAATTTTAGCGACACTAGGATACTCCTGGTTCCTTTTTGCAAAATGCAATCCAATCCTGCAATCCCGTTGGTTTACAATTTTCCTCTACCTAAACAAGATTATAGCATTAATCTTACCATCATAACTAGTAAATTCAATGTCTCTGGCTTTTGAAGACTGTACAAATGAGTTTGCAACGATCATAGGTGAAAAACATAGATCGCACCCATACTTGCGAACTATGTTCCGAAACTGCACTCTGAAACAGACGTAAACCACTCAAATAAGGAGCATTCAAGAGAAAAGTAAACTTGAAGAGAAAAACCGTTTTTATTTATTTTCTTAGGAATGGGCAGGAGCAGGATTTTGCAAAAAATATTTGATACTAATATTTTTTTTAATACCAATTACCACTAAGTAAGAATTAAGATAGAGATAGTATCATACTGCAGCTCCAGTCTGTTAAAGACAAAGAAGTATGATATGGTCATGTCAGCGTCAAAAAGTAAAAATTCACTTCCTAAGTTAGTGTGTGCCGCAAAAATAAAGGATAGCAGAATGATTTCTAAAATTTTCAAAAGAGAGTTGAGTTTTGGCCAGTTCGCAAAGATCTTAACAAAAACAATTATTTTAAAGAAGGCAAGGAAGATAAAACTTCTGTCTTCTCCACAAATATCTCTACGATTACGATTGATTTTCAGATAATTAGAATCTGGAAAAAGAGAAAGCTGACTACAATTTAAGGTATAGGTATGATTATTCTGAGTAAGGAGCAAATTGATGGCGAAAGTAAAAAAACATGTATTCCGATTTGCATCAAGCTCTTGCATGCATCTGAGATTCGCGATTTCAGTACTTATTCTTACGTAAAATTTTGCAGGAAACATGATGGTGTCTCCAGTTTCTTCTAAAACAAACTTTCAACCCCCCAAAGAACGATCAAAGTTGAGGTCATAATGAGGGGGAACCCTGCTACGCTGAGAGTCCATCTCTACATCAAGCCAATCTCTCCATGCACAGATAGGGAGAAAATACATAAGCAGGTTTGCCAACATTCCAGCCTTCAAGCTCGAGTTCTCAAGCTTAGTGGCACCATCTCTTGTTTCTCGTAAAATTTTACTGTCAAAAAAGTACCTAAATCGCAATTCCCTGATACATGCAAGAGCTCCATTGTGATACATGCTATTCAATTTTCACCATTGATATTTCATCCGGAAGCTTCTTCCCAATTCAGTAGACAAGCAGCAATACCAAATTAATAAAATCATTAAATCCGTCCTGAATCTCTATATCAATACTTCACTCTTGAACCAACTAAAAATATCTATGCAAAGCAACTTACTTGCTATATCGAACCATAGGAGCACATACTTTGACATACTCCTTGTCTTCAAACAATGACAAAACTGCATTTTTCATCCCAATAAGGTAAAATCTGGAAAAAAAGAGAAGAGCGTCATTGAGCGGAAAAAAATTTCAGCTAGTGAGAATTAAAGTTCTCATCATACACACAGACTTGGCAGCACACCAAGAAACTACACCATAATGGAAAATTTGCTTCAGAAAATTACACCAGTTCATGAGAGTTCTGCACCATGAGTTTAGGAATTGCATTCTCAATAATTTTTCTGTGTTGAAGAAAAATGGAGAAAATTGAAATTAGAAGGAAAAAGAGTATCACTATATTGCGTCACTAAGCAGTGTTTCTTTTTTAATTGAAAACCTGCTTCGGGCAGAAAAAATCACTGTTACATTTCCTTCAGTAAGTAAGTGTTGGTTCAATTTGAAAAGTGAAAAATTCTTATGCGCACCTCACTTAGAAGTTTCTTTTCATGAATGAAATTTTTTGACTTGGGTACTGCTACAAATTAGTTATCGCTGTTTTTGCATGAAGAAATAAATGTTTGGAACTGCAGCCCACTAGATGCCTCTTCCTTAAACTGAAGATTGCAAAATTGAAAACTGAATCCTGAGTTCTGAATTCAAGCTTCACTTGAATCCAAGTTGATAATATTGGATCTGATAGAATTCATAATTGGACGTATTTCTATCAAACAGAATTACGTGCAGGTGAGAAATATGGGGTGTGCTCTAGAAAGCTGGATAAGAAAAAATGTAAAAGTGGGCGTGATTCCTTTTGAAGAATTGGAAAAGCGGAATTTTAAATTCGGCGAACAGAACTGTGTGTCAACTGAATGCAGGATTAATGAGCAATGGGCATGGCGCTAGAGCGTTGTGGACAGGGCTCATGAGTTAAAGCGGCCCGATGATGATCTTTCCTTCGCGCCCCAGCTACATCATTGCTGCTGACGGCAATGGCGCTATATTATTCTCATTCACTTTTACAGCCAGAGAACTAACAAGCACACCCCATATTTCTCACCTGCACATAAATTTGTTTGATAGAAATACGTCCAATTGAAGCCTGTTTCCCAATAAACTTGACAGTTTGCATTTAGCGCAACCATGTGATTTGCCATAGAGGCATAAGTGAATTATTTTCTAGGTTTGTCATCAGTATCTTCTTAACTTTTTTCAACATCAAAGTGTCACAAGCCTTAGGCATTAAGAGTATTGAATATAGAACCAATGAAATTTGATATTGTTGCTTTGCATCAATCGCAAGCAGAGGCGTCCATTAAAGGCCAGGCTTGAAAGACCTAGACCCGATAAAAATTTTATATTAATCATCATCAAGATGATTCAACCCCTACTCGATTATTCCAGTCAAAGCCTGCCTGATAGAATCAATAATTGCTCGAGTAGTTTGAGCTGCATAGTGAACGTGTCTGTAATGATCTAGTTTGGAGGAAAGCAGGGAGACGTCATACCTAGAGAGGAACTTCACTATGACAAAAGTATGCTGTACCTACCTTTAGAGATCGAAATTTCTCTTCGCAAATTATTCACCATATCAATGAACTATTCTTCGTCAGTAAAATTACCTCAAAAGCTCTCGATGCCCCTATGAATTGCCGCGAAGCAGATAAGAAGTGCGTGTCGCCAGGTGTCGCGAGTGATAAGGATGCTATAAAAAACTAAACATAAACAAAGAAAGCATCATCACTTTGATTGAAATTCGAAAGAGGGCGCGACTATCGCTTGAAAACTCCTTCAAAAATTCTACAAACTTCACACAGACCATTCTTTTTTGTAGCGACAATTGCCTCTTAAAGTGTTGAAGGCGAATCACATTAGATGTAAAAATTATTTTTTTACTGTTTAGGTGTAATAACAATTTATCACAAAAAAATTACTTTACTTACTCTTTTAACTTAAGTCTGATCTGACGTCACACTGGAAAACACTACTGTTACGCACCAATCAGGTTACTTTCTGCCAGTGACATCATTCGAATAATTTGTTATCATTTGACGATTTTTCGCTTCTTTGTCTTTCTTATCAAATTTCTTATCACAGCAACAGACCGAACTGTCGTTTCACTTGAACTTCATTCCTCAATTCCTCATTCGTCTCATGTGATGTGGTCTTGGTCTCGTGCATTTGTACGTGAATTATCTTCAGTTCAGTCATTTTTTTAGCAATTTCTCACTCTAAGGCTGTGTGATTTTCAATTCAATATTCATTCTGTTTCATTTTGGAGGTGCCTTGAAAAATGATTTATCCTCAGATGTACACTCGATATTCACAAGAGGTACTCTCTCAATTCCAGGATTGATACCATGATGTGGAAGCCAAGTTTCTTGTTTCCCCACATACTCATAGAACTTGCCAATAAATCGGGCTAATTGTTGCCATGCAGGTGAGGAAACATTTTCAATTGAAACTTCTTGACGGTGTAAGTCGGCAATCACATAACTCGTTTGCAGTGTCTGACAATTTCTGCCTCTATATAATTTTTTTTTAAGGTGAACAAATTGACATCATTCTTTGAAGGTTTTGCAGAACTTTCTTTGCACAGAGAAAAAATCACAGCAGTTTTAAAGAATTGCTATCATTAAGCAGTTTTCCGTTTAAAAAGTAAAGTATGACAGGAAGTCTGCAACGTCGCCAGCCGAGTTATGTGATCGCCAATTTACACCTTCGTTCTGTAATTCTCTCTTTTCAAATAAATTGTAGATTTAAGTACACACTGTTCGCAGGCGTACTTTTCATGCAAAGATCCCTTCTCTCTCAATTTGAATACTGCAAATACAACAGAGCGGGAGTGCAGAGGGACTTTGATACGAACACACACAAATCATCAAGGTCTAAATCAGGAATATACCCAAGTTCTTTCCAACAGCTATGAACGGATCAATTTCAACGGACTAGTCCTGCAAGGAAATGCCATTGAAGTATCCAGCAGGAAACACTGGAGGAAAGCCCCTCATGAAAAAAGTATTCATGATTAACCTTATTTCTTCCATAAGGACTGGTTTATGGGTTTTGTTTTGATCAAGCATAGGTGTTCGTCGGTTCGATAAATACCTATCTTGGTCAAAAATTTGGGTGATTTTATAGTCTTTAGTAGAAAAAAGACAGTACCCTCTAATAAAAGTCTAAAAAGTATTCGCTTAAAAAAAATTGCCAAATGCAAGGAACTAAAACCAGTAGGTATTTCCCAGGAATTTTTATTTGATTCAGGAATTGATCTCTGCATTGAGTGCAATATTGCTTTTGTAGAAAATTGCTGTTTTTATTTTTTAAAATTCTGTAATTTTCCTCTTTATCTTTTCAATCTCATGTGCACTAAGTATCTCATTTTTTCATCCAAAACGGAAAGTTTTTTCTGACTGAAAGACCTACCTAATTTATTGCTGCAATGCTTCAAAGAGGAATACCTAGGCTGCAAAGTGGGCTGCAGTTCAAATCACCTTAAGGCTAAGAGTTTTACCTTTTTCATTAGAAGAATCATGAGGAAATTTAGGGGCAAAAAATTCACTGGCACCTCTTGCCGCTGAATTGTTCTACCAAAAGTTGCTAGACTAAAAGTCACCATTACGTAGATAATATGTTTCCTCGTAATCTCATTAGTTCTTCTCTGCCTGAAACTTCCTAATTTTCCAAAATTATCTTATTCCAGGCATTTCCACTATTATGAGTCGATCTACTACTCATAGTACGCTCACAGCTCCGAACACTACCTCAACTCCAACGACGGCTCATGATGATGACAACTCTGCTGGAATCCGCTCCCTGATTGTTCTTGTTATTACCTTTTGTCTCGTCCTCTTGCTAACTGCTGTGGTTAGTGTGTTTAAAGCTATTCAAAGTAACACTCATTTGATTAATGGGTTTTGATCGTTTTGTTCGTTATTTTGTTTTGGCAATCCTTTTTCAAGAATAGGGTTTTTAATACAATTTTAGTTAGACAATTTTTTAGCAAATTAATTGAACCTTTCATTTACAAAAATCGTTTTGACTTACTAAAAATAATGCAAAAGTTTTCAAGAAAATCCAGAAAAATTGCAAAAATCCGTAGTAAAAATTCTAAAAAAAATTGCCAGGTTAAGTAATTCTTCAAAAAGATTGAATTTTTCGTAAATTTATCGCTGCAGTTTAAAACCAAGCACATCTTTATCAGGCAAGGAAAGTGTGATGACTTTCTTCAATTTGATTTCATTACTTGCGTAATGAAACAGATCTTCTACGATGCTATAATCGGTTGCTAAATGGACATTAAAAAAAAAGATCAAAGCAATTCGTAAATTCAGTGTTTATGAGAAAATCTGCATCCTTAAATTTGATCTGGAAACAAAGATTCTCATACTGGTATTATCATAGGACAAGGCGATAGAGGTGGACAGGCTATAGGGAGGCTAGGAGACGATTGCCACTCAAGAAATCGCTACGAGAGCCCAGTACAATACAATGCAGGAACCAAAGCTAAAAATGAAAAGTATTACACCCAAAATATTTCTAGAAATGTTTAAAATTGCATTTGAAATGTGTGAAATTTTCAAATTTTTCTGGGGGAAATCCCAAAAATCATCAAAACATGTAGCAAAGTTGTGCACCACCTTCATCTTAAAAAATTCAGGAAAAATGGAAAAGGTTTCAAACGAGTTTTAAAAGAAGCCTAGATCGCTGGGTATAGTTTGCAAAAATAACCACGCACTGAAACCATCTCTAAGTACCTATACGATGGCAGCAAGTAGTTTTTACAATTAAATTTTTGCCCCTTTCAATTTAGCCTATTTGTCTGCAGGTTGTAAGCCTCATTCGAAAGAAACGACTAGATAGACTACGTCATCAGCTGATGCCATACTACTCCTACGATCCTCGAGAGGACGGTGATGACTGGGAAGCTGAATTACTTGATGATTCGTTTGATTTTCATTTGAAGGTAAGTAAAAAATCAGCTTTTCTTGAAAATCAGGACTGAATTCCTAGACCAATTGGGGCAAAAATTCCTTGAATTTTAAGACAGTAAAAGATGATTCGACGGACGCCATTTTTAGCGTCAGAGCAACGTGTGATGTATTGCATCAGTTCGTTCCATAATTTCAGCTACTTGTCATTTTTTCGGAATTTTGAGTTCGCACTTCTGTTGTCATGAGTCTTAAGAATTCATGTACCAAACTTGACCAAGAAACTCAACGTAATAAAAGCTTGGTTTGTTTAGAGGAAAAATATCGCATTCGATACTGATATTGAAACTGCACTTGAATGCGATATTTTTCCTCTGAAATAACCACGCCTTTAAGTATTAAGTTGAATTTCTTTGTCAAGTTTGGTACATAATTCTTCAGACTCATGACAACAGAAATGCGATCTCAAAATTCGAAAAAAATGACAAGTAGCTAAAATTATGGAACAAATCGATACGATATATCGCAAGTCGCTCTGACACAAAAAATGGCGTCCATGGAATCACCTTTATAACAATTTTAAAATCATATGATCTAGCTGGGATAAAAACTGAGCTAACTGCCGTAACTTTAAAATTTGCCTCTTACATGAACGAAATTTTTCCCTAATTTTGGGATCGTGCAGCTCCTTTTCCCCGGCTTCTTCCACTCTTTCCTGACCTATTTTTCAGCCTTAGCCGTGGCTACCCTGTCTAACCTCATAATTTTTCTACCACTGTGTGTTGCTTTCAAAGAAAAGCTGGAAAACTTGTAGATACGTTCCACACAATACTTTTTTCATCTTCAATGAAAAACTTTTGGTAATTGTTCAAGCAGAACAATTCATGTTCAGCACTCTGAGCCACCACAAGAGCAGTGAACTCAAGAAGAGTGGTTAGCTTCACATCTGACAATAGGAATCAATAACTTTACTATTTTGTGTTGGTTTTCATTCGGAAAAATTTAATATCCTGACTCTGCAATCCTTTTTTCTAGGATTACAAGTCAACCATTTGACCACAGGGAGTGTCAAGATAGCTCTTTGGACACTCTTCAAGGAGTGAAAGTTTTAACTGGTGGAGCTCCAATTTTTTTAATCTGGAAATGATTTTCAGATGTAGACTTCCAAAACTAGTCAATTATAATTATACTTAGTTATCATAGTATTTATATTTCTCTGTACATATTTTTAATACATGACCATGTTCAATTTTATTGTGACTTAAACTTATTCTCGTTTTTAATAAGTACTTACTATAACCTATACAGTAATACAAGGCGTAGTGCTCCACTTTTAAAATTTTGGTCACATCTGAGATGCAAAAGAGAAACATTAACATTTCATGACTGTCTTTCTTCCTTAATCTCATTTATCTTAATTAACTTATCGGCATCTTCATTGCTGATCATGACTATTTGAGGCGAAAATTTATCTGTTCCTTCCCTTTAATCCCTGAAATTTTTCTCACAAGACAGCAGCAAGATTCATGACTTGTGACATGGATCGTAATCATCACACATTTCCTGTCCCCGGACTTTTCGCTTTCATTTATTAATTGATTGATAAGATAAAGTTATCAGACTTAATTTATCTGTATTTTCTCATAAATGAGCCCCTAGCAGGTAACAATTGGGTTGAGGTGGAACTTGAGTGCGTGCAAGTCAAGTGAAAGATAATCAATTGACATTGAATAGTGTCCCTAAAACTGAGAGGCCACAGCCAAAGGCTCTCTCTCTCTCTGGCCCTCAACAGTATTCTTCACTGCTCTGGTCCTTAGACGAATCTCTGAAGTGAACTAACATCAAGATATCCAACATATAGCAACTGAAATACCGGTTGTATCTCTATGCTTTGTACAGGATAGATTCATTACACCTGATCACTACACCTTACATCTCAGTTATCAGTTCCCTGAGAATCCTTCCCCTAAAAATGAAAAACCAAGCCTGTTTTTGGGTCTCTAGGTTTATCAAGGTCTACTGAAGGTTTACCTAAAAATGGATAGAGAAAGATAGCAGCAAAGCGAGTTCTCTTTTCTTTGATAAGATCTTCTTATCCAGACAGATAGAATCGATGGACAACTTGTGCACAGAGAAGAAATAGGTGGTGAACTCTGAGGCTAATTTTTGCATCATCCAAAAGAACAAATGACATTCCCAAACAGCTTAAAGACAGTGCTTGAACCAGCAATTTAGTTAAATTGCTGGGAGCAAGACCCTCCAGAAAAACATCATAACACTTATTAATTGTGAAGAATTTGAACATTTGCTACATATATATGCCTAGTTTTCAATTTCCGCTGCTTACACAGCATCAATAAGTAGGATTGCTGAAAGGCCACAATTTCTGCTTCAACTCTCCACAGCTTGTAACAGTCAGAACAGTTGTGTTTTTTATAAAACTGCGACTTATCATTGGACTGGGATTGATGGTCAAAATTATCACCTCATGGAATGAGGACAGACGAAATTCACACACTTGGTAGGATCGGTAAATTTAAATTTATTGACTTCATGTAATGTTGTAAAAATGTTACACGTCATATCGTACTAATTACAATAAGTTTCCAGAGTAAAACTATTACAAGAGAACATTCAGGTTGAAAACGATCACAAGTTCGATTGGTTCAAAAACTAAAAAATGATAGCCTTGGAAAAAAAGGGAAGGTTAATTCACCGAGAGAATTCATCAAGAGGATAAAATGTTTATCCTAGCTCAGACTATTCGCACCTATATATTACTTAAAAATATATAAAATACCTTAAACGATATTCATACACTTTCTATCAATTTGAATTTCTGATATGAGGGCAAGAGTAGAAATTTTGCCCTGGTTATGTATTCTCCAAAAAATTATTCTAAAGGAAATTTAACTTATCAAGGTAACTAAAGAGACCAAGGAAATTCAATATATTCTAAAAATTTCATCTATCGAAAAAAAGCGCCAAAAGTTATTTTTTGTCTTACTGATTGACATAACAAGACAATAATGCCCGAGTCACAATTTTTGACATTTCATTAGTTGTACTTTGTGCGAAATGAAAATCTCTGCCTACAAGATTTGAGGAAAGGAGTGAGCAAATAGTAAAAAACAGCGTCTACAAATAACTCAGGTACAAGATTTCAGGTAGACTGAACTCTCGGTGAATTTAAATTTGCATTAGACGAGGAAAAAATCAAAATGGAAGTTAATAAATAGTCAAAACAGAGATCCATATTATTACTTAGCTTCCTATTAAAAATCAGTTAAAAAGTGGTCAAAATATGTGAACAGAAGTTAAGCCATGTTAAGAGGGAAGAGTCAAGAGAAGGTTAATGGCCTGCAAAGCCATTCTATCAGTAGAATACGAAGAGTCTCTAACAAGCTCTCAGCGGCAGTATTTGCAACGGATGAGCCGTTGCAACCATTTGCACCGTCATTAATTGGAAGCATACAGATCAAATTGGAATTATCTTCATTGAGACTTAGGCTTTTAGACCCATGTCATAATGGAGATAGTTCCTTTTGATGGAGGTACATTCAGTTAGCGCCGGATAACTGACAAAAATAGCAAGCTGAATCGATTACATTTTATGGATTGAATGCTATGCAAAGCCAATCACCTTCTTCTTGGCTTAAGACATAGGATAACCGTACATCGAAATGTGATAAATTTAAATTTCCCATCCCACTAAAGGAATCCTACGAAAGTTAAATTCTTTAAGTGGCAGTGGAATTTTCATTACTTACAATCAACTTTAAATATCAAAAGCTAACTCCTATAGAAACTGACACACCTCAAACAAGCAAATTAAAGTGAAAAATGTGCAAGAAAATCCATCAGTTTGCACTGAGCGGATTTTATCACGCAAATTCTAAATATTTCTCAGTTTACACACATGTGCAACCAAAATGATGCAGCTTGTTTAAGTAGTGTCCATTTCAATTATCGAATTTTTCAGACCGATGAGAGGAAAGTTGAAAGTGTTGAGAGTTAACTACACAGAAGATCTAGCTTACAGACATACAGGAATAACACCATGATGGGAGTAATCTAAAATTTTCCTAAGAAACATTTTGTTTATGCGGAAAAGATCAACTAAATGAAAGTTAATTATGAACTTGAAGCATTAGGAAATTTTCATAAAGCAAAACCTATCCTTAAAAATAAAAATGTGAAAAAAATTGAAGATGATTGAAACCTTAAGATTACCATCGGGATATGATAGGGCAACAGGAAAATGAGACACATTCATGTTGTTTCTGCGCATGACTGACAAGGTGCGTCGGCCAGCAGGAGGAACGAAACAATTTTTTTTAAATTATCGGAGTGAGTGAGAGTGAGGGGACTAAAAAAGACGAGAGATAAATAAAACATGAACGTTCACACCAATAACACATACCTATCTTCACATACAGACTTTTGAAAGTAATACTTGGATAGTTACAGTTAAAATGATTTCAATCCAGACGAGAGACGATAATTTCTTAAAAGTATGTACATAATTTAGTTAGTGAAAATTCTTAGTTTTCCTCATCCTCTTCTTCTTCAGCTGAAGATGCAGTTGCTTTCTTTTCCACCTTCTTTGGCCTGCCGCGCCCTTTCCCGGCTCCAGAGGATTTTGGTGCCTGAAACAAACAAAAGAGTGAGTTTAAAATGAAACAGGAGGTAAGAGATGCACAAACGGAGAGGAAAATTATTGTACGAGAACTAATCGATGTATTAAAACTCTTGAAGCTGCAACCAAACCCTATACTTAGGTGGCTTCGGGGATCCCTTCATCGGGCAAGCTTACTCACATTCAAATTCCCATTAAGGCAGGTTTCCAAGCGAATCAAAGTAATAAGGAAAATTTCAAAAATCTTATGGAGTAATTCAGCTCAATTCTCTGCAAGGATTCCATTTGTTTGCCATTGGAAACATGAAAGAAGCGATTAAGAAATCTTAAAGTCTTCCGGGACTGGAACTATGTTTAAGTTTGTTAAAATCATAACACTTTTTGGAGGTATTTATTAATTCATTCGATAAAACATTAATGAAATCTTTTGTGAGAGTCCAGTCACAAGGTAATACAACTGAACTTTATTCAGTGCTTGAATCCAACAGATCCTGTACAGAAAACTTGCTCAAACATTTCTAATTGGCAGCTAAATAATTGAAGGCTAAAGTTGGCCCTTAAATATTCTTGTTCAGCTGGCTAGGAAAATGCTGAAACTTAGACAAACTTTATTGATACATGCTAGAATCATTAAGGACCTCTTAAACGGATTCTATCGAGTGAAGAAAACTTCAGAAATTTGGGGATCTGTTAGAGAAAATCCTACGGTGCCCAAAGCCATTCAGTTTTCTTCATTAATTATCTCTAAAAAGAAATCTTTATGACCCCTATGTACTGAGAAAGTTTGCAAAATTAGCCTTTAGAATTCTCAGTAAGATTTGAAAACTCATTTTACGCAAGTTTTGTTAAAGTAATCTTCCGGGTTTCCTGAAACCTAATCATTTTGTTGACCTAAATGGTCCTCCAAGGGGAAAGAAGATCCAAGAGCTGCAATGATTACGATATTTCTGCACTTGAAATATTGAAAAATGAGTTAAGTATACAGTCAAAGTGAGAAGCTGAGGATGAGTAGCACTTAGTATAATTCTATAAAGTAGATGAGTAATATATTTTAGGTAAGTTTTCAAAATTTCTTCGGCTCTTCACTGACAGAGAAAGAAAAAAGGCTCATAATATTTTTCAAATTTCCAAAGTGTTCTCTCTGCTTTTTCTGAAGAATCCTCAAATCTGCACAGAGCTTGAGAAAGCAAAATCTAGCATTTACGTCGTTTAAGCAACAAGAAGTTAAGATTTTCACACATCATTACAGAGAAGGGCAGAAAGTTCTTGTACTTTTAGCAAATTTTTTGTTTCTTTGATCTTCATGTCACAAAAAATTTAACTAGGATTATCTTTACAGGAATAACCTCAGAATCATCTGCAGAGGCCCGATGAGTATGCCCGGAGATGAGAGAAAAAGCTCGGTTTTCAATAATTATCTGTTCCACACCTAAATTTTTCTAATTGTAGGTGATCCTAGCCTTCAAGTCAAATCAGAAGTTGGTTCTTAATTTTATCTTGACTATTAAAGCAGCTAGATCTATATTATATCGATTGAGCAGCGGGTTAAAAGTTGAAATAAGTGCATTTAATGGTGAGAGCATTGATTGCGGTAGAATCATTTTACCTTTGCTTTCTTGCTCTTCTTTCCAGAGCCCTTGGGTCTTCCACGGCCTCGCTTGGCGGGTGAGCCACCAGATGCAGCCTTCTCTGGCTTCCTCTTCTCAGCTTTCTTTTCCTAAAGATGAAGACAAAATTTATTACCGACCACATTTGCGACAATTATTGTGCTTCAAATCAAGTTATTAATTTCAAGCCTACAAGAGACGTTCTTTTCATTGCTAGAACCTAGAGCCACCTTTATTGGTCAAATGTGCTGTTTTGAGCTTTATTAGGCTTCGAAATTCTTAAAGCAAGCATAGGTCCAATTGAATTCTTATGGTTAAGAATTGTGGATCAGCAAAGTATAACAGGATCTGTCAAATAGTGAGTTACTTACAAAATGCTGACAGAAATATCCCTGTCCACAGAATAGGACTCTCCAGTGGGACATGACTAAGCATAGAATAGAATGGAATTTCTTCATAGAGAAAGATTCCCTCACTATTAATCAAAATTTTTCTGAGTGACGACATTTCTAATTTTAGAAATGTTTCTTTCGAGAGAGAACTTATTCAATTGAAATAACGATCAGACCTGTGCAGGCAAAGTCTGGCCATTGTAAAAAGAGCATGGCAAGAAAATAGATGGATGGGAAGATGTTCTGTAGCTTGAGAAATTACACGGAATTTGGGTGAATACAATGAGAGGGGGAAATGAGATTGGAGGCTTCAAAAATGAATTAAACTATGAACCAATAGAATTTTACAAACAATTTTGGAGGGATAGAAGGCTGCAAAATGTATGATAAAGAGAGATGGGGTTAAAAGCTTGCTGAACTGGATTAGTTGTCACGACTGTTATAAAAGAAAAGTGGGTAAAATTTTTCTGAAAAAATTTGAACAAGAACTTACTTCTGACGCAGGCTTGCGTCCGCGTTTCTTTTCTACTACAGCGTCGTCAGACATGTTGTTGATTTAGAGGGAATTCACCTGAAAAAGAATTTAATTTTTTTATCAGCTGTGGATGGATAAAAAAGAGGGGGAAAAAATATTGATGTGTTGACTTCTAAAAAATAATGTGCAAGCATGAATAAATATGGTTAATGGTACAAGAAAGTTCACTTAGAAATTAGAAAGGCATGCAGATATCTAAAGATGCTTGGCAACTGAGGAGGGAGGCACTTTTCTAAGTTTGTTAGACCTCTTAACAAACTTAAAAAAATGCCTTGCGCAATTTATAAACTTAAATTTTAGACGCTGGCAGAACATTTCGGGGAGAAAACAAATTATGGTGATGTGAAGGGGAGAGGGGTTGTAAATTACTTAGCAAAGTGCCTACAACTCTTGATACAAGGCTTCTTGAACAATTGAACTTTACTGAGTTATAGTGCAAGTACCAATGTCATGCCTGCAGGAATTCAAACATTGACCACACTGTTCGAGACGGCAGACCCCACATGTAACGCAGTTTTAAGAGAGGAGTAGTTCCTTTCTTTCCATGACAAAAAAAAATGGAAGAGCGATGTGAAGAATAATGTACAATCAGATGATTTAAAAGAGAATATCAGGGAAGACTTGTTAAAGCCTGGGGTCATATTCAGCTTGGCTTGGTAGCTTGTGTGAAGGGAATATTAAGGAGAAAACAGCATAAGTACATAAATTGCGGGAGACTGAGCAGAAGCATACCCGACCAGCCCCCTCCTATCCTCCCCCTGACTCCCTGACAATGAAAATTTGCCCAAGTACTTATTCAACATATTCCTATTTTATTATTCCTGTCAAGAAAAGGGCCAAATCCCTTCAGAATAAGTGGAAACATGTGAACTCTGCTAATTCAACAAAGGCAGGTGAATATAGAGCAGAAAATTGGCACTCTGAGTAAGTGATGAGTTCAACCTAGAGTAACAGAAAAGCAACTACACAATGAAGAGGGAAGCTAGCAGGGAGAATGGAAGCTTGGCTGTCTAACAATGAGATACACATCAGAGCCATACATAAGTCAGCGAAATTATTGAAAGGAGATGCAATGATAAGAATGTAATGAATGAATAAGTTGATATGAGGAATGACAAGCCGAAAATAGAGTTACGCCGCGCCCGCCATTTTCAAACTTTACATCTAGGAATGCAAGCTTCGTTCGGCGTCAAAGCTGCTTGTCTGGGCATCAGTGAAGTAAGTGCATAAAGCGTTCAGCAACCAGAACTGATTCTCGAAAATTACTGATAGAACGCTATTACTGACTGAGCCAATTGCGGTCTGAACTCAGGAGCTATAGAAGTAACCGAAAAGAATTCTAACAACGTTAGAAGTCTCGAACTTTACGAAAAATTACTCATTCCGGCATCAATCTGAAAGGACGCCATCGAGGCTTGGGCTATCATTGATTCGACACAGACAGAGTTGGATTATTACACAAAACAGCGGGAAAAAATCGCAAAGCGATGCAACAAACGTTAAAAAATTCGTCGGAAAATCTAGTTGGAGTAAAAAAATTCACTACGAGAAAGAAAATTAAACCAGACTTACAAAAATTCAAAGAAGGGAACTGCAGTTGTTTAGCTAGAAAACTCACCGCGCACACTCACTAACACAAACGCATCCAATCAATTTTAAACGAGCTCGAAAGGTGGTGGTTGTTTGTATTTGACCGCCATCTTGACCTTGCTTACGTCATGATGAGATGATGAGAGCGAGGGAAGGACTTGAGGGAAGGAGACAATAGAGGGAAAAAATCTAAAATTTGCGCATCCAGCAAAAATTGATTACCTTTCTTCAATAACTTATGGTAATTCTTGCGTGAACGAAGAAAAGGCGAAATGTGGAGCCTGCAGTTAGAAGATAAATCGAATTCAATGAGTTGTTGTTTCGGTTGTTTACATTAATATATGACGTCATTATGAGCAAAGGCGCAAAATGAATGTTGCCAGATGAAAAAGACAATTTCTTTATTATCCGTTTTATTGAAAGGAAGAACCCCACGATATTGCATAAGCCGACAACAGAGGCACAGTAACTGGCTTAAGAGGCTCAAGTTGACAGAGAAATGCGGCTTGGCTTGATTGCAACAATTCTCCTCCCGAGGGAAATCTTGGTGATAGTTTTATAAAAATTTAGATGTAAATTTACGCTGTTTCTGCGGCTTGAAAAGCACTTGACAGTGGATACAAAAATTCCTTCCGGCTGCTTCTCTGAAAACCCCTCCTCTCACCTCGCCTTGTTCAAAAGAGACGAGAGATTTGATTGGTCGCAGACTGTGGATTCAGGGAGACAATTGGTTATTGCGCAGAAAAAGTAAAAACCGCGAATTATTCACTATTTTAAAATGACGGACCATTGGCAGAAAGAGCGACACTCATCGTTACAGTGAGTAATTTTGTTTGAGCTTTTCAGACTATGAAAACTGCCATTTTTTGAGATATTGAGATGAATTCAAAAACTACACATTTATTTCGCTTAACTAATATACCTTCACTTAGTCAGCGTATAAGACAGTGGGTACTTACTTTGAAGGGAAGACTGTACCTAATAAAGAGAAAGCAGATCAGAGAAAAATGGCGATGAAAACTTGCGAGGATGCTAGGAAAAGTATAAGGATTGCATTGCCTTTTTATCATATAAATTTGTTGAATCAATTAATTAGAGGAACTCCCACCATTTGGGCACATGGTGCCCTCCAACCAATCTCCAACAGATACTAACATGTTGCTATGGCAACTGTGTTTGTAAACAAAGACTTCCCAACAAACTGTCAGTCTAAACAAGCTACATACTAGACCAAAATAGAGATCATGATGGACAGCAGTATTTCTGCACAAATTAGATCTTTCGTTTTCTGTCAGCTATTACTTACACCCTGTGACAATTTCCTCACTGAAAAAGAAAAATTTTCAGTTTCTTATTAAAACAATGCACCCAGTTTCGTAATGCTTTCAGTTCAATACCTATTATCAGGACACGTATTGTTTGGTCATTATCTATTAGAAGCTGAGATAATATTGGTCACATGAGGAACTTCACAACAGAAGTATATTTGCTTGAACAAAACTAGAACGCACCTAGCGGTCTAACATATTTTGAGAATGGCCAAAGAGGATGAGTTCGAAATCCCAGGTAAGTTTTTCTTCTCATGTATCTTTTCTTTCTATTTTACATAGTTTACCATAATTTACCTACAGTATATTGCTCGAAATTTTAGAAAATTCATTAGAAACCTACACAAAGTTAAAAGGAATCACATTAAACTGTCAAGTAAAAAGTTAATTATTTGTTTCCCCATAAAGCATTACGATATAAAAAGACATATTTTATATTGTTAGAATGAATATATGGTACATCTTTTTAGAGCCAAGCTAATGATACAGTATGAGGTTGCTTAACTGCAGTTGAGGGGCATGGAGGACAAGGCGTATAAGTGCACTTTTTGAAAAAATTGACTTATTGATAATTTCAAATAAAACTAGTCTTGATGCATATGCCTACTGTGCTTTGCTCCCAAATTCCAATTTTTAAGTATCAAAAATCAGTTTAAACTTTCTTTCCGCCATAAGGATCCATGCAAATTTGAAACTTCAAACTTGTATATTTCTCCAAATAGCAAAAACTACACTTATGCACCTTGTCCTCCAGGCCCTCCAATTAGAACATGCACCATAATCCATTTTTATATCAAGAAATCTTTAAAATGGAAAAACCTTGCTCAAAGCCACTTGACATTTTTCACCTAATGGCTTTACCGTTCAAAGAATAGCTATTAATTTGAAGGTGTTATCACCTATTCAGTTTCATATAATAATTACTTATCTTCCATACATTGAATACTAAAAATAGAATACCACATGTTTTTAATTGATTTCATTTCCCCCTTTTCTCCTCTCAGATTTTGGCGCAGTATTTACATTTGGAAAAAGTCGATTTGCTGACAATGTACCGAGTCACTTTTTCATACGCAATGATCCAATTGTTGAAATTTCTTGTGGAGATGAACACACTGCAGTTGTCTGCCGTGAGTAGTTTTGCCTCAACTCAAGTATTTTTCTTTTAATGACGGCAGGGGAGGGATGGGACCTTCCGTCACTTAAATATTTAAGTGATTATATTTAAATATATATATGAGTCAAGAGAACGTTATACATTTTCTTCCTGGACTGTCCGTGAGATCATTTGCAAACTTTCTTTACTTCATGCAGGCCTTGAAGACACAATGGAGGCAATTGCATATTGACGATAAAACCGCAAAAATGCGTATCTCGGGAGTAGTGTTTCAAAATCTCTGCTCCTATTTTATTTTCTAAAAGGATACTGAGTCAACTTCATGAATTCAAATATTTGTGAAATATTCCTCACATTGAGAAGAATTTCAAGAAATGAAGTTTAGTAGTTTTCCATGTGGAAAATGTGGTATGACTGGAAGTCTGCAACGCCGCAAACCAAGATGTGCATTTCTGCAGTTTCACAATTGATATGAAATAAATCAACCTGAAGAATTTTTGTTTTATAGAGATGATAAGTAAAGGAGTCTAGATGAAAGGCCCATTCTGTGTTTCTATCCTTGTTAACAGACCCCTTTTTTTCACTTCCAACCACGGCTTGATTGACTTATTCCTCATTGTTTAATCTTCATTATTGTATTAATCACTTATTCTAAATGTTCCAGAAAAAGGCAGAGTATTCGTTTTTGGAAGTAATAATTGGGGGCAGCTTGGACTTGGCCATGAAGACACTATTAACAAACCCAGCTGTGTTAAAAGTAAGTGAGATCTCTCAGGAACAGCTATGCACTTTCAACTGGGAAAAACTGTTAGGTGTTCATTTTGAAAGAGGTCTCATGGCAAATAAAAATAGGAAAAATGTAATTGGGGTTTCGCCTCAGCAAATGCTTTTTGTTGACATAATGATAATTATTTTACACAACAGTTTGATAAACAAAAATTAAAAAAATTGAAACATTAGTCATTTAAAATAAATTTCATCTAGATCAAGATAAGAAAAATTAAGCAGTATTTTGATTCATATACGAGTGAAAAATTATCTAGTATCATAAGTTTCTTTTAAATGAATCATAACTTCGGAAGGAAATGTTCCTCGAAAGACGAAAATGTTACACAACTCCTCCACCTATTACACCATTTAAATTTCGTAAACGCTCATGGTTTTCTAAGGGATTTGTTGTTGTTGCCCTCTCCCCCCTCGCTTCATTCTGGCAAAAAACTAAAAGTATTTGCCTGATTTTTGTCATCATTTGATCTTATACTGCTATTTTATGAAAATTTATCGCATCACAGGAGAAGTTTGGATCATCGCCTGCAGGATGCAGGACCGTTGGATACAGTGCAGAAAAGCAATTAAGTACCTTTGAAACAGACAAAAATGTTGGGTATCTCATGCTTCTTTGGAATGAAGCTCGACAGTAATTTTAAGGGACACAAAATCTTATATATTAGATAAAAGCCTTTTAAAGAAGCCTGTGAAACTATGTGCAATTAATCATAAACACATATACTTTGCTATCACTTGGAACTGAATCTACGAACAGACTTTGATATTTTGATGATAGATTATAAAACGTAAAAGCGTAGAAATTTCATTTTCTCAATAAAATAAGCACAGTAATTTGTCTTGAAAAAAGAATCAATGTATTTTATTGATGTAGTAGGTAGGTTTTACAACTCATATGGCAAAGGAATATTCTGACAACTTTGTGGCATAATCTGGCAGTATAAAGGCAATCTTTTGCATTCTAGAACAAATTGCAAATTAATGTGCGTAAAGATATATCTGAACAGAGTGGACTGATGTTTAAGCATAGAGCTCATTTGTAAACAATATTTTAGGTTTAAGTAACAACATCCAAGACAACCTGAAATAAAATATGCAATGTTTGCAAAACTGTTCATGCTTCCACATTCTTGAGGTTCCTCTTTGCTTACAACAGGATAATCGCTTAAAATATAAATCCCAATTTTTTTTATGTATACAGTATTTGTTCCTGATAGGACCCATAGCTTGGCTCCATTGACCTCTTGTTAAAAGACTATCAAGCTTTTAAAATAAGTGCCTGAACTTACAAATATGATGTGTGATCGTTTATGCTAAGTGGAAGGTAATTGTTTCAAAAACAAAAGTTGAGACAATGGGTCAGTTGCGCTAGTGTCAGAATCTATAGGCTGAAATCATCAAAAGGCAATTCTGTGACTAGCGCGACTGACCTACTGACGTTTTTCCAGGTTTGAAAAGTGAAAAGGTGGAGCATGTAAGCTGCGGACGAGCACATACTATTTTCAGCACTGGTGAGTGATGCTCACCTATTTTTAACAATTCAAATTTTACATTTTTTTTTGTAGATAAAAGGTCAATGCAAGATACGTTCGTGAAATTTCTAGGATATTATTTTCCTAACTTATAGAGTGTTCACTCTCCTTATTTTCACCACCTCCCTATCACAATTATTTTCACATCATACAAACTAAGCTAAGTACAGGGGAAGCAATTCATAATACAAAAAAACTTGAGTTCAAAGTAGTTTAAAAGCTCAATTTGTTGCAAGTATTAAGAATTTGAACTTCAAAAGAAATATGTAGTTTGGAAAAATAAGAATTATACATTTGAGAAGAGCAAGGGAAAAGAAGGAGGGAAGGCACACTTTTAGATCAAATTATTTATTGATTGAGTTTTGCTGCCAAGAGATAAATCCATAAGCCAAAGGAATGGTGAAGTTCAAAATCCAAATTAAATATAAAAAATCAAATTAGAAAATATGCTATGAAGCAAAATTTTGATTTTTTTTTTAAAATTATGAATACTGGAAAAAGTCAGGTAAGTTCGAGAGTTATAAAGTGAGAGTGAGGTAAAACAAAGGCGAAACTTCTTTCACGACTTTGTTATCTCACCCCTGTAGATGACTTCTCTCTTTTAACACAACAGTATTCTGAAAAAGCCAGAGAAAACGAAAAAAAAATTTTTGGAGAAAAAGAAGGCAGGCTTTAAGTCCAAAACTTGCCATTCATCTGCCATTTTCTGGGTTTCACAGAGACATTTTTCGTCTAATTTTCTTACAGAACAAGAGAAAATCGATTTGCAAACTGTAAAAAGAAAGCTTGCATTTTCCTTCCTTCAAGGATTTACTGGTTCTTGGACTTAAGGCAGTTCTTAACCATATCTAAAAGAATGTGACTTCTACTCATCTTTCTCTGCATTCCTCATTTCACTTTTCACGTTTAGTCTTAAAAGAGGAATAAAACTTCTAACCTTCTCCATTTTTCATTTTGATATAAATTTATTCCATTCTATTAAACTTAGCCTATACATTGGTCGGATATCCTCCTTGTTAAAAGTTCTCGAGTTGTATCCTTCAAGTTGTTGTTTAGAGGGGGAGAAGTAGCAACAGATCACCATTGATTGGATGGACTTTTTACAATCATCTCAAGTATAATCAACATAATAAAAAATTCACATCAGAAGTACGAGGTAAAAAGTCTATCCAATCAATAGCATCAAGTTAAAATCTCCCAACGTCTAACAACAGATCATCAGTTTTTTTAGTATAATATGGCCAATCACATGGTGCACATTGATTGTCAAACATAAGTGAGAGCATTTTTTATAGTTTCAACTCTTTAAAAGCTGAGGAAAAAGATCAGAGTTCAATTAAATCATTGCATTCATAAAAGGAAGTTTGATGTTCAGGTCAAATCGAAGGTCCCATGGTCATGGAAATTTATTAAAGGAAAAAACATTTTTTGAAGAACTCAGAGGCATTTCTGATGGTGCTTACTGGAGAACTTGTAGGCAAAGTCTAAACTAGGCTGATTTGATGTGAACTAGATGCAGATATGATTTGGCAGAGGTGCATTAAATCAAAGCCAAACCACATTAAATTGAGAGGAGAGTTTTAAGCGTTAAATTATACTTCCTCAGTTTATAGGAGAAAAACCCTAATATCAACTACAGGTGAGCAGTAACTTAAGTTGAGCACATCAAATTTAATTTCAGTAGATTTTAGAACACGAAGTCTCAGCACACAATGGGGTTAAGACGAGGCTTGATTGTCAAAGCACTACGCTACATCGTGTTTAGTCACAACAAAATCAAGTGAGACTGTACACACTAATCAAACTCCATTTGTTCTGTTACTAGCATCAAATCAAAGCAGCCTCTGGCATACATCAAATTGGCCGAGTAAAAAAGCCATCTGAATGTTAGCTTTTCCTAAAAAACTAGAGCCTGTTTACCATGATTGATATATTCACTCCAAGTTGCTGAATACATCAGCATTACAAAATTGAAAAACAGCCTCAGATATCGACAGTGTAAGTCAGCAACCACATTTCTCGTTTGCGGTGTCTGAAAATCTCTGCCTATAAGTTATTTTTTTAAAGGAGAACAAATTGACATCATTCCTCGAAGTTTTTGTAGAATTTTCTCCGCACAGAGAAAAAAAATCACGGCAGTTTTAAAGAATTACCGTTGAGTAGTTTTCCGTTTAAAAAATAAAGTATGACAGGAAGTCTGCAACATTGCAAACCGAGTTATGCGATTGACGACTTACACCGTCGATATGCTACATAAAATAAGACATATCTCTTGTTCAGAGTCTTTGAGTTACACTGGTGAAAACCTTCAGAAAACTAAAAAGGACCATGCAAACTTGAGCCGGAGAGCTGGCATACTAGGAAAACTCTCAAATGCTCGACCCAACACAGGCACTGCTCTCAAGGTATTGTTCATACCAGCTCATAAGTGAAATGGAAGAAAAGGCTCTGGCATGTATTGTCTTGACAGTAAGGCAATTTGAGTGGCAGAACAAAACTCTTATGCAGCCTGATGTTTCAGACCATCTTTATTTTGAACCAGAACTTTGGCTTAAGTATGCTTGGTCCTTTAAAAATCAAAGTAAAGGTGAAAATTACTCATTTTCTAATATGCAGAAAAAATTACATATTTTTTTCATTTTTAGAGTCTAACAAGATTTTTGCGTGTGGGAGCAATAATGATTGTCAATTAGGAACTGAATTGACAAACGGATCGGATCATTCTGTCATTCCTGTGCAAACAACACAACTGAGCGAAAAAATTAGGTTGCTGACAGCTGGTTCTCAACATTCTGCAGCTCTTACAGGTGCTTATCTAGTGTTTAATATTCTGTCTCCAGTAGCTTAGCTGAAACGTATATCGATAAACAAAGTCTAAAATGCTAATCTCTAAATGTGACTTTGTACTTGAGTCGCTGCTTGTTTAATTGAAGAAAAATCAAAAGGGAGCTTTAATTGAAATTTACGGTGAGATTACTTTTTTCGTTTTGATGAAATCACATAGAACTGCAAGAAAACTTTTGCTTCGTTTTCCCTTCAGTAAATAAAACATAATCGGAGTTTTTTAAGCATTGCAATGCGAGTACACAATTCTGCGCTTAACCATCGATGTTAATTGTCCCCAAAAGTGCCACAAACAAGTAATCATTGAGGTGGAATGTGAGTAGAACTTAAGATTAACTCATTGTCAACAAAAAATTATCTTGAAGCAGATCGCAATAAATCCATTGCAATTTAGTGCCAATGAAATACTTATTTAGATGATCTATAGTCTAATAACAAGGATAATGTACCCCACATTGTCAAATGATGCATTTATAGTTAAACGCACCAACTTTTTTCTCATGTCTCTAATTAAATTTTTCAAAGTGTGAGTTTGTCTGTGACTATTAATTAATCGACAAAGATCGTTGATTTCAAGCTAAGTTCGTTTTTCAGAGTCTGGGAAAGTGTACATTTGGGGTTCAAACACTGAGGGCCAGTGTGGCCTCGGCCAGACTCCTTCAATTATTGCTGCACCTACACTTCTCACAATCAAGAACTCAATAATTACTCATGTGTCATGTGGATATTATCACACAGCGTTTGTAACTGGTAAGACTGTAAAAAATATTGTTTTATTTGTAACTGAACTAAAATACTCCTCCATGCGCTGACCTAAAGGGAATGGTTGAAACAACTGCCTGACATAAGATTATCTGTGTCTATTCCTTTCACACTACAACTCGTCGTCTCTCGCACAAAGGAACATATCTTGTCTGCACTTTTTCAGTACTTCTACAAATGTTTTGTCTGGGAATTTTAGGGAAATTCAAGCAATGGTTCTCCTATAAACAAATGAAAGGACGTATTTGTACCAAACAGAACTATGTGCATCAAGACATGAGCCGTGAGACCCATAAAAGTATATGCGTAACAAGGCTCACATCATAATGCACATAGGTCCGTTTGACAGAAATGCGTTCAAATGTAAGTAAGAAGTACTGAGACAGCAAAATTGAGCTACCTTCCGGAGTGCAGTTCTAAGTGGAGGAGACGACGAACTGAAGCAGATTACATGGTTTATCAGTTCAATCAAAGCTCAGGTACTTAATACACTTTCATGAAACAGCAGAAATCACAACAATAAATTGAGTAATCAACCCCAGTTTGAAATAAGTTAATAGCCTTTTCTACAAGCACAATTAGCATCTCTTACTTTATATTTAGGATCCAAAGTAAATAATAGCTCACTCTTAGAAGATTATTTCTTGATTAAACGGACAATTAGACGAAATATGAATTGAAACACTAAGCATAGTATTTTCTCTTCAAAATTTCACAAGGGAAAAACTAAGCACAAAATTGATGGAAAGTCTCGAAATCAACACTTGACAAGACTTCTTCACAACTTCTATCAAATAAGATATACTTGCTTATAATTGACATTGGTTGAAGGGCATGATATTAACGGAGTCATTCATATTATCTAACTTCCATTTGATCTATGTTAATAAATACTTTTTAAAATCTTAAGGAGTTGCTTTCTGAAACTTTCAATGTGTGAGTCATTTTCTACATTACGTACGATTTTCATAAGAAAACATGTGACTTTTTTAGAGTTCAGGCCTTGTCTAATGGCCCATTGTTACTGCATGTACTTCTAATGTACTTCTAACATCATAAAAGGAAAACAAATAAATTTATAATAAATATAATACTAAATTGATTTCGATCAGTTTCACAACTTTAATTCAACTTGAAATAATGATAAAAATTCAATTATTATCAATATGCACTTTTTCATGGACTTGTTTCAGAGGAGGGCAAACTATTCATCTGCGGAGAGGGAGAAAATGGAAAATTAGGTCTAGGAGACGACATTGTAAATCAAGTTTATCCATTGCTTGTTGATATTGATGCATTTATAATTCATGTTGCCTGTGGAGGAAGTTACACAATTGCTCTTTCCGGTAAGTTTTACAAACCAATTTATTTTAGGTAACTTATTTATTGCAGACTTAAAACTTCATGCACAGAATTTTAAGCAAGAAATAAAAAGATTACCCATTTATTACACATCTGATATTTTTTGGTACCTTAAAAATTTTAGACATGGCAGTAATAATGCATTTTTAAAGTGCACCATCCAAAAGTTCGCTTCCAAAATATTACATTGTATTTGTGCGGTGGTGAACATGTAAAAGTATTTTCTTTGTTTAGATCTGTATTCTGCTTAAGTTCAAGTGAAATTCGTCTACTTTGACTTTTATGAGAAAATATTAATTTGAAAATCTCTTGAAAAGTAATTTGCTGCAACCCGGACAAGATTGAACATGTCAGGAATAGAAATCTAATTCACAGCTTTTTTTGGCAAAGAATTGAACAACTCAGAATGGTCAGATAATTTTTCACTCCTTAGCTCATGCTTTGAGTTGTTCAGATATACGGAGAACAGTGGCTAGAGATTCTTACCCTGAATTGAACCTTTGTCTACACTGTCAATAAAGAGGCCAAGACGTAGTGCGGCAAACTTTGTCCGAGGACTGTCTAGCAGACAATACTAGGAAGTCTAATTTTTTGCTGGGTTAATTTTTTTAATACATTTTACAAAGTTGTGAGATTGAATTGACAGTTGATAACATTTTTCTTAAGAGAATGACACAGATAAACCTTACTTAATTGGACTTGGCACACACTTGCGAGAGCAGTAATCTGTTCATTCAACTGAACGTTAGGTCCTGGTGATTATATTTGCCATGACTTGCATTTTAACAATACGGTAACTGGGAGATGCTTGATTAATTTATTGTATGAATCAAATAGAGATTCAATGCTTCTTTGAGAGCCTTTGCTCTTTGAAAATTAACTATTTCTAAGAGATTTCTAGTTCATTTCACAGCAAATTTCAATGGACTCACAAGATAAAATTTCAATTTACAGACAACGGACAGGTGTACGTTTTTGGGAAGAACCAAAATAAGGAACTCGGTCTGCCTGACCTACAAACAGTCACCAAACCAATGCCATTAGCTTTCGACCATACTAAAAAAATCAAGAGAGTTTCGTGTGGGGAGAGGCATACCGGTTTTGTAACAGGTAAAGCAGCAAAGTTCATTTTGCTACATTTGAAATAAATACACTGGAAACCAATGTCGTTAGTGATTCACTTGCGTTCTGTGCTGGATACAAGTAACAATCTGAAATCAAAAAAGTTATTTTTAGATAAGATTAAAGTTTTAAAGTACATTCACAGTTCAAACATTGCAAGGTGAATAGATTTCTTGTAAGTATACTGCTACATTCAAAATTTTTTACGAATCATTAGAGTTGTCCATCTTAGAGGTAGGATGTAAATAAGTTGGAGATTTTCTATCATTTTGGCGAATAGTATAGGGAAAAATTAGTATCATATTACAAAATCCTATTTCACTTTTGGGCGTATTCATTCCCTCCCCTCTTTTTTACAGGTGAATGAAAAAAATGCCCCCCCCCTGCCCTCCAGAAAAATAAAAATTCAACACCACAGCAAGTATTATGACCCCTTTGATGGAATTTCTAATGGCGTCTTTGATCTCCCTCTTCTTCAGACAAGGAACACAAATACCCATCAAATTACTCATAAATTTTTCATTTTGCACCAATTTTGCATATAATTAGTGACTTGAAAAACAAAAAACCCTAGACCTACAACTGAGGCTTTTACTGAAAAACTGGAAACAACGTATCCATTCAGTTTCTGATTCTGGTGAACGATTATCTTGCAATGAAGCACCAATTATTTTTCTGCTCGTGAAAAATTACAAGATTTTTTTGTCACCACTTAAATGCTGCCCAGAACTTTGTCCAAGGAGAGTTTGTTTTTTCTGAATGAACGCCACCAACAATAGCATCAGTTTTCTTTCTGTTTCTGTATTCCTTCATTTACTTTACTCTCCCTTGCTTCCTTTCACGATGTGATGAGTCTCAGAAAATGTATTTTTAGATAATGGAGAGCTATGGATGTGTGGTGATAATCGTCATGGCGAATTGTGCGTCGACTGGATTGGAGATAAAGCTTCCCCCATCTCCAGGATTTCAATTTTTAGTGCATTTTTTGTGAAGGACGTAGTGTGCGGTGGCTGCCACACAATGGTATTTGCTAGCCCACAGACGGACGAAAATGAAAATTCAGATCCAGATGTTATGATCGAGGCTACTAAGGTGACAAAACAGGTATTAGTAAGTGGGTCAATAGTTTGGATTTTCTGACTGATGAATGTCATTGGTCGAGAAATTGCAAAAATTTTAACTGTTTAAATTTTTAATAAAGGGGAATTTAAATGAAAATCCAATAGAAAGGACGGCAATATGTAATGATTCTGGATTTTTAATAAGCTTTTGATGCCCAAAAAAAAAACAGAAAAATTTGAGCTTATCTCAATTGAAATGCTCTTTCATCGACTTTCTAATGATCTAAAATCAATTGAAAACATACACCTTGGCTACAACTTCATGGGATGAGTAAAGGAAGTCCTTAATTTGATGATGTATAAATAAAATATATATGTATAAATGTTTTGTATTAAAGGTTGTGATGGGGTTTTCTTACAAAAAATTAAATGAACAAAACAAATTAATAAGAATGGAACATGAGAACAAATATAAACATCATGTTTTATCTTGATTTCAGGAGAATTCAAAAACACAACTGCCACCTTTGCAAAGATTGCCCCAAAATTTCGCGGAGGAAGAAAAAATTACAGTTAAGGATGATTTGGTGCGTTCCTTAGAAAACACATTTCTTCGGTATAGATGGTATAGAAAAAAACTTAATATTCCGCAAGAAGTTACTCTTGTTTGGTACTTAGTTTGACTTAATCTTTCACCTCCTTAGTGGTGCACACAGCACTATTTATTTTCAGAAATCAGAAATTAAGGTACAAATACAGTCTATGTAATTTTGAACTAACTATTGGGAAAGTTAAATTTTCTGTTAAGAAAGCTGGAGATGGTACTGATTAAAGTTACTCATTTTTTTCCAGGAAAGTAAGGATGAGAAATCACAGACTGGTATTTATATACCCTTGACTGGAGACGTAGAGAGCAGAGAAAATGGAGGGGAGACTGGCAAAACCTATCACCATGAAAACGGAACTAGAAATGGTGAAACCGAATTTCCCATAAAAATACCTCAAAAGGTAAAAAATAGAAGAAAGAAAAAGCTTTCCTCTGATCGTCATTATTTTTAATTCTATTTTTACTGCGAAATCTTCTTCATGAACACAGCAGTAACTTTGCCTAACACTGAATTTGTGAACTAAGTGACTTGCGAAGCTTCAATTTCTCATCTAGATGAAATATTGAAAGATGAAAATTGCCTTGTGGATTTAAGATAAAATGAGAGCAACAATTATGAGATTCTTCTATCGATACATAACTGTCTGACTTGATAGTTCCAACTGAAGGGTGTGGTTGGGTTGAAAATGGATGAAATGCTAAAATCACTTCAAGTTTATAAACTCAGTTTGTCCAGTTCTTCTATGTGGAAAAAAATGATAGTTATATCAATTAAACAGAAAAAAACTCATACTTCCAGTTTCTTTTATATTTTTGATAACTCATTTTCTTTTTTTAAAAGGGAAACTGGTGCTCAAATGATACAGGCATTGAAATCGACGAGGAAAACTCTATCACTGTTGAATCGGAGATAAAGGTTGATCCGATCAGAAGTGAAATTGAAGAGCTGAACGATGAGTCAAATTTCAAAATAGACCGAAGTAATGGTGAGTTACTAAAATCGAAGAAGCTAATTTGCGAAAAATAAATTTTCACTTTTAGACCAAGATAGGTTTGGAAAATGAATAATTTTTCTTGCACCTTCCAGAATGTACGTCCAACGCCACTTTCAGAATATTGAATGATACTCAACAACAAATTGTTAAAACAAAGTGTGCAATTAAAATTATTCATTGGTTACCAATCGAAAATTTGAGTGCTGCCGACCATGAACAAATATGACCCATATATAGCTATGGTGGTTCTATCAGTGACGAACGTGAAACATGCTTTTTGTATCATCAAGATTTTTGAGTTTTGATTCAGAGGAGAATACTTAAGGATGCATACTTGTCAAAGCTGATACACTATAAATGTGATTACTGTGAATTATTACATTTACTAATTTCCTCGATGTTTGAAAAGTTCTTAACATAATTCGAATCTAGATTCAACCAGTTCATTACAGTTTTGACTGCCTCATTTGAGATTGATCAGACTGTACAACGCAAAGCACTCTAGAGCAGCTTACTTTCAGCAACTCAATTATTAAAAATACAACAATTGCTGATAAAGCTTTTTTTTCTTTTTTTACTAGAGAAACTGTAAATTTCCTGAAGTCACAAAACATCTTTTTTTTTTCTATTTTCAGTGACAACAGGCGCATCCATTATGACTAAACAATCAGGGTTGTCTCGATTTTTCAATCAATTGCGGAATAAAAAACCTCCTCCTATTCAATCAGAGAAGGATATCACAACAGCAACAGGTCTGTATGAATTACCTATGCTGAGGCAAAATTTTCTGACTTTTAAAAATATACTGAAACAATTAAGTTGAGGAAATTAATTTCAAAATCTAACACTTAAATTATCTTAGATATTTTGATTTTTCTCATCGTATATCTTTGAGAATGTATGTGTTTTGGATAAGTTATTGATGATTTCATTTTCAAGTTCTTTTTGTTGTTGTGTGATAATATAATAAGATCGATCTATTAGGCTACTCATGATCATTTATTGGCAGAATACCCCTTTTTGTTAAATCTCAAAACTATTAAAAATCCTCAAAGAAACAGGATATTTTCTTCAAGCACTAAAACGTAATGAACCGTGATGGACCGTTAGACAGGGTAAGGAATTATGCACTACAGCACATATTTCCTCATCGAAATTTCCTGTACAATTTTTTGAACAAATCAAAAACTTTGAAATCAACTTGTGAGTGAGAAATAAACGTTTATAATTTACATTATTTATACGGGGGAGTTTCAAACGGGGAATGCTGAAAATATAGTCTACGATCACTCAATAGAAATTCAAGTTGACGAGGTGGTCAAAGCAATTAGTAAATTGATGAATGGAAGAGCTCCTGGGCCAGAAAACATTCCGGCCGAGTTAATTAAATGTGGGACTGGCAAGTTGGTTAATCATCTCAGGGATTTGCTGCAGAAGTGCATTGATGGTGATAGCATCCTGGAGGAATGGAAAGAGGCCTGGATAACAGCGTCGCATAAAAAAGGAAGGAAGGATGACTGTGGGAACTAAAGAGGGTTAGCGGTGACAGGAACAATAAGTAAAATTTATGGAAAAGTGTTGAAAGCGAAGACCGAAGAGGAGTGGACCCTGTTCGAGGCGGAGGAGCAAGCAGGTTTTAGGGCTGGTTCGTCTACCGCTGATCATCTGTTCTGTGTTACCCAGTTAACCGAAAAGAAGAGGATTGTTGGTCAGGAGCTCCATTTAGTGTTTTTGGATATCGAAAAGGCTTATGATAGTATTCCTCTTGTGAAACTTTGGGAAGTCCTAGAGGAAACTGGTTTTAGTAAAGGACTTATTGGGGCAGTCAAGCAGTTTTATCGGGGGGCTTTGCCCAGAATCAAGTGCCAAGGAAGGCTTTCAGACGGTTTTTTTGTCACGAAGGGGCTTAAGCAGGGATGTTGTCTGTCACCGACGCTGATTAAGATATATCTAGAGCACGTTCTGAAGGAATGGAAAAGAAAGTGTGCCGGATTGGGCGTCCCTCTGAATGACCAAGAAACACTGTTCACGCTGTGCTTTGCTGACGACCAGGTAGTCATAAGTCAAGATCACAATGATGCGGAGTATATGACCCGGAAGTTGGTTGAGGAGTACCGCAAGTGGGGCCTCGAAGTTAGTGTCCGTAAGACAAAGACGATGTCAGTCAGGGGTGCTCAGAAAAGCATAGTCCTGGAGGATGGTCAACATATAGAAAGTTGCGAACAATACAAGTACCTGGGGGTGAAGCTGACTTCGGATGGGAAGTTGGATCAGGCCATTCAGGACCATAATCTTAGAGGAAGGAAAGCCATCGCCATGCTTTATGGGATTCTTTGGGACCAAGGACCATTTCCTAGGACAACAAAAAAAGGATTTTTAACTCGGTTGTCAAGCCTATAATCACCTATGGCAGTGAAGTGTGGCAGTTGAAGAAGCGGACCCAAGAAATGCTCAAGGCGACTGAGATGGATTTCTGGCGAAGATCAGCTGGAATCTCAAGGAGAGAACGTGTCAGGAACATGACTAAGCAATTGGTATGGTATGGGCATGTGCAGAGGATGGCTGATACCAGGTTGCCGAAGAAGGTGTTGGGGTGGGTCCCCCCAGGTAGGCGACGGAGAGGGCGTCCAGCCAAATGGTGGGTAGAGGGCATCCGTGAAGAAATGGAGAGATGCCAGCTTCCGGAGGATCTCTACCGTGACAGATTCCTGTGGAGAGTAGGCGTCGCAGAGCGCCCTAGCGCGCCGTAAAAGCGGCTTATACATACACACATAATTTACATCATAAGCGGAGAATTCAAACTTTCTGCTCGAAAACAAACCATAATCAACCTAGGAATAAATAGGCATTGAAATCAAACTGTACGTTGGGCAAATAACTAGAGCTTCGTTTCACACACACACACAGCTTCGTTTGCAAAAATTTCCTTCCTATTCTGAGAGAGAGGTATCTTTACTGTTGTCAGAAAACTAGGTACACAAGAAAAATCTTTCATTATAAAAAACACCGGAATCACTTACTTCAGTGCTCGATTCAACTTAAAAGGACTCCAGTTTTTCTATAAGCAAGAACTGTGAATTAATGGAGACAAAAACCATTGTTTTCTAACTTATGAGTTGAATTTGGAAAGTTTTAATGCACTCATTGTACTCTTCATAAAATTACCGCTTGGCAACATATATTGTGGTTATTAGTTTTGAACCCTGACTGGTGGTCCACTCACAGTGTGCGAGTGCTGTTCCCTACTTCTTCAATCTTGTTTGTAGTACATACTTGTGAAGTTGTAAAATTTTTAGCTATAAGATACAAAATTTGCTTAAAAATTTTCCACAAAATTGGAAAGATATTTAAATTATTTCTTAATGTTTTCCAGTTTTGGGTAGACACAGAAATGGAAATCAGCAAGAGCGGAGAAAAATTGATGATATGAAATTCAGAAACAACAGGACAAAGGTAAGGGACAAACTTTTAGATTAAGAGTTCATCCTTCTTTAGATGAGACAATAGTTCCAAATGATAGTCAACAGATGATTAACTTGTGGATACAATTTTCAAAGAGAAGAGTTCATTTGAAAAAGCAACAGATTCAAACAAACAAATACAGAATAATTTGATATGCTAATACAACACTCTATTCATGAAAATTTGTGTAAATTGAATTGAATGGAATTGAATTGAATTCCTGTTCAATAATGAACTGAATTCCAAGTTTGAATAATTTACTAAAGGTAGGGTTCAGCTCTTAGACGACAGATGGGGTTTGCTCACTTCAATGATGAGCTATTTTAGATTGTTCATGAGAGAGTATACTCAAACTGTTGAAAAGGTAGCAGACCAGTTGATAATCAAAGCACTACTTGTTTTTAAAATTTCATCGAGGGATGATTAAGAAAATGATAATTTTGTATCAGCTTCTCGGCTAGATATGATCTAACGCACTTGGCACTGGTGACACAAAAAACAAAAGGAATAATTCGAATTTTTATCATCATTTATATTAACTTGTCAAAAGAACCTTGAAAACTTAACAATTCTAATTCTCATGGGGTTTATATTCTAGCCTTCATTGTCAGCTCATCATTATTAACATGAATAATGGTTTGTGTCAAGACAGGTAGATTAATTGGCGTTACCTAACTTTTTTGCATTTCGCACCTGCCCGTTTTGGGCTGCACTAGATCCCAGTTTGTATCTCAGCGTTTGAAACGGTGAGTATGGGGTATGAAAAAGTTAGGTAATACTAATTGACCCACTCGTCTGGTGCCTCAGGCGCAAACTCGTTTCCAGAGTTCCAATGCCCCCAAGAAAAAGAGAAAAGTATCGACTAACTTTCAAGCATGAAATTTTATCATTTAAAAGTTTGTTTCTAAAAACATTGTATGACTATGATCTATGATTTTTCTACTTGTTTCAGTCCAAAGCATGTACGATCTTTTGAGGGACAATCAACCAATACAAGCGCCATTTTGTTTATTCAATTTTGAATTTTTAAAACATTTGTAAAGTTTTAACTTTCACTTTTTCTAGTCATTTCTACCTACGATTTGTTACTTGAAATTTTAAATAATAAAATGAAATACTCAAAAGCTCCATTTTCTCTTTCTTATACATGACATCCTCTGTTTCATTTGAACAACATCTCCAGGCTTAGAAGCAGATAGTCAGAAGGCTGCAATATACTAGTGGTGGGTCCACTTTAACACAAAATGCATCTGCAGTTGCCTCCCTGATTCTAACTAGTGTTGATCCAAATCGTATAACTCTAAAAGGGGAATTTTCCTCGAAATGAGTTTAGTTTTCTTTAGTAGGAGTATACCTGTATTTATAGAAACAAGCAATGTCGTTTTGAGAGCTCATGTCAAAATCTTCATCTCTAATTTATCAAGAGCTCCTTTCTACCTCTCTGCACTCAAATAATAACGTCTTTATCTAAAACCTACAGGATTATAGCAGAGAAAGACTTCTTGTGACGGTCTCATTAAGAAAGATTATTTGATGCTCTCATTATATTTCTGAGGAAAATTCTGCAATTCCTCCGGGGACAAGAGACCCTCCACTAGTATTTCATTTATTATATTATATTAAGATGAGAAAATACTTACTGAGAGTTAAAATTACTTTTGCCACCTTTGAACATGATGGAAACTAATCATAGACTCTCGAATAATAGTCTTGATAAACAGATATGTAGTTATTTTTCTCAGCTTGTGTCATCTTAGCTATGACTTTGTCGTCAATTTCACTTAATAAATAGCTTACGTCCCCTACAGTTACAGATGGCATTTCTTCTTCCTCTTCTTCAGATTCTAAAGTCTCTACATCTGCAATTAAAAAAAAAATTAACATTTTAAAAAAATGTTTCCAATGGGTAAAATATTTAGCAAAGTCAAAATTAAATAGACTGTCCCAAAAGTTTTGCATCTGCACTGTATGAGCCAACAAAATAAGCTAGCAAGTTGCAATTTTCTGTGGATCAACTCCTTACTGACAAAATGAGTCCTTTTAGAGTATGTTTTGTCAAAAATTCATAGAGATACGGCATTTTTACGTAACATGTTGCTATAATCTCTACCGGATTTCAGGATTTTTTTTAGGAAACAGTGGAGTTTACAATCCTTCCGGACCTCCTCTACGGTCCCAATCTTAAGCTTTATGATTTCTGGCTTTAGATCTGATAAAAGCATTACAAGGCAGGAGATCTTGTTTGCTAGATGATATTAAAGCTGCAGTTGAAGTTTCATTTGTAACGCTCACGAATTTTGAAAAAAAAAGAAAGAGGAAGCTGAGATTTGCCAGATGAAGAACGATTAAGTACGTAAACTTTATTAAAAATACAATATTCTTTAACGAGAGATTTCTCCACCCGCCGCAGGAAATAAAAGGTTTTAATACAAGCTAATAAGATCAAATTTATGGAAGACAGAACATGTAAATAATTTTATAATAATTGTATAGTAATTTTGCTCATCTAAAAAAAATCTTAGGAAGAGGAAAAAATAATCTTACCTTGCGACAACTGGAAGTCTTTGAGTCGATTATCTAAGCTATTGTCCATGTCATTACTTGAATCACTATGATCATCCCTTGGATTTGCTAGGCTGGCTGCAGCTAAACTAGTTTGATTTGCTCCGCCTTTCCGTTCATGCTGGAGCAGGTACGACATTATATCTTCACCTCCTTTCGACGATGATGTACTTTCGATGGTAGGAACTGGAGTACCCGTATCTTCTACGATTACATTAGTCTATAAAGAAAAACACATTAGGATTTGTTACGGACAAAGACAAATCATAAAAAGAACAGGCTTTCAGCTTAAAAATTCTAGAAAAAACCTATTCAAAAAATTTAGTTTCAACACTAGTTTTTGGGACAGAAATTATTTTGCACAAAGACTCCTTTCGCTGAGGTTTCTAGGCTTCAGAATGTTGATGTTTTCAAGAAAGGTACGGTAAGGTGCAAAAAAGGTATCATCCCATAAATTTGATCATCTATAATAATCTTTTTTGAAACCTTGGCTACAGGAGTGCTTTGCAACCATGAAATAGGGATGTTGCCAGGCATTGGCATTTAATGAATCTCCAAAACATGTCCCTGTTTGAACTGGTGCTGGAAAACTGTTATTGATGCAGTCTGCAGACTTTTGAGACCATGCCATGTGGAAACAGATTCATTACTACACTATTGGATATGCATCTGTCAGCCACTGGGTCCCAACTTAGTCCTAGAAATTAGAAAACCACCAGGCACTATCACAAGACACCATTGCCAAAAAAAAAGTGACTAAACATATTACTTGAACTTTATCAAACATATTAAAATATAAAGTTGCAAAACATTTGACAAGATACAATATGACTTTGTCTTTTACACAAACGGCTCGTGGCATACCTGACTAAAACCATTTGGAAGAACTGTAGATTCCACCATCCAGATCGGTCTTTCTTTTTTATTCGTTTCCTTTGGTGTTTCTTTATCACCAAATTGTATATCTACTCTAGCTTCCTCTACTAAAAATCCTTGATTCCGACTTGCCTCTCCTGACCACTGCTCGGAGGATTTGCTACTATTTGATCTAGTATCCAATCTGAAACAGAGTCAATATTTTCCTTTAATTGAACAGTTGTCACAAAATTTTGAACGTACCTTGGTACAGATTAGATGACCACATGGACATTGGTCAACATTGAACAGGAGCCTTTTTGCCTCGGCAGCAATTTGATATTAAAAAAAATTAATGTCAGTTGACACAAACCCAGTCTTGAAACTGCATCCACTTAAATGGTGTAGCACTAAATCCCTCTTGAACCCAACAGTACCCAAAGACGCAGGAATGCCCAAATGTAAGGAATCCTGTATCTTTCATGGCCCATATCTTGGTTTTCAGCATTGCAGACTTTCGGTTGTACTTCATTTTCAATGTGGAAAACTACTATACGTCTTTCCTTGAAAACTTAAGTAATTTTTCTTCTCTGTAAGAGGAATATTCTGTAAAAGTTTCAAGCCCTGATGCTGGTTCTGAGTCCCTTCAAAACATAAATAGGAGCAGAGATTTTGTGACGCTGCAACCGAGATGCACATTTTTGCAGTTTCACCGTTGAGATGCAGATTTGAGACAAGAGGGATTACAATTCATTAGATGACTGATGGCAAAATATATTAGATCCTTGATTATACAGCATAATTTTTCTGAAGATTATTTACATAAATTAAGAGCATTAAGCTGTGATTCCTGCAGAATATCTTAATCCTATAAACACAAAGTGAGCGATAAGAAAATGTGTTTAGATATGGATTACAATTGGTTTGGTGTTACTTCTCTACTTGGTGGATCTGATCTTATTCCAGCAATTTTTGAAGGAAAATAAATCTCAAGTATGATTAGGAACATCAGAGCAAGAAACACAACTACTTTAGAGCTCCAATTCGGACATGTAGAAAATAGAGGATAGCAGGATCCTAAATCACAGGACACAATTACATCAGAAAAGTTAAAGATAATTAGGACAGTCACGACATTTTTCTCTCTGAATTTTTGGGAGTACGATTAGACAAAAAAATATTACAATTAGGATATAATTAGGCAATTTTAAGCAAAAGATATCAAACTACAATCCTCGATTTTGCACAAAAATCTCACAGAGTGGACGACCTACAATCAGTGCATACTTTATACCTTTCTGCAAAATTTCTTGAAAATAAAGAAAAGTTAGGATAGCAAATCTTAGGACGCCATGTGAATTATGACAGCAGATTGTTTCTGCATCCCTGCTTCTACTAGCAGGAAATTTACAGCAGAGACCCATTTCAGGTATGAAAAATGATAGATGATTAAAAATGCACAAAAAATGTTGAAAATTATGAGATAATCGTTTGAGTTCCCAGAAAAAAGCAGGAACAGTGGTGTTGGATGTTGCGCAAATATAGAGGTGCTGGTATAACAAAGTTCAAGCGTATCTTGCATGCCCAGATATTCTGTCATCCAGCCAAGCCAATAGTCACAAGCCAAATTATCGAGATTCTTCCTTTCAACAGTAAAAAATTTAGTGATGATAAAAAGGAAACTTACCCTTTGATTGTATTGATATCTACAGGCTCTGGCTCTAAAACTTTAGGTGCTAATCTAATTCCTTCCACTTCTCTCAGAAGAACGAAAATTGGTTCTAATTGACTATTGAACTTGACCATCATTTGCCGAGAATCTTGCCGCGGAAGAGCAGACTGATCTTCCTCCACGACTGAACCACAATATGTGCACCGGAACTCTTGAGTAACAAAATCAAAAAGCTGATCCGCCTAAAATATCATGGACATTGATTATCACAAGTTCACATTTTTTACAGAACTTAATTTAATGGATAATTTATGGATTTTTTTAGTTAATTTAAATACAAACGGACTACAATTAATTTGATGATAAAATTTCATTTCTGGTGGAGGAGAAATCACTTTCTTCTAGGGCTGTCCTTGAAATGATATTGGTTCATACGAAACGATCGAGCTATCATTCCGCAACCGTTCATTTCCAAATAAACAATTGGTTCGAAAGCCTGTTTCGTTTCAAAGACTGTTTCGATCAGAATCAGTTACAGTTATTTCGATTAGGGCAATCTCATGAGGATTCCCGTGAGAGTTGCATCCACCCCTGATAAAAGCTCTAAAACGCTTCCCGAAGAAACTTCACAGGATGAAAGGATGTGTAAAATTTCGTGTGATGAGCGCATGTTGTGAATCAAGATTGATCGATCGCTAAAGTAACTAAAGTATATAAACGAGAATCGAGACATGGTCTTTTCATGGTTTGAATGGCTAAATTAATTTTTTTGTTGTGGAAGGAAGGGGGGGAGCAAGCACATGGAATGATTTTTGGTTATTCTGATTGTAAGTATACAAAACACATGTTAACAATAGAATTTAGGGACAGAGCTGCCACGGTACTTAGTTATAGTGCTGTTATTTCGATTGAAACGGAAAATAAGGAGAAAAAAAGGGGAAAAAAATAATAATAATCATTGAGAACATGGAAATTTATCGGCAGTTATTTGCTAAACATGGTAAATCTTGTTTCAACATTACAAAATAACATTTAGATCGAAACAGCTTTCAAAACAAAACAGGCCTTCGAACGATGATCGAAATAATCCCTCGCTCGCTCGATCGTTTCGGGGACAGGCCTACTTTCTTCTTCCCTCTCAGGACCAAAAAAATGCCACAAATTTTTCTCTGTAAAACTGGTTACTTTGAATGGACATACCCTGATATCAGAAGAGACAGTGATTTAAAAAAATATATATAAATAAAATACACAGCACTTGCATCCTATGAACTTTCCTTTAAAAAGAAAGCTTTTTACAGATGGTTTAGTGCAATTACATTCAAAGACTTTCAGACATAAGTCTCTTTTTTAGAAAAACGATAAAGAAATGAGTCATTTTATGTACTGTTCACAAGACCTACCTAAAAGGATTATGCATAGTGTAGAATGGAAAGTGTTGCAGTATTTCCAATTAACTACACAGTCTGATAATTTTTTTGCGTAAAAATTAAAGTGAAAGATCTGTTGAATAAAGATTAATATAATTTCACTATTTTTTACTAGCACTTTGTAGTCAATAGAAGTACATTGACAAATTTAACTTTGATAGATTTAGGTTTTCCTAGCGAGCACGATATTCAAATTTTTTTGTGAAAAATGTCAATAAAAACATTTGAAAGTCGCCAAGAAATTGATTTAGAAAATTTCAAGGAGTACTTTCAGGGTTTTCTATCCAAAATTTTGATAAAAGTTCAAATAACCTATTCAGACCCAATCTCGACTTTGTTATATACAATACAATATGTTATAATCATATTTTATCTTTAGATGCAATAAATGACTGCATACATACCTCGAGATCGGTGAATGTTTTCAAACAGTTGGGGCATTTAAAACTGGCTCGACTTGTTGCATCTCTTTCCTCTGTTTCTAGCCTTTTTCGCATTATGTCTAATTTGTACTTAACAACATTTACAAAAGTCTGGAACATTTTAAGAGTAAGATCAGATGTAGCGGATGCTTTCAAAGTACACTATAATAATAGATGTAGCTTGCATTGGAATGGTTATAACTACGTTTTTCCTGTTTTTGAGATGTGACGAGAACTATGCCCTGCGACCCAATTGCTTCCAATGTAATTTGCAATTTGAGCAACTCGTACCTAGGGTTAGACATCACTGCTTAGTATAAAATAGAATAAAATACAATACAATTCCTTCACACACATACGGTTGTCCGGGGGGAAAAGGACCTAAGCCTGCTTAAGCCCTTGAAGACCAAATTTAAGTACGGTAGAGCAATTTTTGTCGAGTCGGGGCGGAAAATCTGATTTTGACTTTTCAACTGAAAAAACTCTTTTAAGACTTAAAGAATAAATTGAAAGGGGTTTAGTTTGTTTCTGTACCAATAGCCATAGTGAATTTCCATAATAACTTTGCAATTTCGTGACACCCTAAACATGGCACATTTTAATTTCTTCTTCAAAGTTTGTTTTTGGAGCTGCAACTTTCAAACAATTTTACTTAAGTCTACTTCAATTTGACATATTAGGGTGTTATTTGTCACAATGGTTTGTAGAACTCTCCACAATACTGTTGTGGGAACGCCTAAGACCTTACAGGCTTAGCTACCCCTGGCCCAGAAAATCCATGATTTCTCACAAAAAACCATGGCGCAAAGCACGCCTCATCCATGGAGCTGAATGTGGGAGGCTACACCCGTAAGATATCCAAAATGGCAGTGTGGGATACGTGGTAATTTCTATCTTCTTTGTTTACATTAGATGGCCAGGTACACGAGTATCGCAAACGATTTATCATGTATCGAAAAAGTGACCCAGCATCACACAGTAGTTAAATTATGTGAGTTATCCATTTAACCAAGTTTGATGAAGGTTATTACCTGATTTATTTTTTTGTCCTGGTTATCAATAAATCGGTCGCGCCTCGTGCAGTTCACAGTCAATTTTAGTCTACGTGTAGTTTTTATTTTTATTTTTCGGTTTTTAACATTTTAAAGTATCTCGAAACTCGAACGCGCACAAGGATTATAGTGCTAGTGAAATATGTGTGGCCTGAAGATGGAATAAGGTGTTCCGAAATGTACATCGCAACTTGAATAGAAGAATCAATTAAGATAACCAGGACGGAAAAATAAATCAGGTAATAACCTCACACAGTAGTCTCGGAATTTGGGACCTGGAAAATGCTGAAAAGTGGCGCCAGCTCTCCCACTTACATTTCTACTCTAAGTACTCTTGGTTTCTCTTTACACACACTCTAGGAATGTATGTCTTTTTACTGAAGATTTTGCTTCCTTTGCTAACATTTATGCCGTCTTGCCGCAGTTGAATCAATAGAAAACTTGGAACAACATTTAGTGCCCTGCAAAAATGTATTTACTTACCAATCAATATTCTAGACTTTTAAATATACCTTATAGTTGATGAAATAATAATTTATCTTTTGAGCTTTGCCATCAATTCCGGTCTCCATCCTTAATCTTGTTTGAATGAATTTGTCGTTTTTCAAGGTTGCAATTCTTGCTCGAAGCATTTTCCTTTCGAACTTCAATAGTTCACAAATGTCGTCTTCTTTCATACACGGGTTCCGGACCAACATATCGATGATCAGGGCATCCTCAATGGTATAAAATCCACGCACAATAAGTCTGGCTAACTGTTTAAGACTGCTCGGTACTTCGGTTACTAGATTTTCATTGCTCATGATTATGATTCGATAAACAGTACAAAAATGTTAAACTGATAATTAATCGCACTTAATGGATAACATACGAGGATAAAAAAATTAAAGACACCATGATATTGTAAACTTCAAGGGAACACGGGCTAAAATTATTTGAAAGTCCAACTGAAAATCGAAAATCCCAAGAAATCATCACTTGATAAACAAACTCAATTTCTAACCTCGAATGTTGCATTCTACTATTTACTAACCTCACTTTTTCTTATCACTCAAGTAGCTTATCTCGGGAATCTCGGGTGCTGTGCTCCGGATCCACCTTGGTTGATTGATCATGAATAAGTCTCAAAATCCTGTAACAATTATTTCTGTATTTTAAATTTGCGTTTTAACAAAAATATAGAATTGTGAGGCTCTAACGTTTCCCAGGACATTCATTGTATAGTACTGCGACCACTGTATAATCACTCATTGATTGCTGGGTGGCGGAAAAAATGCTTCATAATGTGTGGTAAGTTCTAAATAATTTTATTACATTAAGTCGTATTAACTACGTTTTTTATGAGCACTTTCCAAGTGCATCTCTCAATCAAAATTACGGATTATGGATCCACCATACATTGTAAACAGCATGCATACAAACTCCTCATTCGTATCAATACTTTTTCAATTTTGAATGAATTCAGGTCTGAAAAGTGCATATTCACGTGGACTTCGATGTATTGCTCTGCGGTGCCAACGAAGATCGCCGTTTGAGCCATCAGGCGTCACTGAATTTCCTTCGACAAATCACTAATTTTCCTGAAAATTTGTGAATATTTCTCCTACGATTTTTTAGATGATTTTGTTCCTAATTTAATTTAATTAAGTAACTATCTGAAAACTTTGAGGAAAAGTATGCATAACTTTCCTCAGAAACACCTGTTTCATCTGGGAAAATTTGGCAACTCTCAAATGTTCATATGGCGTTTTTACGTGGCACGGCAGAGCAGACCTCATCGTCTAAGTCTATAGAAAAGCGTCGTTAGAAAGAGGCAAATTCACTTGAAAGAACAATTGATTTTATTTATGACTGTAACCAAATTAGATTTAAATTAGTTTTTGGCATTCATGTGTCATTTTTGGTAAATAACCTAAGACACGATATGCCTCTCTAATTATTATGAGCTAGTTTTCCGTGAGATACTTTTTGCCTCATTTACAATAGTTATTATCAAGTACGCAAATTAGTAGAGCACTAATTCTTCTTGATGAGTAGAAGAAAAAACAAATCTCAGTTAAGGAAGCAAAAGTCAAAAGCAACTGTATTGCGACAATATTAAGTTATTATTCACAAAGCCGGTGGTGTGAACAAAACATTCCTGGAATTTGAGCTGCATTTTTCCTTAGTACTGTGATTTTCACTGTTCTAATTTTTTAAATAATCCAATACTTCCTAATTCCTTCTTGACTTGTGTCTTCTTTACTTTTGTTCACAGCATGGTGTCCGATTTTTTCTATCCAAACATGGGAGGGGTTGAGGAGCATATTTTTAATTTATCTCAGTGTTTGTTGTTACAAGGACATAAAGTTGTTGTTTTCACTCATTCCTACGGTGACAGAGTAGGAGTGCGTTACATGACAAATGGTCTGAAGGTAAGTAGATGAGTTTTTCCTGGAATATGATGTAAATCTTGGGCAGAATCTATCTTTCTACAAAAAATAGCACCTCCCCTACACTTCCAAAAAAAAAATAAAAAAAGTTATTGTCACAAAAAAATTTGAAGTTGTTTGGGGGCCATTTGTTCTACTCTTCAGGAAATACAGTGTCTGAAACTTGTCAAATTTAATTTATAAAAGCGTTCGCTTGAAGAATCTGAGGATGAAGCACAATTGTTGCATCAGACAACATTGTAAGATGCATGCAAAAAGAGTAATCGAACCTCTTCTGATCAGTCCTTCAAGTCACCCCCTTTACTGTCAATAAGTACCTAGCTTCCATAAAGCAGATAACAAATGGTTGAAGTCGAACAATGGGTACATACATTGCAACATTTCAAAATCCCCAATGCTGTTTCATTTTGTCGAAAGCCAATAAAAATATCCTCTTGAATGTTTTATGAATATTTTTGGATGAGTGAAGAAATTTCACAGAAAATTTAAAGTATCACTTACTTATGGCAGATCTTTTTGTGAAAAACTAAAACATAAGGGGAGACTAGCAACATTGCGATGGGAAGCGCACATTTTTCTAATTTAGCTAATGGTGTATCAGTATCTGGCGTACGCTTTACCCATGAAAACTTCAATATTAGAATTGTTTTGTTTCACCCTGTAGAAGTGGTTCTGTGAGGCTCCCAATTCATCACTTCCTGGATGAAGGAATGTATCTTGATTGTGCTGTTTCAGTATTTCTTACTTACATTTTATTGGTTTTCAGGAGAACAATCCCCTGAATTTTCCCCAAATTTCTGGTGACTTTTCTCTACTTTGTGAGAAAAGACTCTGAAATTTTCAGAATAATTCGTGCAATAGTTCTTCCTAGAAAAATAAAAGTTTTGTAGAAATACTGAAACAGGGCAGACAAGATACGTTCCTTCATGCGGCAGATGATGAATCATATGTACCTATTTACCAAAATTTTTTTATTTTTTCGTAGGTTTACTATCTTCCAATTAAGACTTTTTACAACCAATGCATTTTACCTACAATGGTTTCATCCTTGCCTCTAATTCGGTATATCTTATTACGAGAGCAAATCCACATTGTTCATGGACACTCAGCCTTTTCTGCACTGGCCCACGAAACTATGATGATCGGTCGTCTGATTGGACTGAAGGTAAAGTCTTCCAAATTTATAATTTTTTTGGTACAGCTCTTTACACTTGGTAGGGAATATTATAGGGTCTGGAACTGAATTTTTTCAGTTCTGAAAACAGAATCTGAAATTGATGGATAAGTGTCTCCTAATAAAGGTATCTGATGGGTTGAAACCCTTTACAAACTCAATATCTCAATTTAAATGAAAGTAAGCTTTTCCCCTATTCAAGCACCCAAAACCTACAAACGTTCAATCGCATTGTTTTTGTTTTAGTCTTGCCGGGAAGTTTGGTCCAGGTGGAGGAGCAGACAAATGAGAATCGAGTAAGTACTTATTGGAGAATTGGAGCCCTGTTTCAAACTTCCTGCCAAGAATGAAAAGAAAAACCAACGTGACTGAGTGTTTTGTCAATTTTGGGTGGTCTGCATCGGAAGAGCATACCTTCATCTCACTGACCTGGCTTCTCAAATATCCTCACTTCTTCATTCTCGTCTCGCTTAAGTGGAGCAAAGTCATAGGCTCTTATTTGGTTTGTCAAATCTTGCTGATGAAATGATATTAGTGAACGCGTGGAAAATGATATTCTCAGTTTTTAAAAATAGCACTATTTTTATCTTGTTAATATATGTAAAAATATTAGGAAAATTCGGATGGTGCTGCTTTTTGAAATACCCTTGAAATATTATTTGTGAACGATACTTATGAATTAAAAAAAAAAAATTATTTATATAATTATCTTACTAGGCAGACAATGTGAACTATTCCAATTCAATTGAGAGATTGAGACTGAGACTAGCCCCTGTATTAATTTTCATAGCTTCTGGTGGATTTTTCTCGAATTTTTGATAGCCAGTATTACAGGCTAATTTTTTACTCTTAGTTCCACTTTTAAATAAATGTCTATTGGTCTTTAAAGTGGTACCATTTTAGGTTTGTTTTCTCTGCATCCTTTTTTAATATTTATTTTTATTCTGAATTTGGTGTTTTTTGAATTTAGACTGTTTTTACTGATCACTCTTTGTTCGGTTTTGCGGATGTCTCAGCCATCATAACGAATAAATTTCTAGAAATATCTCTCGCTGATTGTAATCACTGCATTTGTGTGTCTCACATTGGGAAAGAAAACACAGTACTACGCGCTTGTGTCCCTCATGACAGAGTTTCAGTCATTCCCAACGCAGTCGATACCACTGTTTTTACTCCAGATCCAACTCAACGTTCTAAAAATAAAAGTGAGTCCCAAGATTTTTTCTCCATTCTCTCTACCTTCCATGTTTTTCAAACCTCCCCAAAGTCTTTGATAATTAGATGACATTATATTACTAAGCTGTCTCTATCCACGATCCTATGGAACACATACCGCGGTGTCAATACCCATATTCTTTATGCTAGTAGCAATGATTGCCAAGTCTTCTATGAAAAAATAATGAACTTAAATAGCTTAGGAGTTACCTACTCTTAAAAATTTTTTGAAGTATGTGTGATTGCCTAACAGAAAAATCCACCTCAGTATTTTTCCAAATATTCTATAAATTGAGTTTATTTCAGTCCATTTTTGTTTTTACAGTCAAATCTCGTCTGTTCAGTTGTGAGTCCAATTGGCTGAGGATTTTCGATGTTTAGGAAGGATTTTTTATATCTTTTTAGAGCCAATTGTATAATGAAAATAATGATGGAAGAGTAAGTAAAATTTTTTTGGATGATTAATGACTTTCTTTCTCTATTCCACAGTTACAATTGTTGTTGTCAGTAGACTCGTCTACAGAAAAGGTATCGATCTCTTGGCTCAAATAATTGCAGATATGTGTGCAAGGTATTCAGAGGCAAGTATTAACGGTGGCTTTCTTGATAGAGTTTTGTAAGAAGTATGCTGCATTTAGATTCTGAAACATAGAGTAGTTTTAGGTTGGATTATTTTTAGTCAGAGAAAATCTTGTGTAACATCGAGTAAAAGTGTAGAAAGTTTCAAAACGCTGACCAGAATTTGCTATTCAACATTTCAGTATTATGGCAAAAAATTCAATTTGCCTCTTCTAACACTGGAGTACTCCTTAATTTGCAGGACTTCTTTTTACATTTCATAATTTTGCCTCACATCTCAGGATTTACTTTATGTTTGTTGCGATCTGTTGATGGCTGGATCGGAAATTTCTTGCACCGTTGGTATTTTTTGAATTTTTTTAACTGAGATTAATTTCTAAAATGTCGGGAAAAATTAGTTTACTAGAAGTATCTTGAGGGTCTTTTTACCAGCAGTGGATAGGTAGTGGCTGCCAGTAGTTGACTGCATTTCATTTCGCTCACATGCCCTTTATATTTACGTACGTTTAATTATCTTAGGTGGAATTCTTAATCGGTGGAGATGGTGTGAAAAGATGGTTGTTGGAAGAAGTCATCCAGACTTTCAAATTAGAGAACAGAGTTAGATTACTAGGAAGCTTGGAGCATTCGCAGGTTAGGGATGTCTTGGTCCAAGGTCATATTTTTCTCAACACGTCTTTAACAGAAGCGTATTGTATGGCTATTGTCGAGGCTGCCTCCTGTGGGTAAGAAAGTCCTCTCTTATTATACTTAGTTTACTCATTGTTTCCTGTGGAAAGAGAAAAAAGGGAAATATTCATTGCCATTTCAGAATTGTTGAGCAACTTGGCACTTTTCTTTCTCAGATTTTAAAGTTCTTACTCATATGTTTGATGTTTTTCTTTCTATGGAGCATATGCAAGATCCTAGAATTTGTAGTTCAACTAACTAATCTTGTACTAAATTTTGCAAGAAAACATTAATATAATGATCCGACAATTTTACTTGAGATTTGTAAATAGTTAAAAAAATACAAAAATATGAAGTGAAAGCCACCAAAACGGATGTTTCTTATTAGCTGGGCTAACGTCATTTAATTTAAATTCTTGAAGAAAAATAAATATTTGCATTATTTTCAATGTAAACTGCGTAGCTGCAGCTATCATCTCATGTAAACTTATTTCATTTCTGTCACTATGCTGTTTTATTGTCATTTATTCTATTTTTTTGGTGTTTTTACAAAAAACTCTATTACATAATAACTGTATTCATTTAAATTTTTTTATACAAATTATGAAGAAAGGAAATTTTCAGTTTGCAGGTTGTTAGCACAAAAGTAGGCGGAATACCGGAAGTTCTGCCTCCTGAGTTAATATATCTGGCTGAACCAAATGTCCCAGGTAAGCACTACAAAATCAGAAATTGGATATCCTATTATAAAATTATTAATTAAGTATGAACACACTTTTAGTATGAAATAGATTACTGATAAAGAAATGAATGATCAAATGGGATCACGGTTCATCATCATTGCTGCCTTGATAAGGAAAGAAGGCATATGAGCCTTCAGACGTTGCCAAATTCCCTTCAATAAAATACAAAATTCAAGGAAACTTGTGGATATTTTTCTCCCAATTCATGAGAGAATTTCATTTGCAATATAATCCCCAGTATCTGGAAGTTTCAAAGAAAAGTATTCATTACTTTCCTCATATATGAATGTTTCAGAGGAGAAATTCTGGCAACATCTGGATGTTCATACAGCATTTTTACTCAGCAGGACAGTCAAATAAATAATGCAAGTGGAAACAATTATATTACCCGTTCCTTGTAATATATATCATAGTATTTATTTCTGTGCTATTATTTTAGTTTTCACTTGTAAGCTTTTGAATTTTATATCTTTCATTTTCTTTTTTGGTTAAACAGCGCTTCTCAACAGTTTGGAAGAGGCCATTTCAGATTTAAGGGCAAACAGCGTGTTATCTCCAGACGAATGTCACAAGGTAGTCAAAACTCTGTACAATTGGATGGATATAACTGAAAGGACAGAGATTGTGTATGGAAGGATAATAAATGAACCAAAGAAAAAACTTGGAAAACAGTTGCAGAGGTGATTGAACTCTTATCTTTGCATGTATTTGACATGTATATAGGACTGGTAAAGTGGGAAATAGGGGAATGGCTGAAAATTTCATTAATTTACTCGGCTGGAAACGTTGAAGTTTGTTTGAATTTTAAGTAATTTTTATGTTAAATGAAAGTTTTGGGTAATATTAGCCTTGACAAGGGAAAATGAGATCATAAAGATACATCCGACCAAGTCTAACAGACCAGGATTAAAGTACCTGGACACAGTAATAAATGAAAGCATCCATTTAAAAGGAATTTCAGTGGCTGACATCATTTTCAAAATAGGTTACAAAAGTTTGTTCTCCTCAACTGGACCTTGTTAAGCAAAAAGGAACCAAGACATATCAGCTATTGCCAAATTCAGTCGGGTGATTTAGTTTTTTACATGAAAACGGTTGTGCGGATTTTTGTGCAAATCTCAGTGAATTTTCTGCATAGTACGAAGCAAATTCTTTTAAATTTTCAAAGTAATCCGCACAAACATTCTCTTGCACAAAATTAAATCACCCTGTTAAATTCCACAATAGTTGATGTGGCTTGGTTCCTTTCCGCTAAACCAACTGGACTTGTTGTAATTTTAAATTCAGCAGTGAAGATTGTTCATTTTCATCTTGTATATTTTAATACAGTGTTGCAGCCTGTGAATGCTCTGGCTCTGATTTTAATATTTTTACAAAGATATTATGTTTAATGTCATGATTTTATAATTTTGACCTTTATTTACATGATTAGCTGTGCAGTGGTTTTAAAATTACAGTCGAAAAACTTTACAACACGACTCAGCCAGCTTTTTCAGAGCCAAAGATCTCTTACGAATAAATTATCTTTCCTGTTGTTACAGCTATGTACAAAGTGGGGCTTTACCTTTTCTGCTCGTTGTAACTCTCATGTACTTGATACTCAGAAGTCTCGAGTGGCTTGTTCCGCGAGAGGTGAGTTAACATCTCTTGCTCTCCCTATTAAATATTTAAGTATACTTGACAAAGGGGTAATGATTTTTTGTATCTAAGAATTATCGTCTCTTTTGCCTCATTCTCAGGAAATTTATACCTTAGTTCAGCCATCATACGAAAGTTAGAAGAAAAAATTAAATGAAAGCATGTTTCATGCTGGAGGTCGTGCATGTGGATCTTCTGAGCACTTTCCAAAAATTTCATTTGGATTCATGGTCTAGTACTATCTTTTTTTGTGTGGGTAAGTGGGTGTGTGCAAGTGTTGGGGGGGGGGGGTTAAGGCCGAAAATTTAAAAAATTACAAAATCAAGATTTTTGAAGTATTGATATCATCTGAATTTTGGAACTTGTAGTCTTTCGCGCTAAATGCAATTTAGTCAGAAACTGGCAGTTTGTGTTGTGCAGCAATGCTATAAGGTCAAGCATGTTGTGGTGTGTTATGTGCCCGGCGTTTGCGTCATAGTTCCTATGTTGTGGAAGAGAAATTGGCAATTTCTGACTACATTTTAGATCCGATTTAAGATATGATAGAGTGGACGAAATTTTTCTCTCCAAGGGCTGCAACTCAAACATTCTCAAGGTATAATAGGTCGCATGGTGTAACTTTTCAATATGTTTAATTTTGGGTCTTGAAGTCCTTCATAAAGGAGGGTTCTGGGTCATTTATCGATGAGAACTTCTTGAAAAATACCCAAGAGAACCACATGAGCTACTTCCAGCTTATAACCTGCTGTTTTTGTTCTTCTATTCGTCAGTCCTCAACTTATAGTGAATGAATTACTTTTACAGATAGTCATTGAAGGTCTGTCTGCAAACACCCAACTTTTTCACTTTTAGAATAACAGATGTGCGCAATTATAAATCTCCATAATAAAAATTTCACATCATCAATGTCAATGAATTGAAATCCTTACAAATCTCTCTAACTCCTCTAGGGGCCATTTATAAAATAAATAATGCTATAGAGAGTCAAAGAGAGTGTTAGTCCTTTTTATTTTTACAATGTGAAGAATAGGGATCTACATCTCAAAAGCGTTACAAGGGGGGAAGGGGGTCGAAGTATAAGATATTTAGTGTCATGTTTTTTATGAACAGCCGCTGATTTTTCTTTTTCCTTCAATCATTGATTGAGGTGTCTCATCTTTGTTTTATTTGCAGGATATAGACATTGCCCCAACGTATTTTGGAGTTCCTGAAAAGCAATCCAAACTAAATAGGAGATCATCTCATTTGAAAGCATCCTAGCAGGATCACAAAATGTTGTTTATTTCTAGTTTAATACATGAGAACTGTGATATTTTACTGTTTAATTGAATAATGGTAAGTAACACTCATTTACTACCATTATCTCTTGTATTTTAATGCTTTGAAATTACATAGAATGATGATTTTTAAGTAATTTTCTCTCTCTAATCTAATCCTTTTAAACCATTGTTTGGTTCAATATTTAAAAAATGATTTTTATGAACATTCATAAAAGTACTTTTCTATAGAAACTGAGACTAATTAAATTGTGGCTCACAAAACTGGCTTCAATTCATGCTTGGTGATTTAGAGACTTTATCGCATTGCTCGTCTCACAGAGCCATCTTAAATTAGTGTGAAAAAATATCAAGTTGATATTTGAATTACATTTTAGTGAGGAATAATTTCCATGTAAGTATCAATTTAACCAGTTAAAATTTGTTATTCTTAAACAACTAAAGTTTTAGGATCACTTATTTCAACAGAAGGCAATTCAAGCAGAAATCATGCATGTGTTGCTGTTGAACAAAACTGCAATGTATATGTATGCATATGAATTCGCGTTTTCTTAGATTTTTTTAAGGGAATGATCCAGATTGAATCTTTGATTTAAATAAAATCAAAGATAATTTTATTTCAAAGTGGGTCTCGATTTCTTTAAAAAAAAAAAAACTACAAGTAAAGGTAATAATTAAGAGGTTTCGTCTGTATTGTCATGAATTTAAAGACTTGTAAATTTAATATGATGTCTTTACACTACCTGAAAATTACATTCATCTGCGTTTTTACTGTCTCTCCATGTCTCACTAATTTCTGCAAGAACATTAACGAGATTTCCATAAATTATGTCATACTTTATGAGGGAGGAAGTGTCCAAGTTTGCATGACAGGTCTGAGTCAAAGAGGGGTCTGACACTGTATGATATCAGGCAAAAATCTGTTCAAAGTGCGACTTTTGTGACAGGTATATAACAGAGGAAGGGGTTTAAAATTAGTCAGGGTGTTAAGTTTTTCTGTACCTATTCCAAGCCAAATTCATTTGTGACTACAAGGTGCCCAGGCTCTATGTTGATTCGTGAAGTTAAAACTGTCAGTTTTTTCTCTTTTTTTTTTTATCTATTTGGTGCGGAAATAATTTTCTTTTTATCAAATTTAGACCATGAGTATCAACTTTTTAGAGAAGGAGATTAATCTTTAAGTCAGCAGAGTTAAATATTTATTACCTATGCGTAAGTAATACTTAATGTTGTTTCGATCGCATCGCCGCAAGCGCGTACCAATTTTGAAAATGCGCGCTAAAAAGATTACTTAGTTTACGTCATGCATCTTGCTTACGTCATCACAATGGCAATGTTTACTTTATGCGGGCATGTGCTTCTACCTGTGCCTCTTCGCATTTCTTATCGCTCATGAAGTCGTGAAGTGACGCGTGGTCTTCAAAATTTTCTGGTTCAGCGCTGGCCAAATTCGTTTGAGTTAACTCGACCAGAAAGCAAAAATGGTACGTTTTTTATAGCTCTTCACATATCATCTCCCGAAATTCTGCCTTTAAACCTACTTTTCTTTAAGCTTGAACAACCGGGAACTAGCGCGGTCATGGCCATACCACGGCAATTCATTTGCTCCTGTTGATTGCCAATCTCTCATTTATCCCTATACTTTCGTCCCTCACATCTAGATTTCTCACTATTCCATCTCCTCGCCTCTTATCACCGTCTAGTCAATAATTTTCAAGAGTTTCTGATCACACATGTGGCCTGTGCCATTTCTAACCTCACTTTCCCTCCTCCTGTGTAACATTAGCGCAACAGAGGTTTGTCTGTTTGGAAAGCTTTTCAAATTAAGCAAGCACATCTAGCTCGTATTCCGCAACTATTTCACGGTTCTAGTACTCATTTCCTCATGACTTCATCCTACGCTCTTCTTAGCATTGTTGCTTCCCCTGTCGTAACTTCAACAGCATCTTCCCTCCACAGCAAAAGCCTAAATTTAACGAGCATCTCAAGATATGTGATATGAGGACTTTTATGTAACAATGGCGGTTGCTGACATTCGCCATTTTTAGGGAAAACGCTTTTTTCGGAATTCTGGAGCCCTCAAGTATGCCTGTGCAAAGTTTCAGACTTCCAGCGCAATTTTTCGGCTAGATATGAATTGAAAATAATGTGATTTGTAGAAACAGCGGAGGTGAGAATCCACTGTTCTCCCCGGCCGGCGCGGCAGGACACTGTGAAGATTCGAGCCCACTTGCGATAACTGCCTCCGACTGGCCATGGGCTGTAACTGACACTCAAATTATACATATCGGAACGGTCTTGCCAGAATTGTTGAATTTTTAAATGATTTTATAATGTGTTCCTTGTTTTTGTTGTAGAAGTTACAAACGGTTTAGTTTTTTGTTCAGTTTCATTAAATGACTCAGCATTGACATACTTTTGGACCATTTGAATCGTTTCACCAGCCGTACCCTTCCTGAAGACTTAGTTTCATGCCTAAAAAAGTGTTTTCAGTTAAAATGGCGGCTGTCTCATTTTTTTCAAATCGCTGTTACTCCTTCAATTTTTCACTTACATAGATCGCGAAACGTTTGTTTTTTACAGGAAGAGTTACTCTTTTTACAAATCTTTTTAAGAACCCTCTCAGTTCTACGGGCGGAAAAGCGCAAAGCTTCAAAGACTTCCAACGCGATTTTCGCACAAAGTGAAAACTTGACATCCGCTATTGTTACATATAAATCCTCATATGCTAGTGAGCCCTTAAGTCTTGTGTTGCTCAGGCCTGTTATGTCTCACCATTCGCCACGATACGTTCTACGATAGCATCCATTAAACTAGTACTGATATTGAATATCACTCTTGTCTACTAATCCAGAGAAGGCCGGAAGATTCCAAACTCAGCCTTCACATTGAAACTTGTACTATCTTGTTAGCGCCGAATTGTAGCCTAATATTGATGAATGCCATCAGCACCTGAATGGAATGACTAGCCTTGGATTTGATACAGAGGTTAATAACCATCTTTAATGTTGTATTTTTTCCTAGGCAAGTCCTGCTTTTAATCCTCTGGGTTTTCGAAGTTTTTTGGTCAAGACTGATTTTTTAAACTCGGATGCAGGGAATTTTTTTTCTGTCTGGCTCTGAAGTTGAAGCCTACCAAGATTTCTGGCCTGATTAATGCACTGTACTGCTCACTAGTTTGATTTGAGTTAAGAACCCAGGACAAATCTTCCTCATCACTATTCAATGCGTAGCAAGCTAATGTGTAGCTTACAATGCAGAATGTTTACACTACTGAACTCATCACATTCCATGTTTCCTAATTTTCCAGGCTCAAGCAAACTTTTAAAGAGAGCTCCTCCTCTTTTGCAACTTGTGCCTTTTAACTTTTATGATTCTAATACTCGCTTTTTGTTCATTGTCACAGGCATCAAAAGATATTGACTATCACGGCACTGGTGGAATCGAATCTAACCCTGCTGATTTCAGGATCACCCTCTCTTCCAAGTCTGTGAAAAGCTTAGAGAAAGGTAAGGTTACTTACGTTTTTCATTTCACATGTTGACCGCTAAGTACTGCACTTGGAAACTTTGAAGCTGTAGTTTCTAAGTGTTTTCCAAGCGATGTCTCAGAATCTCCTCAACCTTGCACTCATTGTGATCAAAGTGAATGTATTTAATTCTTTGAAACTTTTACTGAATATTTTTATGATTTTCAAATGGTCTATGTAACATGCCTACGGAGAACATTAATGCTCCTGCGAAGTTTAAACAAAATCATTTCATCCTCTTCTTCCATGTCTCATTTTTCAACACCAAAGTAACCATCCTGACTCGAAATCTTGTGAGTATATTCTTCATGAGTTTGGGGAAATGTTGAGAAAGTTTCTTGGCATCATATTCTTTGGTTCCCTGTTTAAAAAATAAAAGTTGGAAGGAAATTGGGAATGTAAAATGCAGTTAGGCTGATTAGGGCTAGATTCGTGAAATTTACAAGTAGACCGGTACACAGGTTCATTTTAACGTATTAAATATCTTTATGTTTCAGTGAGCCATGATTTGATCGAAGAAATCAAGAAACTCAATTTGCGGTACAAGGGCCCCATCCGCGTTCCAACCAAGACCCTGCGTATCACAACACGTAAAACACCTTGTGGTGAGGGGTCAAAGACTTGGGACAGGTTCCAGATGAGAATCCACAAGAGGTTCATTGACACCAAGTGTGTTGCTGATCAAATTAAATTGATCACCTCTATCTACATTGAACCTGATGTAGACGTCCTCGTTACTATGTAATGACTTTTATACTGACCGTTGTTTATTTTTTATTTCATAAGAACAATACATTTTTAATGAAATAGTCCTCGGTCTTATCTTATTCAACCTATTTTGAAATCATACTTTTATAGCATTCCTCTTTTTATTAACTTGACATCATCTGCTGTACACCTGAACTTAAAAAACCTGCAAATCATTAGCATTAAATTGACAATTGCACATATCTCTGTCAAATGGAACTGAGCGCCACAAAGTGAGAAAGGGAGAGGAGGGCTTAGATTGGCGGGTGTTGCGGAACGCGATGCTTGTTCCGTCCTATACTCACAATGCTTTTCCATGGTGCTTAGTTCTGTTCGACAGAACATGCTATTCGAGATTCTAAAATCCTCAAAAGGAATTCAAATTGGCACTCAGTTCCGTTTAAAAGAAATATGCCAATTAATTGAAGTTCAACTTTAAAAATTGGCTTCTACTGTGAAGATATCGTCATAAACTGCCAACAAATTTTATCAATTAGTTTTCGTAACACAAGAAATCAATTTGTGGCTTTAAATTAGCATTCAATAGGAGACTTTTCGCCATTGTTTTCTTCCTTTCTATTGAACACAAATGTATCACAGATCTTTGCAACTCCATTTGTCAATCAGTTGCAAAGTCTCAAGCAATTGTAAGCAGTGTTTTTTGACCTGTCACGTGTGGCCCAATATAGAAAATTTTTAAAAATCCCAAGTTGAAGAACCCAGAGATTTTATGTTTCAATGGCTTTTGATGTGGTGTTTTTCACGACCTTCAATGCACAGAAAGTTACAAGAAACGAAGTTCTTATGTGCTGATTATGAGGAGAGCACAGGGTTTAACTTTTCTTTTTTAACACACATTATTTAATAGAAATGTTGTAACCCTAGATCAGCCGTTCAGGAGAACTTTCTTTCTGGCTGGGATGACGAGATAGATGAAAAGAACCCAATTCCTCCAGATGATGACTTCGCATAGCATCTGTTGCGTCAACTTTTTCCGCACAAGCTGTGCTGGCTAGTTTCACATCTGAAGAAAATGCTGAAAGATTCACGTTTTCTCAAAGTATGCCAGCAGATAGTCCAAATTGTAAAGCTTTACATGCTCAGGAGGTAGCGATGCATAGCATACATTATCAAATATTACTGGCAATGAAATTTAAATGGTGTTCTCGGTTTTAAATGTAAGGTCCTCTTTTAGTGGCTTTATTTACCCGGCAGATTTGCTTACTTCAATTTAATCTTCCATCAAAGAACAAAAATCCAAGACAGAAATATCAATCTCAAAAAAACAATCCTTAAAGACTCGATTTGATAATCTTCCAAGAATCTTTGGAAACTGTCATTTCTTAGAGACTCAAAGGACTTAATATCCTGCGAATTTCATTATTACCATCGAAGCTTTCATAACTTGGAACAGAAAAATTTGACAAAAATCGATTTTAGGTGGCCACCATGTGGAAAAGAATGGGGCAAGGAAAATTTAATTGAAAACGAAAAAAAGATCAAAATTACTTAAAATTCATAGAAAAATACTTGTGTCTGAGTAGAGGAGGAAATTTTATCAGTCCTACCAAATGGTTTCAACTTAAACAACAGCAGGATGGGAAAATCCCCATCACCCTACGGTGCACAGTGCAGTGTCCTTATGGGCGGATGGGAAATAGTGAATAGTGACGTTTGGCAGCTGAAGAAACGGACACAGGATACGCTAAGAGCAACGGGGATGGATTTCTGGAGGAGGTCAGCAGGAATTTCTAGGAGAGATTGGGTCCGTAATGATAGAGTGCGTCAGATAATGCAAGTCGAAAATGACATCGTGTTTGACGTCATGACCAACAGCTTGTCTGGTGCGGTCATGTCAATAGGATGACGGAAGAGTGGCTGCCAAAAAAGATGCTTGAATGGGTTCCTCCTGGGAGGAGACGACGGGGTCACCTGGTGAAAGGTTGGCGACAGAGGGTTATGGATGAGATGAGGGAATGCCAACTCCCTGATGACCTGTGGGAGGACCGAGTTCTGTGGTGGATATGCGTCGCAGTGCGCTGTGAGAGCGACTCTTATGTATGTATGGATTCATGATGGTAGCGACATTTCACATTATTTCTCCTTAAGTTATAACTTTCTGTAGGGGGTAGGTTTATGGGTGGGTTTCATCCATGCTGGAATGGGTTCAGAAATAAGGTATTCAACACTTGTTTGTTTCCGTTTCAACAGATGTATTGTTCAGAAAAATTATTTTTTACATAGGTTAAAAGAGGTTAATTCGATACCTTTGGCCGTGGTAGAAAAGAGAAAGTCAGACGAGCAGAATTACTAAATAGAGACGAATGCAAATTAATTGCTTTCAGAAAGATGTGGCAATGCCGAAACATTTTTAAAAAATTGCAATGCTTCCTAGATTTGAGGAAAGATTGTTATCCTGCAAAGATTCTAAATCTGAACAGAGTTTTTTAAGAGCTAAATCAGATTATCAACTAGTTTATATATTGCAAATGCCTCTAATAATGAAAAGAACTCAGCATGGTAAACCAGAGAATTTAGCCCTAGCTAGATTTCATTATTATTTAATAAAATGTTCTTCACAACCTCCTGAGCATGGTTTGCTTTAAATATCATTCTTTTTTGTACCGATTCCGAGAAGAGGAAGTCTGACAAAGGAATTTTTCAACTTTTCTAATGAAGGGGTAAAATAACTTGTGTGTAGGGACGTTGTGTCTTGTACTATTTTCATTTGAAGGAGTTTCATTCTTTTCTTATGTCTGATTTTCCTGGCCAGCGAGCAAAAAAAAGCTCTTCTTATTCACCTATTTCGGCAAGAAAATGCGGAAGAATTCACTTTGCAACCTTGCTTTCCTCAAAATTGGCACACAGAACGTTCGATTTTTTAGGTTTATCATGTTTAAGAATTTATAGAGCACATCATATCAAATAAAAGAGGCCACACCAAATAAGTTAATGCACTTTTAGATTGTGACAGAATATTGTCTGCTGCCACTTTTACATGCAAAGCAAATGGAAGAATCAAGATGGCGGATCTCCTGTCGCAGTCTATGAGTGTGTGAGCTTACTTGGTGTGGGCTCTTAACAAAATTTAGCCAGCTGGAAACCCCTTAGTTTTCCATGCAGGGTCCTTTGCTCTCAAATAAGATATTAGATATTGACTTCAGAGTAGGCGAACAGAATTTGACTAGGTCAAAACTTATTATTTACGAATTCATGATGAAGTTTGTATACCTGTGATGGACAGCATTTTTCTTCGATCATACAAATTATTTATACACGTTTTATCAAATACAAAAAAATTATCGGTCATTTTTTTAGTTTATGAAGTCTATCTACACAATACAAAGAAAACAAGTCAGGGGCATGATTTTTTTTTAAAATAGAGTTTAAATTAATTAGAATGTTGTATTTTCCATTGCTGTGACATTTCTCAGTAATACCACAATTCGTTAAAATAAAGATACACGATTGCTGACACAACTGATGATATCGCAATGGTAATAGGTATGAAAAAGAAATGCTGATGAAATAGAACAGAGGAAATCTGTCTCTAGTGGAGGAGTTGAGAAATGCATGTTAGCAACTGCATCGAAGAATAATTTCTTTTGGTAAGATTAAAATAAGAAAACTACTGTATTCATTTGAACAGAGCAAAAAAAAAACTATTACCTAATGTCTCATAATCCAAAGTTCTGCGTTAAGACAATGTAGTTACTGGAAAAAGAGCTGCACGCTTCAATGCATGATTAATAAGCAGTTGAGGTACTAGATGGCAAAAATGCACTGTAGAATTTAACAAATGGGAAAAGTACCTTTTCTGCGTATAATATTTCAATAAAAGAAAAGAATATTCATGAAATGTGACCAGCCAAGAGGCATGTATAAGGAAAAGGTCCTTAGATTCTTTCGGCAGAATTTTAAAAACAGAATTAATCATTTTCTTTGATTTCAAAATTCCTGGTTTTTTTGGAGTTTTGGAACATGTATTATTTTTATTTTTGACTGTCTTTTTAAAGCATTAATTCTTATAAAAAATTTTCTCATTAAACATTGTTCGTGCTAAGTCTAACGGAATTGAAAAAGTGCAATGTTTTGGCTGGGTGGAAGGAATACAAGGTTTCACATTGAAATTTCCTGACTTTTCCAGGACTTGTAACCCTGTAAGAGATGTCTCAAAGACGTCTTCAAAAGAGCTGTAGGTAAAAGCTGATTTTCCCTTTTAGTCTTTGACAATAGTTAATTTGATCAAACACAGATGATTTTTTGTTCAACTCCTGGAAATAGTGTAGAACACAAGTTCAAGACAGTTCTTTGACTGAATCATTTCCTTCAAGTAGTAAATTGTGCCATCATCATTTCAATTTCCATTTTTGAGCGGCAAGGAACCTTTGTTCTTCAGCCAGTCAAAAACATGCTCTCTGTTTTATGACACGGACTTGAACTGGACCATGAATAACCTGTTTTTGAGGAAATTAAAAAGCATTTTCTACTGAGTGTAAAAAAAAATTATTTTTCTTAGACGTAGTTGCTTCTGCTAAGGCACTTTTATGTAGACATGCACACTTCTCAAACACTTTCAACAGAGACAAACCACATTTGTATCATTCTGTTGAGCTGAGCAAAGACCTCAGTTCTCTAATGCAAAGTTTACCAGTTTTTCTCAAACATTTTATGCTACGACAAGGCAACTTTCACTTGTATATTATTTGTTATTTCAGGATGCATACAGTAGACTACGAGGTTCATAACATGAGAGTATAAAAGAGTACATGCTCAGGCTTCTTTTACATGAAGTATTTTGCGGGCTGATTGTTGAAATTGATAGACAAAGAAGACAAAAATCATAGGGAGGGATCCTAATGGTGGAAACAGATAGTTGCAATGGACATAGGAAGTAGGTAATTGACTAAATAACGGCAACCAACAAGAGACCCGATAGTTAGTCAATCATTTTCCTCCTTAGTCTATGAGAACCACCCATTTCAACCGATAGGATGGCTCCTTACTTTTTATAACCTCTTTGTCTGAGCTTTGTCTATCAATTTCAACAATCAGCCTGCTGTCTAAAAAAACCTCTCATAACTTTCAGTGGAATCCCGCAGTTGACACAAACTTGGTCGCACACCTTGTTGGTGCTTGCATGAAGAGCTCAGTTAATGCCAAGAGCCTGTCAAAAATACTGCCCTTTTTTGGAGTATTCAGGGATTTTTAAAATGTGGCCTAAACAAAATTCTTTGATGAGACAATTCTCCAGTGAAAGTTAACTTGAGTTAAAGGCTTGTTTTGGCAATATAACGTTGCAAAGTTTACATATTTTACCACTGCAAAATGCTGTTATATATTCGGAAGTTCCTTGGTTAAATAAGCAACTTCTGTTGATCCCTTTTTCATTTTAGAGTCACAGTATCATCAGTGGATGTTACTGCGCTTAAAAAAACTTTCAAATATCAGCATTATTTAATAATAAAAAATGTAAACTTTGCAACTCTGTATTTCCAAAACGAGCTCTGAACTCATGCTAAGACTTACATTGAAGAATTGTCTCATAGCTTGGATTCGTTTAGGGCACATTAGAGCAGAATCTCTGAATTTTCCCAAAAAAGGGCACAAAAAGGTCCTTTTGATGACAGGCTCACTGATGAATTGTCAAATTTTCACAGTTAAAATATTTTTAAAAAATTGAGGATAGCTTATTATGCTCACGATAGATCGGAGTTCTGATTTTCTGAAAATTAACAAAACAAGCAAGTTTCACTCTGAAATAAGTTAATGTAACATCTAAACAAGATAGGGAAAAATTTAGTGGGCGTAAGTTCACCTTTAATACATGCTTATTCGTAATCGGATCACATCAACTTTTAATCTTTTAGATAGAACATGCTGCATAGGAGTCATTCTGTACAAGAAACTTGCAATTCTTTTCATTTTCCAGTGATTTTACTTTTGTACTTCATTATAATGAAAAATAATTAATTTACAGGTAGCCTGAAAATATTAGTCCATCCCTTACTTGATTACACCAAATATGACGAGGATTAATTTCATCTATTGTTGAAAATGTCGAACTCGTTCAACAGTATTACAATTGGAAATAAAAAATACCTACGACCTACAATTAAAGATAAAAATATAAAAAACGATTTTACGACAGTTAAAATAACGCAATTGAAACAAAAACTGTTCTTCTTTGAATGCAAAGTGCGATGAACACTTTGTTTTGAAATTAACGACTCGCTGCTTTCGAGTACAACGCAAAGCGACTGAACAGAAGCTTAGAGTAAGAGCGAATGAGTTAAATCCTTTCTACGAAAAACGACGTAAAGGACAAATGTTGGTAAACTGTAGACATAAATAAAATGAATACTTGTGAGAGGATTTGACTCATGAGGAAGGGTTGGAAGAGGGCTTAAAGCTTTCAGAAAAGGCAAGCTCTCTCTTTCTAAAAGAGGGTCCAATCTTGCATGCGCTGAGCGCCTGATGAACAGCTGCCAGGTCAGTAATAGAGCCACTTTTTACAAGAGTCAGTGGAAGCTTAAAAATAACCTGACAACTGGCCCAACTTTCCTTCGCTGTGTCTATCAACAGAGAAATTTTACACCCAACGATGACTTAGCCGGCGCTTGACTCCAGAGCTTCTTGGTTATAATATTCTCTGGCATTTTTCTCTTCATCCATCTGAGAGTTCGATCTATTTCCTCTGTTGCTTTCTGGGGGAGGAACTATAGGAATGGCTGCCTTGATCCGCCTGGGAGGTGTTTGCCGTGGTAGAACTGCTTGCGTTTGAGCACTATAGTATGTGATTCCACTCGGTTGTTGGTACAACTCTGGCTGAGGTGGCTGGAGAAAAAACAAAAATTGAGTTAATTAATCATGCAGACTTCCTGACTTCATTACTCATACTTTAGCAAGTCATCTTTTAACAAGCTGCAAGTAACCCTAGGTTCATGGAATGGTCACTACCAAACAGCATCAGCTGAAAGCGAACTGATATTGGCAAGCTAATGGAGACTACTCATTTTGGGCAAACATTTTTTTGACCTTAGTTTTTGAGTTCTGTTTGACTAATAAGCTATTAAGCATAAGTATCAAGTTTAATACAATTTCCCCTTATTTATGAAAGTTTCTCCAGCACAACTGGCACAAAAAGTAAAAATAATCTGGCATGGAGTATGTTAAAAACTCTATAATTTCAGGTGTAGAAAATTCTTCGAGATAAAGGGGCTGTAAAAAGAATCTAGATTCATGTAATTTATTACTATGAAATCGTCTAAGTTAAATAATCGGTCGTCTAAATCATTTTCGTCTATTGTGTCAAACAAAAGCATTAACTGAACTACGCTTACTGTTCCTTTGCCCACTTTGTTAACAACAGCTATTGGTAGAAAAGTTCACTGGCAAGTGCAAAAAATTGACAAGCCCAAAAGTTATAGGCTAGGCCATGTAAATTCAAAAACCAATTTATTCCAGAATGCTTTTTAAGTGAGTACATTATTCATGCTTCCAATGCAATTGAAAGTGATGTTACCGTAGCACTACAGAACCTAACTTCAAACAAGATGTAAAGAAGGATTTGAACGGGTGCGCATCCCATGAACTAACAAGCAGCTAACTACTCGTCAGAGGATCGGCCTTACTCTCACCATTTTTCATTGAGGACACCAACTAAATTTTAGCTGGAGGGAACAAGTATGTCAAATCAAACATATTTTGCAAGTCTGCGCAAATGGAAACATTATTTCTCCGCAGCGATGATCTTTCAAGCAATTTTACATGTGTCAAAAACTATGGAAATCAACTACTGAGATTAGATGACCCATTGTATTTTAAGGGCAAGTTAACAAATTATACTTAGATTCACTGTCAAGGTTAAAGATTAAGACACAAATACTACATTGCCCATAAAAATTTGCTGTAATTGGCACAATCTGAATTGACGGGTGAGAATCTGTCAAAAACACCAAGGGTGGCAAAGCAGCAACTCAAAAAGCTGCAACTGCGCAAACGAATGTAGGCACCTGTGTTGAGGTCTGTCAAATTTTTTGCACAACCCACTATCTTGATTTTCACATGATTCCAAATTCTTTGTCTATCTAATTTGAAATATGACGATCCATACTTCTATGAAGTCAAAATAAGCTGTAGAATTACAGCAAATAACACACTGTCTGTGTGTGCCTCATAGCCTTGATATGATAAGCAATCTGCATTGCCTTGGCTTATAGTATGTTCTGGATTAGTTGGAGCTTAAGTAAAATCCACACAAAAAAAGGCAATGAGTCATACCGGAGGTGGGAGAGTGAGTTGTTGATAGGCTGCAGCAGGGTTTGTGAATGGCTGCGGGACATAGTTGATGAGAGGCGGAGGTGGAGCCTGGTATTGAGCTGGAGGGGGAGGTTGCGTTGGCGGTTGCAGGTAGACGAGCTGCATTGGCGGCGACTGCGCCGCTGGCTGCTGGGTTAGCACAGGTGCAGCTGCAGCCGTCTTGGGTGTGTAGACATTTTGGTGAGGCTGCGTTCCGTACGCTGTATAAAACAGGAAAGCCGATTAGTGACTGGTTTAAAATAGAGAAAGGGGATAGAGGTTGGCAAAGGAAAATTTTATTGCTTTGAGGGGTTCTTTTGAGCAGAACTGCTAATTGATGAAACCAATGTAGTCTGCTTGTTTACTGAAAATCATGGGCAAATTTTCCTACGACAAATCTACTCTAAAAAGGAAGGAAAAAATTTGTCATAAATATGATATGCAAAGAGCTTAGGATTTCATCAAAGTTGCAATACAAGAAAGTTTCACAAATGCTCTCCTCCGAAACAGAATTTAAAATGAAGTTAACAAGGAGAATGATTACAAATTTCAGTTCAATTTTTTAGTTGCTTTTTATATACAGGGTGGGCCAGAAGTTCCAGGACGGTCGGCTAACTTTTTAACGGTTCGAGATAGAAAAATGAAACTATGGGAATGTTCCTATCTCAAAGGGGACCATCTTTTGGGGGAGTCAAAATTTTGGTCCCCCCTTAGGGAGGGGGCGGGGGGCCCCCAACTTTTTTTTTGCAAATGGCAACCCCTATCTTGTGATACCTCATTCGAAAGATCATAAAAAACTAAGAATTTTGGCGCAAACCGCAGATCAATATCTTAATTTTTGACCGAGTTATGATAGGGTCAAAGGTCAAATTTGACCTATTTTCAAAAAATCACAACTCCGGTTCAAATTATCGTAAAGAAAAAAGTAAAACGAGAAAATTTACTAAATTGTGTTCGCTTTTTTGTAAAAATTGCAGAAATCACTTCGAACTAATTTTAAGGGGGGGTTCGGACCCCCAAATACGTCAATTCAAAGGTCATTCAATTTTCCCGCGAAATAAGCCAATTTCTCCCAGATTTGCCTCCACATTATCTCAGTAAGGTCAAAATCAGTTCAACATTACGTTGGGCAAGTCCCCAAATTTCAGGAAAAGTTAAAAAAACGCAATTTAAGGTAATTAAATTTGACCCTCTAAATTGGTTTTTTTTTAACTTTTCCTGAAATTTGGGGACTTGCCCAACGTAATGTTGAACTGATTTTGACCTTACTGAGATAATGTGGAGGCAAATCTGGGAGAAATTGGCTTATTTCGCGGGAAAATTGAATGACCTTTGAATTGACGTATTTGGGGGTCCGAACCCCCCCTTAAAATTAGTTCGAAGTGATTTCTGCAATTTTTACAAAAAAGCGAACACAATTTAGTAAATTTTCTCGTTTTACTTTTTTCTTTACGATAATTTGAACCGGAGTTGTGATTTTTTGAAAATAGGTCAAATTTGACCTTTGACCCTATCATAACTCGGTCAAAAATTAAGATATTGATCTGCGGTTTGCGCCAAAATTCTTAGTTTTTTATGGTCTTTCGAATGAAGTATCACAAGATAGGGGTTGCCATTTGCAAAAAAAAAGTTGGGGGCCCCCCGCCCCCTCCCTAAGGGGGGACCAAAATTTTGACTCCCCCAAAAGATGGTCCCCTTTGAGATAGGAACATTCCCATAGTTTCATTTTTCTATCTCGAACCGTTAAAAAGTATGCCGACCGTCCTGGAACTTCTGGCCCACCCTGTATATGTTTGTTTTGAATAGACTACAGGCTTCCAGTTGGTCTTGCGTTGACTGAGGAGTGTATGAGATTTTAAGATGATGAGAAGTGCAGACTGAATCAAAGATCTACATGTTGAGGTTGTTAGTGGCAAAATTTTATCAATAATGAGGTAAAGTTTTTCAAACAGAGAAGAATGGAACCCGGTAGGAAACCATAAGAAATACTTACTTTGCGGTTGATAATAGTGAGTTTGCGGAGGCTGCTGGAACGCGGCAGGAGGAGGACTGAAACTGATGCCAGACTCAGGCAAAGACCGCTGTCGCTGAGTGGAGTAACGTTTTCCGCGAGAACTAGCTGAAGCCGCCACTTGCGATTGTTGCAATTTTTGACTATTCACATCTTGTATACCATGGTTATCTGCATAAATCCAAAGAAAGCAGTTGAAATTGTGTTTTGTTGCAGTAACTAGTATGACGGCTCATGGTACTTTGCATAAGGAGCTTTTCGGAATAAAACCTTTACTTCTGTAGAAAGTCTTACTGGAGCCTAATCATTTCAGTCTACTCACTTCAAATTCATGCACAATTTATTCTCTGGTACAAAATAAATATAATTTTTTCTTCTTCATCATACATATCATATTTTTTTTTAATTAAGTGAACACCTCTTATTTAAGGCGTATTGCAGATCAAAATTACATTATGCTAATTACATTACATTCATGTTTGCTAAGATTGTACAAGAGCATACTTTTTTTAAATATAAAATTACCTTAAGGTGATTCGATGGACACCATATTTTGTGTCAGAACGGCTTGCGATATATCGCATCAATTGGTTCCATTTTTTCAGCTACTCGTCATTTTTCTCCAAATTTGAGATCGCAATTCTGTTGTCAGGAGACTAAAGCATTCACTTACTAATTTTAACAAAGAAATTCAACGTAATAAAGGCGTGGTTTTTTCAGAGAGAAAACATCGCAATCGAGTGCAGTTTCGATATCAGTATCGAATGCGATGTTTTCTCTCTACAAAACCACGCCTTTATTACGTTGAATTTCTTTGTTAAAATTAGTAAGTGAGTGCTTTAGTCTCCTGACAACAGAATTGCGATCTCAAAATTGGAGAAAAATGACGAGTAGCTGAAAAAATGGAACCAATTGATGCGATTTATCGCATGCCGTTCTGACACAAAATATGGCGTCCATCGAAACACCTCAAATTGATATTTTATAAAAAAAAAATAAAAAAAATTTTTTTTGCCTAGAATTGTTCATCAATACCCCTTCTAATGAAAATTTCAAGATGTCTGACTTTTCAAGTTCTCTCTGACCATTGGATTTCCAGTTTCCCTAACTTTCGTTTCCAAATCAAAGAAAATTTAAAAATAAACGTCGCTAGACTCAAAGGACCGTTATGGACTGTTGGGAGCTCCAATTTTCAAGGGAAAAATTCACTGCAAACTCAGAAAGCACACTGCAGAGCTCAGTATCAAAGCACCAAAAAAATCACAATCTTACACAGAAGTTCATGACTCCCAATTACCTGCTTTCTCTCCCTGTTTTTTTGATCACTACATACTCTGTATTTGGCATGTTGATAAAAATGAAACTTTAATTCTGAAAATTTTGAGTCTGCAGATGTTCAAAGGTATGTTGAGTGATATTGCTAATTTCAGAAATGAATAGTTATGGACAGTTATTGTTAAAAACACCGTTTTTGGGGGGTTCTAGAACAGGTAGTAAATAGAGATGAAAGAGAAAACTCACCAATCGCATGACCCATTGGAACAGTGGTGGGTGATGCGGCCGACGTATTGAAATGCTGCGCTGGCTCTATTTGAAGATGAGTGAAATTCTTTGATAATTCTTCCTCTGTCGGTTCGGAGTGATTCTCGACTTGATGCTGGATGCCAACAGGTTGTTGATACGCATAGGCGGTTTCTGTGACGATTTTTTTAGCTCGTCCACGCGGAAAGTCCATGGGAGTCATGGGAACAGATGGTTGACTAGGGCCTCGGACAGCTGGTTTGGCCATGTTTTTCTCATCAAAACTGCAAAGAAGGATTGAATCATCAATAGAGAAGGAGTATTTAGTGCAGAATAATTGAATCGTATTAATCAGAGGGGGACAAACATAATCACAAGTTGCACAGTTTTATAAATATTGTAATCGCATTATCTATCTTCTAGTGAATGCAACCCACTTAATGCTTCGCCGAATAAAGATTTAGAGAAAGTATTGGGAGATTTGAATTCAGTAGAGGGTTTGATGAGAGGTGAAAAATAGGGTCAAATTACAGAATTATAAAAGGAACATCTAACCCAGCCCTTTTCTCCGATAAAGCATTAATATTTTTGACCTATTTACTTACATTGCCAAATTAAAATGTCGAGGACCTCTGCAGCTATAAGATGATACAGCTCTTGTTAAAATCTAGCATAAATTGAGGATGATGTCAAAAGAAGGGCTTAAGTGAAAAGTATAGAGTTTCGAAAAAAACCCATTTGAACGTTTGAAATTGTTTCCCAATTAACTATGTGGATCAGCTGGTTAAACCAAAAGCTATTCTTTTGTCCTGGATCCTGAAGTTTTGAAATCCATCAATCATTTGAAAAAAAAAAAAAAAATTTCATGAAAGGGTGTACTTCAAGGTGCGCCTTTTTTCCAACCTGGTCCTCAATAATTGAAGTTGGCTCTTTAAACAATTTAAGACAAATACTTCTGTGCGAAGGTGAAAACCTGCCAAGACTAAACTGGACACAGCATTGATTACTGAATATGATTTGAATATTATTAGGCACACTTACTGTTTGTTCCCGCTTCCATTGACTTGAGGCTCATGTTGAGATGTGGAGGAGTATTTGGGAGCCTGAGTTTTACTGCGGGGTGGAAATGCTGGTGGGGGTGGATTTCTGGAGGTATGAAGCTTTCCTGTGAATAAAGTTAAAAGTTCATTGATGAAGGACTTCTTAAAACAATGATGTAAATCTAATCAAAAAGGGTTGGTCAAAACTTACTCTGTTAAAGGCTTCTGCTCTACGTACATCCATGACACAAAATTAACTCTGTTATTCACCGTAGTCTTTTAAGACTGTGGAGGAATTTTGGTGATTGAATTTTTCCAAGTCAGGTAAATATACAGTATATAAGACCAACGAAAATTGGACATTGACCATTTAGATTATTTGAACAATTTTACTTGGATGGAATTTTTATGACTGGAGCCTGAGGGATTCTAAAATCAGACACTGATTAAGAATCTGACAACTAGGTAGCAGAAAAGAGGCAAACTTGAGCTCTTACTGATATTGCAGGTCATAATTTGTACTATACTATATTTTGAGATTGCAAGAAGAATGAGAGCATTACCAGATATTGCAGCAGGATCGATTTTAATCTCTGCTTGTGGCTTTGACACCTGCTGAGGAGCATTTTGCTGCTTTCTGTAAGAGTCATCTTGTTCCCTTGGTGGTGCACTCTGCTGTTGTGATGTTGCTCGGCTGTAAAAGACGCTATTTTTGATGACAGAACTTCCTTTCGGAGGGCTGTTATCTCCTGTTTCAGACGAGGATTTAATGTTACGCTTGTTCTTTAACTCGGGGAATTCTTTTTCCAGATTGAAGTTTTCATTATCAGCAAAGAAGGTTCCACCACCTCTTCCACCGCCACCTCTTCCTCGGTTCACTCTACCTCCTCGCGGTGCTCCAGCTTTTACATATGCATTTTCATCTTCCCAGTTTCGTGTGTACTTATTAGGACCTCGGCTATGAACAAAAACAAAAACTTAGTAACATCATAAAATTATTCACTAAGACAATCAGAAATGATGACCAAAAGAATTCTACTTTTGCAGAGGGAAGATAATTTTTCAAAATAGACATAGTCACAACAAAGGTATCTTTTTCTATTTTTGAGAATGTATTAGAGCAGTAATTGGACTTAGAGTACTAGGTTTTGTTGCCAATATTACTGACAAAGCTACCGCTTCGACGAAAATTGCATTTTTGAAAACTCTGCAAGGACTACATTAAGAGTCTGCTATCTCCTCCGATTGAACTAGGTAAAATACGCGATTTATTGAAAAATTAGGGATTATGTTGATTCATTTTTACAAACTACAGCCTACTCCACAGAAAATAAATAGCAATTGCAGTTCATAACCTCATGAATTGATAGCACTCTCTATGTGACTTAACAGCCCCTTAACATCTTTAACCCTTAAACTACCAGGCTAAAGCAAGATTTTTACTCTTCAAGACTTTACTCCCTGAGTAAGAATTGCGATTTCACCCCAGATTTGCCAAAAATGCGGGATGTTCACCCGAATGCACGCCAGTCATGTGGTTGAGGAGTTTCTGCACACATATCATTCCTTAAACCAAATCACAAGATACCTCATAAAAGGGTTAAAGCAATTAAGCCCTGCGACTCAATTATTGAAAATATGTTGACCAGATGAGACATAGCCCTATCTTCACCAAGAAATATATTGCATTTCGATGTCTTACCGGGTTGCTTTAAACTTTCAATAATCAGCCCGCTGAGCCTGAAAAGCGAAAATCTTTTAGGTTTCAGGATGTATCTGTGGCTGGGTAAAAACCCAAGCTGTACTTGGAGAGGTTCACTTTACAGAGGGCTCCTACTAATCAGAATAGTCAATTCCTTTGAGTCAGCCTCAGTGGTGTAGTGGTCAAGGCAGTTCGCTGCCAACACTGAGGTCTTGGGTTCAATCCCCGGAGGTGATATTTGAGGACACTCAAATATCCGTCATCGTGACTGTGGATGACTATGCCACTCCAATACCCTGACCCTTCGAGGTAACACGGTGCGGGAGGGATATGGTCACCCAGTAAGTAATCCGTCTGCACTGTTCGACTGGGTTGTGAAAAATCGGTAATCACTCAAAGTGCGCGCGACTGCCAGCGCTACCTATCAGTGTAGATTGCAACAAAACAGTCCAACTCGGTGGAGGCATGGCCGTGCTCCGAAAGTCCATGCTCTGCAGCTTCTGCCACAGTCTTTGATAAGACCTTCCGTTGGATATCAGACGGCCGCTGAGCCATGCGGAAATATAGAGGATACACAATGTGTCAATAGTAAGAAGTTAGGGAGCACGGTCCAACTTCGGGGTGCACGACGGCAGTAGCCAGTTGCCTTGGCCCCTTGAGGGCGCCTCGCCGGTCAGCCCGGCCCTTACTACTAGTACTTAGTCAATTCCTTTGGGATGGTATTTCCTTCCTAGGAATAGTCAATTTTTTTCTCTTTTAATTTAGAAGTTCGCTCAAAGAGAGAATACACACCCATATCGTCGGTGTCTTCTGGCCTTTGGAGGTGCCTCTTCATTTCGAATATCGTAACCATAAGTGTCAATTAATTCTTGAGTTGATTTAGGGGCCTGCTCCTTGTCATCGTAAAGATCATGCTGCCACTTGGAAGCCAATGCAGCTTCTTTTTTCGATCGAATTTTTTCTTCCTCTTTTGCATCTTTCTCAGACTCTGCCTCTTTTTCATTGACAGTTTCTTCTGGGCTGTAAGAAAAATATACAAATTAATGATAGAGCTGGTGGTGTAGTTGAAATGCAACCTTAGTCAAAAGATTTGATCATTGTTAATTTAATCATATCAAAATTAAGCATCACTACCCAATTGATCATGTAGACGGACTTCATTACAAAATTTCAGGAAAAAGATGGAGCAAACATTGAGAAATGAGGGAGATATAAGTCTTGAGGGTTGCTGCTAAGTCCATTATTGCGGTAGATTTTAAGAAATATACTGACAAATGTTCCTGAGAAATATGCTGACTGATAAATATTAGTTTGTTTAAATGATTCGTTAAGGCAATAGATCACACAGAAACATGCAATTAAGAATAAGTCTCGCACAGATAAGAAGACATCCGCTAAATTTCTGAATGCTGAGATGACTCTTCATAGTAATTACTTTAATATAACAAGAGAAAAACTGATGAGATAGTTCCATCAGCATTAAAAAAATGGAGACCAGAATAAGTGAGAGGTTCCATACCCATCTTCCATACGGTCATCATGTTCATAGAAGGTGCCTTTTTTGGGGATATACTGAGGATTTCTACGGTCTTCATCATCATCTAACTTTTTATCTTTCCCAGATAAACTTTCCTGCAACAAAAAGACAAATTATGACTACATCATAGGAAAAGTTTTTTATACATACTTTATACATAAACAGCCGAAAAAGATCATCACTTTGAAAACTCAAGGAGGAGGGGTCTTTATAATATAGGAAGCCCAATTTAAAAAACGGAAGGCCAAGAATTTTTGCATCCTTCCTTCTTTTAGTATAGTGGGTTATGAGTAGGTATTTCTCAAACTGATCGACACAGCAAAATTATTCAAACTTACTACAGTTTCGGTGACAAGGGTTCAGACTTCTGCTGTGAGAGGAAACTAATGAGACCAAAGAAATAAAAAAAATGTTTCGGGAATCACAGGTAAGTATATCAAGTACTATAAATTTAAAAGGTAGCACCTATGACGCTACAACTGAATCCGTCATTCTTGAAATGACTAGAGGGCTGGAATACAATGCAAGAAAAACTACAGTAAAAACTGTATTAATTGAACTGTTTGAAATCTTTTGATTGAGATGCGATTGATCGATTAAATGCTTTAATATTTTCGAGCTAGGAGATTTGGAATAGGAGGGTAGAGGATTTAATTTTTTTAAAAGTTTTCAAATGTTGGCACTCAAGTATTTTAAAGAATGATGGATTCATTTACTTACTTCTTCACCATCTCCCTCTTCACGTTCTTCTTCGATGTGGACGTCACTCAAATCATCATCCGACATGGATAGTTCACCATCTTCCCTTTCACTGATGAAACTAGATTCACTCTTGGTGTCAACTGACTGTAATGGGTCTTCACTCTCATGCTGCTGACTTGCTTCGGATGCAGGAGCCTCAGATCCAGCAGTATCAGCATCCACCTTCTTGCTCTCAGTCTCCTCCTTTTCAATCTTTGGTTTTTCTACTTTCTCCTCTTCAACCTTCTCCTCAACCTTTTCTGTCTCAATCTTCTTCTCCTCAACCTTAGGTTTCTCCACTTCTGGCTCTTTTTTGGGAATCACGAGGTCTTCATCCACTGATTCATACTCTGATTCGTTGTCCACCTCAGAACTTTTCTCTGCTTTTTCACTCCCAGACGCCATTGAATCCTGCAACATAAGCAAATTATTTTAAAAAGATGACACTTAAACCTGTCAGTGACATGGGGAGAGGGGGGCGCAATCAGTGGTACGGCCTTAAATTTTCAACTTCCCTATGCCGAGCATTTTTTTCTTTCCCGGACAGTTTCTCTCTTTCCCCCCCTCTCTGGATAAAGCTAAGTTTTGTCTGAGATTGCAGGTAAATAGTTATTACGTACTTAAGAGTTAGGACAGTCACCCTGACTGGCCCTTTTAACAAGCCCACCGGTTCCTTGACCACCTAATTTATCGATAGGTCAGAGGCACCTCTTTCGTCATTTATTTTCTATAAGTACAAGAGGAACCAAGCTTTCAGGAATTTTGCAGACTTTTTCAAACTTTTAAAGCCTCAGAAACCCCATTTTGAAAATGCCACAAATGGGATCTATTTGAAATGACGTTTTTGACACTTCAGATGGAATAGCCAGGCAGGGTAGATGTTATTTGCTGATTGACTGAATTTAGCTTTAGGCTTTGTTTTGAAACGTCAACTCGATTGTTGACTTTGAAATAGCTATTTCTCTCCGTAAAAATGCTTTTTTGAACTTTTTCATGAACGTTATGGATTTTTCACAAAATTTTCTCAAGAACTATGTTACAACCCTGCAAAAATCCCTTGTCACCGCCCAATTAACAGTATGCACAACCAGCTATCGTATCATAGTGATTCATAATTTCATCCGCTATTTGATGGTCCATTGTAGTAAATACGCTTCATGAGATGTACTTGCTGAGTTAGTGCATTAGGGGCTTTGCAAGATAGGAAAGCTCACAGTTTTATTAGGCTGAACTGGTTTGGCAATCTCGGTTTAGTCAGTGTCATTAACTGGTTTTCTCCTTGATTAAACATAGTTTTGCTGGACCCACTTCAGTTACCTAGGAACTGAAAATGATTTTATACGAATTCGTGAGTCATCAGGCATCTCCCTCAGTAATACCAACCTGACCTTCGAGGTACAAGAAATGCTCTAATGGAGATGTTGCATGTGTGAGGTTTTTTCGTTTTGACTATTGATTCTTATGTAAAAGTTCGCAAGAAACACAATGGTGCCAATGGTTTTCTCTGAAAGCAACTCCCAAGCTCAAAAAAACTTTTCAAGTTGAGGCCGAAATGGAGGGAATATCCCTCGCTATCCTGAGAGTCCACGTCTACATCAAGACAAACTCTCCATGCGAAAATAAGGAGCAAACATTAGCAGGGTTGCCGTGTTTTCAGTCTTAGAGCCCCCAAATAAAGTGGCAGCCCTGTCAATGTATTTGCTCCCTATATATTTGCATGGAGAGTTTGTCTTGATGTAGACATGGACTCTCTGGATAGCGTGGGATATCCCCTCCGTTTTGGCCTCGACTGGAGAGCTTCTTTTGAGCTTGGGAATTGTTTCCAGAGAAAACCAGTGGCACCATCGTGTTTCTTGCGAGCTTTCACGTAAGAATCAACAGTTAAATCGCAAATTCCTCACACATGCAACATCTCCATTCTTGGTCTTAGCATACTTGAAGATGCAAATCTTGGCCCAGGAGGTGATTTAGGTGAGTGACAACCTGATATATAGGCTTGCCACCAAGAAAGTATGGCCAATCACACACTTGGACATTTTCTGAGGGGTAAATAAGAAATTTGGAAGTCAGACCAAGACAATGAATCGCCAGAAAAAGGTGGTGATTTGAACCATTGATGTATAATACAATCTAGACCGCGCATTAGGAAACTTCAGCGAGACTAGAGTCCCTTCAGGCGAAACGATAGGCAACCCAGCAACACCCAGTAAGTGTACCGGCAATATGTACCGAGACAATGGAAATGCCAGTCTTATCAGTGCCATTGCCTGGTACAGGTACAGTAAGCTCGTATAATCGGCGGTATCAACTAGGCTGAAGGCGCGTCTTCACCCTGTTTTACCCCCCTAGCTGTCTTGCCTTCCCCGCCTAAAGTCGGGCCTAGTGTGCGGTCTAGATTGTATTATATGTCAATGATTGGAACCCTGGCCTAACCTCACTTCTTGTTCTACCTACCACACACTGATGAATATCTAGGAAACTTGCCTGACCATAAGAATAAATTTTCATCAAGCTGTAGGTTCAGTATTTTGACATACAAAAAGTAAGCATTTGAAGAGAGGTACAGTGATCAAGTCATCTGCTTTACAGCCAGAACTTTCAGCCCTAGGACAGGCTGCTTTTCACTTAGGGGTGGATCGGATATTATATTCAGATTATCAAACAAAAAGTGATTGCTCATGGATGGGAAGGATTAGAAAGTAGGAAATGGAGGATGACAGCCCTAAAAATCTGTTTGAATCATCATTGCATGTATATTTTAATTACTGTTCCGTTAAATGGAAATAGGTACTAATGCTTGCAGCAAGAATTTCATAACAGTGGCGTTGATACAAGACAAGATAAAAGTTGTACAATTAATAGTTGCAGGCATAGCATACTATAGTCCAACGATAATACATCGTCAAAGTGGCGTAGCACAAATGCTAAGCTAGCAGTGCAGACGCAGCTGCAGTTAAAAGGGAAACCCTCTTGGATAGCCTTGGATCCATTGTGGATCCATCAGAGAGAATGAAGGGTCTGCAGGTTGTTGGTGAGAATTTCAGGATACATGAATGCGAAGAGTAATGAGTAGGAATGGGTCAAGTTTTGCGAGGGGTCAATGATCAAGGGTGTGTTTCTTAACCTCAAGAAATTGATACATACAGAAGCGACTTACGTATTTAGAATCGAGTGTATCATTGAAGTCGGACTCCTTAGCCCCGGTATCTGAGTCGGTAATTTGCTCAGATTCGGGTTCAGTTGCGGCATCTCCTTGAGAAGCCATGTCAGTGAGAATCTAGAAGTAAAAATTCGGCAGAAACACACAAGATGAACTTAGAACATGCCTAGAATTTTTCGCACATCGCACTTCACTCTCCACTTTTGCAACGAGTTGAGGATAAATAAAAGTTCAATGCGACGTGAAACTGGCGCGTCAAGGGGAACAGAAGTGGAACGAGCCGAACGGGAACTTCTTATACAAGCTTACAAGAGCTATGTATTTAGTTTAGATAGTATTTGTGGTGCAATCTTGGGTCAGTGTTGAGGTGTTGAACAAAATATGGGCAGCAACAACAACATCAACCACCATACAATGTAAACATACAATATTGACGAATTTTTGATAGTGTAAAATGTGGAAGGAAAGAAGTAGCATTTGAATAAATAATATCATATATTTTGTTTAGATTCATGGTTTTTGCTTCAAATAGCACAGCATTGGTAAGTGAAATCAGTCTCACTGATCTCAATTCCTGTTCTTCGAGAACCAAGTGCAGCATTACACTCCTGCTGGAACATCAAACTATATTAATATACCCTGCCCAGTAACAGTAGTTGCTTTTTAATAAGAATATTTTGTATGCCAGTTCCTTTCAATTACAAAGGTGCATCCAAGTGGCTTGTCGAGCTGCTTGGCAGACCACTTGACGTGCAGCTTGTTGGGCCGCGTGACAAACTCTCCATCAAAGCACTGCCTTTTGTCACTGCAACATGGACCAAGAGGATGAATATAATGAATAAGATGTATAGGAGAATCAATATTTATTCTCTTGGTCCATAACTGCCTGCAGAGCACATTTGGCAGAGGGCCCGTCGAGCGGCCAAACGACAAAAGGTGGCTTGTGATGCTTCACATTTATTTGTTGCTTGTATTGAATCGCATTTTATGTCAGTTGGCGCCTGTAACTGAGGTTCCTGATGTATTACTCCAAAATGGTTTGGAGAGCAGTAATGATTCATACTCCGAAAAGAAAGTTATGTTAAGAGATGAATACTTACTCTTGAATTCATTAAATCATCCTCAAGAAGAGACCAATTCTAATGATTTTTATACTCATGAAGACTGTCACTTCTGTCTAAGGAGTTTTGAATATGCCTACATACAAGTTGCATTTTTGTTCAATTACTCAGCCGCTCAAATCAATCTTGGCAGTATTTATGGCTCAGGTAAATTTAAAGCTAAATGCCGCTTCATATTAATGAAGGCAAATTCAAAAAGATTCTAATAGAAAAATCAAGTTGAGGTGCTCATTAAAACGTTTCTAACATTGCATTCAGGGTCAATATGTATTTATCTTGTTTTTCAGCGTACCTCCTCTAAAATGCCGTCAACAAGATCAACTCGCAAGCCTTCAGCAAAACAATCCAAAACTACCAAGAAGGACAATAGCGAATTCAATCTTATTGTAACTGGTGCACTGAACGACATGAGAAGTGGAATGTCCATCGCAAATGCAGCGGAAAAATGGGATATAACCAAAAATTACCTCCGAACTTTATCCAAGAAGATGAGGCCGAGCGGTGAAAAAGGTAAAATCCATCGATAATGTGGTTAAAAACAAGATCTTATGATGCCTTTTGTAGTGCATAGTGGCGAAGAAAAAAGATTGACTAAAGCTACGGAACCTTAGGCTTGCTGTCCGCAGCGTCCTAGACGCCGGCGGAAAACTCTACTAACGAGTCAAGGGCGAGAAGACGCTCACATTTCGGAGCACGGCACCTTAGGAGCAGAATTCGTGGATTTTTTCCGCTCTGTCTTCTGTCAATTTCTCGAATTTTTGTTGATCGGACAGGATGCTTTGAACCGCAAAAATGCCTGGACGTGCTTTTTTTTTAGGAGGGTGTGGATTCGATCGACAAGAATCGACCGAAAAATAAAAACGTGAATCGGTCGACACCTTTTCGATGGACAAATTATTAAAAAACCGATGTTGATTCGATCGACATGAATGGATCGGAAAAAAACGTGAATCGATCAGAAAAAAACGTGAATTGATCAACGAGAAATGATTGACAAAAAAAAAAAAAACCGGTATCAAGTCAATCAACATGAATCGATCGAAAAACCAAAACGTGAAGCGATCGAAGTAATTCGATCGACTCACAGCTTGGTCGATCGATTCACGGGTTTGTCGATCAACTCACAGGTTTGTCGATTGATTTATGGCTTTTGTTGATCGATTCACGGGTGGGTCGATCGACTCACTGCTCTTGTCGATCGATTCACGGCTTTTGTCGATCAATTCACGGCTTTTGTCGATCAATTCACGGCTTTTGTGATTGATTCGTGGGTTTGTCGAACTAAATACATTAAAAAATCGCTAGGAAAGGCAGCGGACTGAGCGGAATTTTTCGGCATCTCCGCTCCAATCTGTTGGCGACAGTTCTCCATCGGCGTTTTCCGCAGCGTCTCTCCGCCGCTAAGGTGCCGTCCCCACGTAAAATCATCAGACAGATTTATCGGCGTCTCTCTGCGTCTGTCCGCGGCGTCCTGGACTCTGCGGACAGACGCGCCTAAGGTTCCGTACCTTTAAACTGCCAATAGCATCTATTCATTTTATCGCTAACGCAAAGCCTTGATGACATCTGACTTGTAGATATTTGTGAAAATACTCATTTCCATGAATGAGGATAAACATAGTAGGTACGATTTCTGATTTTAAAAAGTGAATTTTGTCGAGAATTATGTTTGGCTCGAAGTCTAAATTCCTCTGGTGAAATTTTTCTTCTGTAGGTAGGAGTCACGGTCCCTTACTTATCTTTAATCTGGGTTTTTGTTGACGGTTAAAATTGTTTTTTATCATTAAGAGCTTAGAGCGCTCTTAAGATTTAGTTCACTTTGAAACTGTGTATCCCAAGTGCTGTCTCTCAAAATGTTTGCTCCCTTTTTATTATTTTGTATTATATTCCTTGTATATTATTCCGTTTTATTCTTCCTTTTCCTTGCATTTTTGTATGCAATTTTTTGAAAATGTTTTCAACAGGGCAAGGATACCACCTACCCATACCTGGTCATTTCTTAGCGATTATGTGGTCTCATTTTCGGAGAACACACGGGAACGTAAGGGAGGACTTGGAAATGATTGATTTTTTTCTCGAGAACGTGACTTTGTTCTGGGCATGGAATTTTTAGTTGAAGTCTTAAGCAAGTTTGATCGATCGAAACAAATTTGTACGACAGAATCACATTTTAAATGAAAGGAAAACTTGTTTAATGTATGTCAGTATAGGGAATGATTCCCTCCGCATAATTCATTGTTACCAGATGGCGCTGAAAAATCAGCATATCCTCCATTTGAATCCATCTAAAATATCTACATTTTATTGTATAATCTGGCAGCCTTGCCGAAGATATTACCAACACACTCTCACACGATTTCTCCAATGGCCAGGAACGCTAAGTAGGGATTGGTGAAACACATACATTTTTATACAGAAACTATGATCAGTCATCTTCAAGAAATTAAAATGTATCAGGGTATCTGCAGTTTCATGACTTCAGCTCAAGATTGCCAGATTTTTATATTAAAATAAGAATAAGATTATTTTACACATGCTTAAATGGGAATTTTCAGCACTATATGGTAACAATGCTGAGATATAATGTATCATAATTCCACAATATTTCAAGACATAATGTGACTAAAATCTCTAGAATGTGTATGTGTGCTAAAAAGGAACTATATTGCTTTTTCACAGGTAAAGTTGGAAGACCAGCAAAACCAGGGTCAGGTTCACACGCTCTACTAAGCAAAGAGGAAGAAGCCATGGTTGTGGACTGGATTGCTGACAGCTACAATGCTGGTTTCTCCTTGACCGAAGATCAAGTCTTAAATAGTATTCAGTATTTACTCACTGAGCTAGGTAAACAAACACCTTTTCCTTATAATCGACCCAGCAGAAAGTGGTTTGATGTTTTCTTACTCCGAAATCCGGAAATCTCCATGTTACTGTGTAAGAAGGTAAACTCGCCTGCTATGAGTTCGCAAAATCAAATCGATGCCTGGTTTGAGAAGATTTCCAATTACCTGCAAAATATCAACCTTTTCGATGTGCTCAAGGATCCTGACCGAATGTTTAATGGCGATGAGCTGGGGTTTTTTATCAATCCCTATGATAATAAAGTTCTCTTCAAGAGAGGTGCTCAAAAAGTATTTCAAATCATCAATATAGACCAACGACTTCATGTAGCCATGTTTCTAGCATTTAGTGCCTCAGGAATGATTGCACCACCAATGTTAATCTCCCAGCAATCAGCATCATTGCGGTGTTTCCAGCAGAGTGTCCCTGATGGTTGGTTCCTTGGAATCTCAGAAAATGGTTGGATGACTGGCAAGACCTTTTTCGAGTACATTGTCAGTGTTTTTAAGCCTTGGCTCGACGAAAACAATATCCCAAAACCTGTCATAGTTTTCTTCAATAGTTCTACAACTCATCTCACTCTACAGCTGAGCCGCTGGTGTCATGCTAACGGCATAGTTCTTGTAGGAGCACTGCCAAACGATGCATACGTTGTCCAACCGCTTGATGTGTCTTTATTTGGGGTTTTACGAACGCAGTGGTTTCTGGAAGCTGATCGCGTACGTCGAGAGGATAAGTCAGCAGCTTTGAAAGTAAGTAAATTTTGCTCTACATTGCAAAAAGTCATAGCTGAGAATTTAACACCGGAACTAATACAGACTGGTTTTCAAAAGTGTGGCATATTTCCATGGGATCCTCTAGGAGCCAACTTTGAAAGCCTAATCAAGGATTTCGACATAAACGAAGCTGTGATCGAAAACATGGAAGTCCTATCATCCGCTGGTGATGCAGATCCGCGGTACAAACTAGTTTTGAAAATATTAGAGGGAGAAATAGGTGAAAATAAAGTGAAAAGTTTCTATGCCCTGAAAAATGAGTCAAGATGGTTTGATCTGGTAGACCAAAAAGATATTAGTCTCTTCAGGGTTTGGAAGCAAATATTGAGTAAAGCGGAGGAAGTCCCAAATTGGGTTCCAGAGAATTACTGTGAGGTGGTAATTACAGATGAATGTTTAGATTCAGATGGGAAAGATAGAGTTACAGCTGAAGACATGGAACAAGAAGTCTTGGCCAAGGATGAAAATAAAAAACTCCAGGATAATTCAGGCAAGAATGTCTCAACCACTTCTAAAAAAAAGGTTACAAAAAAGAGGAATAGAGGGTGTAAAGATGAAAGTTGATCAGATTTAACTGAAATAAATGAAGATTTAATAAATTTTTTTTTATTTCATTTAGTAAGCAGAGTTTTATTGATCTGTGGCGTTTCTATTACTCTGTCATTACTGTTACTTTGTTTCTTGAGGATCGGGAAGTGGAAATAATTTTTCCCAGCATTATCCTCAGTTCTCCACCGATTTAGGAACCTAGCATCTTTGAACAACCAGAAAACTAAAAATAGTATAGGAGTTTCATATTCTCTAAAGAGGTTTTCTAATAGTTTTGGTGCCTATTATGAATATTTTATCAAATCTATCTTTTCTTAGAGAGATATTCTCAAAAAGATATTTTTTAAATCTCTTCTGTTGGAAAGGTCCTCTCGTAGTTTTAGTTCCAATAATGAAGTTTTTCTGAGCAGTCTTGCCCACCAAAAAAAAACTACTTTTTCAAGTGGCCCACAGGAAGGCTTTAAAATTAATGCTGAAATGCATAAAATCTCGTATCCATCATCATCGTGGATATGAATGGAGTAGTACCTTGGCAATTTTGTTGTTATATATGTTTCATTCCTCAGCCATCATTAGCAGTAAATATTCTCCAGTTTGAATCAAAATTTGTGTTCGATTTGATGTAATCAAAAAGATAAACCCTAACAAAGATATAACTAAATTATTTTGCGGGACAATCTGATTGCTTGGATCAAACTAACATAGTTCTAGTGCTTTAAAAATCATGCAACTTCATCTGTATCCGACAAATACCTATAAGCTCAAATTTGTTCAGTTTTATGTCAATCTTCAGAAAAACTCTTTTAAAAAAATTCAATATTTTAAAAACAAAGGAAGCTTTGGACGATTTTGACAATACTGTAATTGCGTTGGGTCCCTTCTGCTAAATTTGATCCAATGAGGTAGTAGCAAAGAATTTTTACAGTGTTGTAGTATAATTGCTCTTATGTGAAATTTCGTGAAAAAAATCAAAACTTTCATGCAAAAGTTCAATGAAGCATTTCTAAGGGTGAAAAAGTTCATCAAAATCCAACCAATCAAAAGCTTGGAGGCAATTTGATCTAGCAAGGCAACGCCTGAAGATGAGTTGAGGCAATCTGCAAATGCCGTTTCCTCCGCTCAGCTATGTCATCAGCGCTTGCCAAAAATATCATTTCAAACAGGTCCCATTTTTTGGATCTTCAAAACAGAGTCACCTTGCCATTAAGGATGAAAAAAAACTGAAAAATTTCTAGAAGCGTAGTTCACTTCTTATTTTAAAAAAGTACATTTTTAAAAAGATGAGTGCCACTGAGCCATTAGTATCCTTGAACATAAGAAAGTTTCCGTTGAAGGTATTTTTGGTTGAAATCATGCAGATGTCAAATTTGTATCAGAATCCTGAACTTACCCTAAGACTAAGCTGAGATGTGAATGGATTTGCAAGATTAATAATGATTGTTGCTGCTGTTGTAACAGGCAAGTGTCAAATTATTCTCCCTCCCGCTGTTTGGCTGAAAAATTCTGATAAGTTCAGAAAATAATAGTGATTCATAATGTTGTGATTTGTTTTATTTTTATTTATTTGTTGAAACCTGTGTATTTTAAGTTTCTCCTCTGAAAACTCAAGTTGTTGTTTTGTAAATAATTTTTTTATTCTATTCTACTACAAGGTGAAGTCACGCCTAGATTTAGAAATGAAATGATACCGCTTTTCATTGTCAACCCTTTCACAGATGACAGGCCTCAATTCCGTCTCACTCTCTGAGTCTTTGTGGTCTCCATTAATTTTTTTCTAAGAGACTAGGCACACAATGGCAAGAAATTTAGCGGCAGTTAAAGTTTGATACCATCTGATATGATGTTCTTTATGGCCTCTTGAGCACAATGGGCTTCTGAAACAGAACTGTCCAAGTGCCGATCTTGAGAAAAAGGGCTGAAAAGTAAATTTTTTGGTATTTTTACTTGGTATATCTAAGTAAGAGGAATGTTGCAACCTCTTTTTGCTGATCGGGGAGATTTATTTGCTGGTTGGGATAAGAAGACAGACAAAAAGAATCAAATTCCTCTGAATAATACAGAATGTGGTGCGGTGTCCTTACAGACTTAATTACAGAGCCACATTAGGAAATGCGTACAAGAAGGACAAAAAATTTACTTTTCAACCTTGCTTTTCTCAAGATTGACACTCAGAAAGTTGAATTTTCAAAACCTATCGTGCTCAGGAGGTTGGAAGAAGCATCATATTAAACAATCTAGAACCAAATTTCTTGGTAACAAGTGCATGGCCCGTTTAGGTAGCTTTTGGATTTACCTCAGAAAATTTTTTGTAATTGGTTGCCAGAGGTGTTTGTTCATGCTAAGTAGAAATTTTGGGTTAAATTAACTTGTAGGTTCTAGCAAGTAAAATGTCCCAAAAAGCCTTTATGAAAGTACATCAAAAGAGTATATCATTGAATTACATCAAATGACTAATGAAACCAAAATCATTAAAATTAATTCAAAATTACTGTTTACTAATTTTTTTTCTTTTTTTTTTTTTTTTTTTTTTTTTTTTTTCTAAAGATTTTGGTAAGAAATGAAAGCATGTTATCAGGTGTGTCATAGATGGTTTTAGCAAACTAAACTTGTCTCTGCTTACTACATGTGACTTGGATCTCTTTTTCTCCCCCTCCAAATTCAGAAAATCCTGTTAATGATATGGAGGATTAATTCTTGAATGCAATCAAACATAGTTTGTAGGATATCTAATTTCGTTAGATTTTCACTTGCCATAAAAAATTGCCATCTTTAAAGGTTGAAATTGTTTTTGAATCGGAATGAGCACATTGGTATCTAAACCTTAGAGTAGGCATGAATTTACCTTGAAGGCAGGATTCATTTCTCCTCTCGATTTTCATTTTGTCTGTTTCGTCTGAGTATTTCAGTTCTATTTGACTTATTAGGTCCTCCTATTCATTAATCATGAGCCAAGTTATTTTAGTATAGTTAGTATGACGATTGCATTTAATTTTATTCATGAATAATTTCTATTCTAATTCTTTTTTAGCTACTGCTCAAACACATGCATCTAAATCATTACTGGTTAATGGTATGGCCTGCTGCAAAAATAATCTTGCAGCTGCATTGGAATATTCAAATGTTTCTTTGGGGGGGAGGGGGGGGGGCAATTTGAAACTCTATTGCAGTTTTTTTGGGATCTGAAAGATGACAGAGCACAAGTAGTGAGAGAGATGAATCCTGTATCTAGAAGTACATGAAGTGTATTTTCCGAAGGGAATACACTATTTTTCCTCTTGTAATTTACTTTTTGTGATAAAGGAAGTCCAAACTGTGGACTGTTTTTGATATTTGTAGAAAACTGTGTTCATGCCTTTTAAGTCTTTTTGAATATTTTTGTTGTTTCGTCAGAACTATTTTCTCTCTGTCCTCTTTTGTAACTTAGTTATAGATTTTCTATTGTAAGTAATATCTGGAAAAATGTATTTTTGAATGTAAATGAAAATTATTTTGTTCGGTGAGGTGCTATTTTTATGGAAACTGAGAGTAGATTAAACATATCAGTAGAGTAGAGTAACATCATAGGTTTTTTACATTATTGTTTGTATCACGATCATAAACCTCCCTTAAATACTGAAAACGTTGTTGAAGTACTCTAAAGGAAGCGACGGCTTTATTATCTCAGGAGCGGACATGTACTTGAAAAATCAACAACTTCAGGCGATAGTTCTCCTATCCATGAGAAATTGAAAACAAAATATGCGTATTCCCTTCAAGAAAAAAAGATTTGAATGAATTGTATATCTGCAATCACTGCCTCTAATTGTCCAGGTCCTCTTCTTTTGTTCAGCTTCACTTATGAATTACACCCAAACAATCGGTTTCGGTGGTTAAAATTTAATTCCTCCAATCAATGCTTTGCACCTAAGTTTAGTGTGGAAACGACTCATCTGGAATATCTCTGATTTCTATTTGTTCGAAGTTGGGAAGCAGTGGTTACTGAGAGTTGTGCTTAAGTTTTGCCTCTGAAATAGTGACAATATTCAAGCCAGTCTCCGAAAATTTTGGAGTCAAGTTGACAAGCTGAATTATACTTCTTCATTATCAAGTATCATTTTACAAACGCATGCGTCTTGAATTATTGACACAAGTGATTTGGTTTTTATCTGTTTTGTGTTACATAATTTTAAAATCAGATGAAATTTTAAAGTCAAATGAAGACCTCAGTCTTTTAGAAATATTCAATCAGGGGCGAGATAGAGAGAGAGAAACTAATAGAGGGAACTAGAGAAACAAATTTAATTAATGAATGAAGAAAATTGGTGTGTAAGGAGTCAACCGAAAGGAATCACAGGTTTAACTCTTAAGTTCATTCAATTCAAAAATAAGATGAAGCACCTGCAGAACAGACTGTTTGACGTGGCAAATAGAGAATTTCTCAATTTTGAAGGAAAATAGAAGAAACTGAAGTGCTTGGCCGAATATTGAAGAGAGAAATAGTGTCCAGAAGTTGCATAATAATCCTGATTTTGTTTGGTCTTTCGCGGTTTTGAAGTTTAATCTTCTACTTCCAAATCCAAATTATTTGAAGCCCATAATGTTTGTATTGCAAGACTATTATTGCTCATCCCATTCGGAACTAGTATTGGTGGTTCATCTCATTTTCAGTTTTATTTTGTGTCAGAGTGTGAGTTGAAGCTCTCAACTGAGACTTCTCTCCACTTAAAATTTCTTGCTTTGAATATTTTAATTTATTCATGTTTCTCTAATAGGTACCCATATTTTGATTGACCCATATTTGAAAGGGACACATTAGTAAATATTGTCAAAGCTGTGTGTGTCATCTTGTCTTGTCACCAAGGCACCTCAAGGTTACCCATAACAAAATCTTGAACTTTTGTACATTATGTAAATGGTTAAGATTTTTTATTTTTTTACTTGTTCTCTCTGTTACAGAAATATTTCCGTTGTAATAAAATTTCTCCTTAGCTTAAAAGCAGCTAATGGAGACCAAAAAATCATTCTGATTCCTTTTCTTCAACTTTCCCCAGAGGGTTCAATTTTATTAGCAAGGAATTAAAAACAGAAACAATTAGGGGTAAGAGGATAAATGGTCATACCCCGATTATCCGACCACTCATCAGCCAACTCCAAATTATTTGATATTTCAGTTATCCAACGAAGGCAAAATTGAGTTTTTGCTCAAAAATAAGTTAGCAGATATGACAAAAACCATGTATGGCAAACCATGGATAAATATTAAATATATATGTATGTGATTTTTCAAATTATTTGTAAATGTTTGTGTTACAAATGCTATAGAAAATTCGTCATACTTGCCCCTCATTGTTGCAAACAGCCTGAAATGACATTTCCTCAGTTTTTTCTTGGTGATTTGACTACCATACTTCTACATCCGACCGCTGCCTTAGCCACCAATTGTCTGACAAGCGGCACATTACTGTATAACTTTTCTTTTAATTTTGCGAGTGTTTTCTCAATATCTGTGCTTCAAAGTTACATTACTTTTGGTTATGTATCTACAAGGACTGATATGAGTTTGGACAGGGTAAACTTAGAAACTTAACAAAAAGTAAAAAGAAATAGGAAGAAATATAACATTCTTCAATTACTTCATCAGTAAAATAACTTTATTCCTTCTCTGAAAAAATGAAAACCATCTTTACATACACTTTAGTACAAATACTACTGCTTTGGCATCTGAAATACGCATTGAATTGGTTCCTTTAGTCAACAATCAACGGATCTAAATGGATTTGTCAAATATACACCATTTATAAGAGGTAAAAACCCTCAATAATCAGGGATAAATGAAATGATGTCCTCGACCTTGTTTGGACAAAGGAAAAAGTGTAAAAAAATAAAAGTTGAAAGTTTCTGTATCTTCAAAACTTAACGTTCACATCAATTACCCCAATTATTTACTGTATAAAAAATCTGTATGTACAATTACTGACTACTGCAAGTTAAGAGCAACACTAAAATTTACAAATAATATTTTCATATTTATTCTGACTCAATTCATTAATGTTCAGAACGGTGAGAATAATATGATGTGATTAGCAAAAAAGAGGGAAGGTTGTAGGTAACGGTTATAAGAATGAGATCAAAGCAAAAACCTTGGAATAAATTGATGGGGGGGAGGGGGGGCTGGAGTTCTGCGTACAAAAAGGAATCAAAAAATATAAATAACATCGGGACTTGAAATTTAACTATGAACCGAATTATGTTCCTAGATTTTCATTTACATATCACAATCAATAAACTAAAAACAACAAGATAAAAATTCAAATGAGAGCATCCTTTTAGTTTTGTATGAGATGATGCACAATAATTGTACATTATCCAAGTATTACCTACCTACTTTATTATGAGCAATCCAACCTGATTGTAGAGAAAAAGTTCAATCACACATCCTCTTCATTTTTGTCCACTTCATACGAATGGAAACAATTTTCTTAATTATTTGGTGACCTCGAGTTTAAAGAATCACTCAGTACAGGTTTCCTACTTATTGACGGTCTTCGAGTCATTTTACTTCAATACAATAAGTATTTGACGAGAATAAAGTCTCCTCAGCCCACTTAAGTAGGTATTCATTGTTCCAAAAAAATTACCTGCTAATATCCCAAATTTTAAAAAATATTTCCAAAGCATATCTGGTCCAAAGTTTCACTCCTTACAAAAAAATTGAAATCTGGCGATAGAAAATATTGTAAAGGTAGGTACCTACCGCCCTTTGTAGCAAGGGTGCATGCAAAAGTTTGAAAACTTGAAGATAAGTACAGATGGAAAAGAAAGTGTAAGAATTAAACTTGATAAAGTGCCCGTTTTCCCTCCCCTTCACTAAATTCCAATCGTTGTATAAATCGTTCGATAATGAAATTTGGCAACTCACAAAAGTTAGTAGCGCCAGTGCAACCGCTGTAATTTCTCAGAGAAGATCTTTTAAAAATTAAGTTTTACATAAATGTACTTTTTTCAAACTCTGAAACCTTTTCAGTCAAACCATGAAAATCAGCATTTTTTTAACCTCTGAACTGACTACAAGTGCAAGTGTAGTTTTCACAAGTTGAAAGGTTTTTTCCCCCTTCTTTTCTTCCAAAGATGAGGTCTTCTTTTCTTCATGGGGGAAAACGCTCGAACCTTAAAAAATGTTGTACAAGTTTTTTTATACATGCACTCTGCCAACCTTTGCCTCACGTCTGTACACCCCATCAGTTAATTGTAGCAGTGCTCCTATTTTCTGGACTTTGATACCAAATATTAAAAAGTTCGGAATCTTGCGGAATTTTTCCGAACATTTCAATTTGAAAAAATTGAAATTGATTCTCGAAATTTCAATTTTCAACATCTGTCAATTAACTTCACCTTTTCAGGATTTTGCTCTTCAACATCAACAGTGACTGCTTTACCCAGATTTGGGATATTTTTTCTAAACTATTAATAAATTTAGAGTCTCAGGGGCTAAATTGCATCGCTATGTTGCAAGGTTTCCCTTAAAAATGTATATCTTAATCCAAGAATTCAAATTTTCCATCAAAATATCTTGAATAAAATTTTGTCGCAGTTTGATGGAAAAAAACCCAGATATTGTCATTATCAATGAAATTTCATTCAATTTTTTTTGTCAAAGGTTTTATGAATTTTTACAAAATTTCTCAGGGGCTGAGTAAGCGACCTGCAAGAAATAATCGAGAATTGGTCCAGTAAGAAGTGAAAGTTGCAATTTGGTGAAATTTGACCGCAACAAGTTACTTACCTGACATTTTTTTTGCAAGTAAACAGTAGTTTTTTTTCGCAACATTTGCATCACTGCAAAATAAACTGCGATTTTGTTTCAGTGAATAATGAATAGAAAATATTTCTTTCTTAATACAGGCAACCTACCTACGAAGCAGGGGCGCCATTAAGGCAAATGCTAGGGAATTGCGGGCAGTTATTCAGAGCTAAATTTCCAAAAATCTAAAAAAAGTTCATTACGATGTACCAAGATTACTTACCATCGAAGAAGGTCAACTCTGAAATGGGGGGGGGGGGGGGGGGGGGGGTTTGCTCCTCCTACCCTCTCCAGATGACGCCCTCGCTTCCAAGCCAAATTGCAATTTAATTCCATAAAATTGAAACTTCAGTGTAAGAATTGCTACGAAAACTTGTAACTTTATAATATTGAAACTTTTTTGCGAAAGTATCAACGAACCACTGCCAAGACACCAGTGGAGGGCAGTGTTCCCAGGCGTACGGATATTTCCGCGCCGCGCGGACATTTTCTATACCCGCGCGGACAGCGTACGGACAAAAACCTTATGGGAAAATTTTTCCGTATCTTATTTTGTCCGTACGCTCGCCCGGCCCTGTCCGTGCGTCTGTTTATCCGCTTTTCTTTGCAATATTTATTACTTTTGCGTAAGTTATTGATACAATGATGTTTAGTATGAAAGCCGGGTATCGTTTGGGAACAAATTAGATACTTTTTGCATTAATTATATTGTATTCTTATCAAAATTCAGTCATTTCATTTATGTCCGTGCGCCCTCAACAAAACAACAAAACAGCCGGAGCCGGAACCGGAAACGGAAACGGAATTCACGGAACACGGACGGAGCACGGAGCGGCACGGATATACACGAGCCCATCCGGAGAGCGTACGGACATTTTAAGATAGGAGCACCTGGGAACACTGGTGGAGGGTCTCTCCTTGTCTCAGTACTTAGTCGTCTTTGTTTTCTGCCCTCGTTGATCTATCAAAATCATTTGTGAAAGATTGTATGAAATTTCACTGTAGGTGTATTCACCGAAAAAAAAAGAAAGATGCAGACTTAACATTCTGGATGTAGAAGAGTGTGCAACAACTCACACAAAGCTGAGTTGACCGCCACAGCAGTTATCTTTACCCTCCTGAAAATGGTGAGTACAAATGAGGAGAAAATCAAAGTCAAAAGAATCGAATTTCAACTCATATGAATGGAATTTCAACTTATATGAATAGAATTTTATTCATATGAGCAGAATTTCTCGATCAGTTTTCGCCAACTTCTATGACTAGAGATTCCAACTCATATGACTAGAGATTTCAACTCACACGAGTTCACCGTTGAATCTACCGTGTCCGATATCGCAGAAACTAGTCACCGCATCAAAAAATCGTAAGAACAAAATGTTTTTATTTTTCAAGTATACCTACTATTTCAGTGTCTCCTGGCCAGAAACAGCACTTCTGAAAATGGAAAAAATCGAATTCATTTGAGTTGAACTCTTCTACTCTTATGAGTAGAATATTCTAGTGATACGAGTAGAATCTCTTCTCATATGACTCCATATGAGTAGGATTTCTACTCATCTAAATAAGAAGTTCTACTCACGTGAGTTGGCAAATTCTGAAGAGCCTACTCGTCATTTTCAGCAGGGACATCTTGATATTGCTGTAGGTAGTAACTGCTGTGGCAGTTAACTCAGCGTTTTGTGAGTTGTCGCAATTTTTTTTTTACTCCCAGAATGTTAAGTGAGCATCCTTTTTTTTTCAGCGTACGCGATGAAATTTTGGAGTTCCTTGTTCAGGTCTTCTCCTGAGAGGAGGACGGCTTGCTGATACGGGCCTGGAGCTCGTAGAGTCGCTGGTGGAGTTTGATGTCCTGCGGCGGGACCCCGACATCCACGAGGATCCGAGTGTAGATGGGCGTTGTGGAAACCTGCAGAAGCTGGTATGAGATGGAGTTGAGCCCATCCAGTCGGTAGCGCCTTTGCGAAGTCCGCACAAGCTTTTGTTTCACCTTGCTCGCCAGCGTGTTCCGTTTCTTGTGCTTGAGCATCGTGTAACGTCCCAGCCAGTCCACTGGCCGCGAGATCGATAGGCCCACCTGCCCGACCCTGCCGACAAAATTCGCCAATCCTAAATTTCATTGCATAAGCGCGGCGAAACGGCATCAAAAGATGGTGGCCATAGTGAGGGAAACTAGGGTGTCAACACAGCCCAAGATAGGAGAGACGTAACAGACCCAAG